TTTTAGTACAAGTTCGTCTAAAGAGAGTACAAGTTCACCTAAAGAGAAATTTCTTTAATGTGGGCCTGTTTCAAATTTCCAACGAAGCGTGAGACAGTATATGACAGATATCAGGCAAATGCATGATCATTTATTTTATTACTTTCTGTACGGTGTTTTATAACTCACGAGACAATCACAAGTTGTCCAGTCTCATGTCGAATGACGAGCTGTTTAAAGGTAGAGTCCATCATTTGCAGCCATCCGAAAAGTAACTGGCGTAATTATTGTTGAAAAACTAACTTGGTTGAAAGATAGTAAGGAGACTAAACTCCCTGTGAAATTATTCTTTCTGGGAAGCTGTCATTTTGAAGTAATCAACGAAAGAAGGCATTTCCAACGGTGATTCTTAAGAAGCACCGTAGGAAAATTTAAATTAGTAGTTCGTTTTGTTATTCAGCGAAGCGCGCACAAGTATTCGAACGACGCACACGCGCGCGCGGTTGTTATAATTCGTCGGATCAGTGCGCGACGTCGCGTAATAGTTGCAATTCAAAACAATTCAAAACATGATTCAGCAACTTTTGATTTGAAATTGAGATCTTAGAATGCTGTTTTTCTCGGAATGTACAGCTGAAGCTTAGCTGAAACTTCATCAGGTTAGTTGCTCAGTATCCTTCATTAGATTTTGAACTCTTTTGTTGCTTCAAACGAACAAAATGCACAAATTACAAATGATGGACTCTACCTTTAAATGAGCTGTGAAAAAGGCATTTCTTTGTCACTGTTCACCCTGTTACTTGTGACCTCACTTGTGATAAACTTAGTACAGACTTAACAATTTTGTCACCCAAAGTAAGGGCGGTGGCTTCTAAAACATTGCAACTTATGCAATTGAGTTTGTAAGAATCTCTTTTAGGGAAATGGCCTGAATGTCGCACGTCAGTTAAAGAATAGGGTTGGGTCAAGATTTCCAAGGTTCCAATTTAATACATAGGCAGATCATCTATGGACTGCAATTTTGACTGTTTGACCTATGAAGGCTCTACGGTCTTATGATTTGACTAAAATTTCTAAATGGAGTAATTCCTTTTGAAAGAAGACAAACAATTAACTTTTTTTTTTTCAAGATTTCACTCATATTTATACAAGCAATTAACCTCTAATTTACAGGTAACAAATCACAAAGCATTTATCAAATATGTCTGTAATCTCACCTTCAACAATAAGCTTAGCAGTGCACGACGCCAATCCAGCAGGATTTTCAGCTTTACAAGTGATCTTCCCGTGATCCTCTGGTCGGACTCGCTGAAACACCAGCGTGCTCGTCCCGTCATCCCTAACAACGATCTTGATGTTTGGAGAATCGTGGAGCTCTTCGCCGTTCCTAAACCACCAGATTTCTGGCCTCGGGGTTCCGACAACGGTGACGTCAAACTTTGCCGTCTGGCCCTCCGGCACGCGACAGTGATTGATGAACTTGGTGAAAGTCGGCGGGATGCGAACCTCCATGATTCTCTTCATTGGAGGCGGGTGCGGGACAGCTGTCGGTGTTTGTAGCTGGTGCACCTGTGTCTGATGAGTACGAGTGACTTCAGGTGTGATCTCTGTTTTTGTTTCCTTCTTTGTTGTGGTTGTGGTTTTCATTGTACGTCCTGCGAAGGGTTTTGCTTCCTCCACAACTTTGGTTGTCATTGTGATTGGTTTTTCAGCAGCTGCAGACGTCCCCTGTTAAAATATTGTAAATATAGCATTTGGGTCATTCCATAAAGTTGGAGCCAAAAGTGTGACATTTTTGTGAGTCCCTGTCACACCTGACCTGTGTAATTTGCCGTTTAAGTATCATTAAAATGGACTTCACGCTATTTCTTATTTGTTTGGCAGGTACTTTGCTTTACATGATCACTCTCGGAGATAGAAGGCATTAAAAAATGTGTCTTGAATTACAAAATCTTATAAATGTCAGATGTATATGTATAGGTAATGATGTAAAAAAACAAACCATCAATCAGAATATCAAATGCTTCAGCTCATGAAATCTGCAACAGCAATCGTAATTCCTTGCTGATATTTTTTTTTCATCATAAATGATATTGCCATGTAGGTTTGCCATCTTCTAATATGTAAAGTAACATTCAATAACATGGATCAGTGTTGTCAACAAAACATGTTTTAAAAAAATCATAAACAATGCTATAGGGCATGTTTTTTAGTTTTTCTTCAAATCTTATATAAAAATGCATCATTTGCTCTTGAATGTGCCTGTTTTTTTTAGAATTTTAGGAGAAAGTTTGCATTCCTGCTTCTATGAATATCCTATGTGATAATCCTATGAATATCCTATGAATATCATATGTGATAATCCTATGTACCCAAACTAGGATTGGGACCAACTGTTTGGCAGTTAGTATCCAATGTGGTAGCATACACTATGAAATGTTCGATGTTGCTGTTGCATTTGACGTCAGTCTGGAAAAAAAAGGATTTCTTCAAGTTTGACATTATAAGGTTTGTGAATACTACCTGCAGCGGCTGTGATGGTTGTGAAGGCTCAGAGGGCTGTGATGGAGACGATTCATGAGTCGACGTCCCACTCTGCACCTGTCCCTCAGGATGAGGCTTCTCGGCCTCGACTGGCGGTCTCTGTATGACGGGAACGGCGTGGACATGTGGCTTCTTGACCTCACGCTTGACAGGCAGAGGGAAGGCAACCTTACCGTCGTATGGAAGGAGCTCGTCAATGTCTTCATCGGTGTCCTCAGAGGTGTCTAGGCCCTGCTCAGCGCTGTAAGCCCCGCTGACGTCACCTCCGTATGACTCGCTGAAACTTAGCGGGCATACTCCTTCTGGAGCACCAGCTGAAAACATACAATGAGGAATTTTGCTATCTGACATCTCTCAATGAGCTTATAAACATGATGGTGGAAAATTGTTGTACTATAATCAACGATACTGTAATCCTCATTACACTATTGACAAAAACCAAAAACTTTTGTTGGAATGCACACGCAAGAACAATGTTTTAATTTAGTGTATGCATGCACTATAGGTGTCAGTTGAAATTTAAAAAAATTATAAGGATTAAGGAAATCTAGGGTAAATTGCTTCTGACAGTATAATCTATTGAATTTAATAATCACGAAGTGCTACTAACCACATGCAAGGTAATTATTGGGAGGAATAGGTTACAAAAAGAAGTAAAAAGATGGTGGACAGGAATATAAACAGATCACTGATATATATCATATATAAACCATGACAAGTACATCTCATATATAACATGTATAAAGTTCAACATAAAAAGGTGTAATCGGGAGCATTACAATTTTAGTACAAACTAAAAATATTTCAAACTATACTTACAAACGTGTTATCCTTGGGTGGGAGGTTCAAAACAGGTGAAGGAAATCAGATGCGGTTAGCAATTTTTGGACATTCAGGAATTCAAGAAACATTTGGATGGGGAAAGAGTCACACATCATGCAGGTGTCAACTAACTCAGACAGACATATTGCGCATGCTTCAAATTGTATGATAATTGTAAATTTCAGCATGTTCCTTGTTATAGACAACAGACTGATCCGAAGAGTGTACTGATTTATTTCAATCCACTGATTTAGGCAAGAAATGCAGGTCCAGATCAACATTTTCAGGGAAAGAAAGAAAATTTTGGAACACCTTATTGTGTACAATATGTAAAGATTTGGCGAATTTCAGGAAATTATGAACAAGTTTTTGAGCTTTTTTGTGGCACACAATGAAAATAAAAGTTGAACAAAATAACACATGTAAACGTAATCAGAACATATCTTTCTTCCGTTTTTAATATTTTCAACACATATTTGCAAAAGACAACATTAGTACTCAAAGTGAATCATCAAATTTTCATGCCGATGCAAACACAGAATCTATAACCTTCTAGCAACAACAAAATTGGGACAAAAATAAATTTGGAGTCAGTATTAGGTATTAATAGCTCGGCAGACACAAGCAGACAAAGAGAGAGGCAACCAAAATGTGGGTAAATTGTATTCGCTTTATTGACCATATTGGGAAACATTTACTGATTACAACAAACCAATACAAGCCAGGGACAGGACATACAGGAAACAAGACATACTTTTTAAAAGGGATAAGTGAAAAGTAGGATTTTATTTTGACACTTGTTTTTGCTCTCCTTTACATCACAAGCTCCACTTGATTCTTCTCCATAATCTCTAAAACAAAATCTTCACGGTCAGAAAACACGTATTCAGATACTCCTACAAATCCTTTTTTTTCGCCCTCATCCCTACAGGATCATGCTATCATCAATAACTCTCATTCTCTTGTCCTCAAACATATAAGGATTGCTACAAGTTTTTCTTATTGCCAAGAACTGTAGCCCAACGGAACCCTCTACCGGTAGATATTAGGGACTCACAAAGTATGTCTTCAAATCTACAATCAACAATACAAATCTTCTCGCATTCACAAAGGGGGTTCTTAAGGCTGCTTAGTACCGTGTCTGTGCCCTGTGCGGGATATCCTATTAAGGAGTTTGCGGGTATTGTACAGATGCAGGTAACAGATGATGAACTAAAACCGGATAGAGGAGGATGGGATTAACTTGGGCAGCAGCTTTTCTCACAGACTTGACTCTGGGTATTCAGATATCTTGTAACAAAATCATATGTCCAAATTGTTCATTTACGATTTATTTGAACATAAATGAACATGAAACGAGGGTGGCCAAAGCTTTTTAAATTTGTACAACGGTGTATCAAACTGATAAATGAACAGTGGTCCTCCAACTGTTCCGCAGAAGGCACAACAGCTTTAGGCAGGATTTAGTCAGAGCAGTTTTTCCAAAGCATCCTCAATGGCAAAGGTAGAAGGTGGGAATGGGACCAAATCTTTTCACTACCACGGGATTCAGATGCTATCACACTGTCAAGATTCCAGCTAGCAATCTCTCTCTCTCTTTCCGAAGCTTCTTCTTTTTCATACACAAGTCCCGCTAAAAATATAAACAGACTTACCTTCCACAACGAGCAACGTGCTGCAAGTCACCTCCCCAGCAGGGTTGGAAGCCTTGACGGTGAACCGTCCCGAGTCATCTGCAAACACCTCCTGAATGACCAAGGAGCAGGTTCCGTCCGGCTCGTCTGAGATCCTCATGTAGGGCGAGCTCACGATCTCCTTCCCTTCTAGGTACCATTTGATTTCGGGTCGGGGACTGCCTGTGACCTTGCAGTCAAAGCGGGCCGGGTGACCCTCCGTGACCTCCACCTTTTGAATCTTCTTTACAAACTTAGGGGGCACGGCCGCCGATTGAATTTCTTCAACTGAAAGGTAGGACACAGACAGAAGAGTGAGATGGTGGGATTCATGGTGAAAGATCTTCTTTTTTTTTTCATTTAAAAGATTTGGTCCAAAAGAATACTTCATACAATTTTCAGTGGGTTTGCAACCGAAATGTATTACCTTAAAATCCGGGTTTGGGTTTGTGAGATTTATTTATGATATGGATTAATAGTAATGAAGTTGTAGTTAATGGAATAGTGGTATTAGGAAGCAACTGCACATTGCATCAGCCGTCGGGAGTGACACGTGCATCTTTGGCCATGCCAATGTAATAACCAGTCAGAACCAGTTCAAACTGGTCCATATCAGATTCAGCTGGTTAAAAGTTTTGATTATGTCAGGGGAAATAGGGGATTAGGTGTGATAAGCCATGAAAGCTTAAGAAGGGATTTTTTTTTTTTGGAATCAAGGAATGCATCCCACTTCAATTGAAGAAATTGTGCAAGCGTGCGGCCATGCCTGTCCCGTTTTAGCAAGAAGCTGTGCAGTGCTGGATTGCCACATATAAATACAATGCTAAGTGCTTGGTGCAAGAACAATGGTTAAAATATGAATGAGATTTTACCTCTGGAAGTTGTTTTAATGATTGGATGAAGGAATAAGCGATTAGTTTGTTGTTACCATCAATGCTGGAAGGTAGGAAATTGAAGATGAACCTGGAATCTTTAAATGTCCATTCCAATTAAGTCACCTTATTCAATGTGTATTCTTAATCATTACCAACACAAATTACACAATACTCAAGGTAGATGAATTTTCAGCAAGTAAATGCAAACATGTTTTGCCTTTTTTCCGAAGCCTTTGAAATTACCATGCATGACAGCCGAGTCAAAATTTGAGACTAATTTATTCGAGTAAGACTAATTTGTTAGAGTATTACTTTTCTAAAATGTACACTTAAAAAAATTTCCAAGAATTTATGTATGGCTCTTCGACTGTGGTTTTGGTAATGTTACGTTATTTCAAAGAAATATTAAGAATACACATAAAGGGACGGTTTGTGAACATTCAAGATTCCAATTCCTCTATGAATTCATTTACCTCTATCCAATTAATTTTAACCGGCACCATGTTATTAACCATTAGCACTGTAGTATATGTGTACAATTCAGCCTCTTCTTTTAGACAAGAATGCAATTTCGGTAATGTGATTTACTTAAAAAGTGAATACGAAACTAAAAAATATCAAAAATGCTGTAACAAACACACATTTTGTTAAAATGTTGTCTTTGCTTAAATCGATACGCAAAAGCAAAATCACACAAAAGCAAATGTCACATTGCAAAATTTCAAAACTGTAAGGTGTATTTCCACTTTTTTCTTCTTTTTTTTTGATTCTGAAATTGCATTCTTGTAGTTTTTCAAGACCAAAAACACGAGGCTGATTGATCACTATTGGAGACATTATGTGCGGTTGCAAACCCACTGCTTCTAAAAGCATTTTATTGTACAGCTCTTCAGTTTTCCATTCAAGGGAGTTTAGATTCATTACAATGTTACGGGAACCAGCTCATACTTAACCCCAACTCTAGAGGCATTTATGTTTTGCTAGAGACTTTCCCAAATCCTTCAAAATCCACCACTCTGGAGGTACCCATGGCCCATTCTTTCAAAAGACATCAAGCCCAACGTAACTAACAGTGGCCGATCTCTTCCTTCCTCGATCCTACAAAACCCTACAAAACCTCCTGGTGGATGTTGAAGCATCTGGGAGGGTTAGGGTTAATATGATACTTTAAAACCTTTGGTCATGCTTTCGTAGAGAAAAACAAACGATGCCAGATGACATTTTGAGAAACACTACAACATTGTTTCTCCTTGTTTAAACTAAAAATGTATCACAACAAACAGGCCCTAGCAGTCTAGAATAATCAAACAGTTCACTAACAATGAAAAAACAACAACTGAAAAGCCAAAAAAGTGATTTCACTTTGGTATACCATGAGCCGAAGCTAACTTAGATGTGAGTGGCTTAAATCTGAAAGCTCTGATTCAGAAAAAAAATCTACATTGTAAGTATTACCAAATGAAAATCAAGAAATTTCTGAAAACATTTGAAAATCAAAAACAATTAAAACACATGCATTTAAAAAAAAAATTGAAACCACTGGGTACAAAAACAATTAGAGTTATAACAAAATCAATCTATCAATTTAAATCACTGTGATTTACGTAAAGTACATTTTAAAAAAGCCTAGAACACAAGATACGCGTAGTTAATGCTACAGGTAGACAGCACATATAAATTATTCGTTTATATCAATCCTTTGATAAAAATTCAATTTGCACCACATAGGTTGCATAGAAATGAAAGAAAAGCCATTGCATCCAAATAAAAAAACCAATCAATACTGAAAGACTAAGGAAGCACATTTCAAATCAAAATCAAAATCAAGACATCAAAAACAAAGAGGACTAAAGAGCTAAAACCATGCTTTTTTTTGAACAGCAGAATGCAAAAGCCTGCAAGTTTTGCGCACTTAAAAACTTAAAAACACCAACAGATATCTTGCAAACTGCATTTGTTTGCTACAATCTGTTTGCATAAAATGACCTTCACTTATGAAATTTTAGGTGCAATTTAATCCTAATTTTCTTTTCAGAAATAGCTTACATCTCTTGTATTTCTAAAGTTCTTTTGTATTTTTTCACTTCAGTGATTCTGTGGCTAAGAAAGTGCATTTCAGATCTAAAATTGTGCAAGTAGAATTGTTCCTTAAAATATTGCATTGTAAAATTAAAAACTTAAGGCTATAAAACTTGTGCATATTTCTTCTTCGTCTTCTTTTTCTAACTATAAAGGATTACATGCTATAGAAAACTTAATATTGCCTCACTCTACTTTTGTTTTTGTGCACACTTCAAACTCCAAAAAAAAAAGAAGTAAAACACAATTATACCAAATTTTTTTTTAAAAGGTGCATAGTACTCTGTCGAAACATTTAATTTTGCCTAACTAAAAATTATTTAATTTTAATGATTTTATTATTTTAGCATGTTCCTTTGCAAGTGCAATGACAAAAAAAATATTACATTTTGCATAACTATGTCCACAAATTTTGAAAACATATATAACTAAGCTAGTTTGACTATTTCAGTGCATAAATGAATAGTGAACTGATGTAATTGAAACAGGTTTTGAAATTGTGCAATGTCATTTCTGAATACTAAATTTATCAATTTGGACATGCAGCTGGGCTGGTGAAACACTGGACACAACTAAAACTTATACGTAAGTTTAAAAACCAGACATGTAGGTGGCATGAAAGTCAGTCATATAATTAGGGACACAGCCAACAGTTATAGGGACAGGTTTGACTATTAAAGACTCTTTTCTCTGGATGTTACTAATCAGTAATGCAGACATTTTCAGGACAGGGTGAAAAACCAGGTAATATTTTGAGGTAGCAGTTCATTTGAAGGCATAGGCAGTACAACTATTCATGAGTACTAGAAATTTTATATCGTAAAACCTCCACATACGTGACATATTTGAAGGACTTGTTGGTATTTTATCATGCATTTTTCTAGTAAACCAAATCATGTACTTAATATATAATGAATATATATGTGGTGAATGAGTGGTGGGATTAGGTCAGCTAATCTATTAAGGTCTTCGTCTTGATGCTCTAATCCAATACCATCAGCATCTGTTACACGTCAATTACACCGAGTCAGCCCAACGTGCCGCAAACTTGTACTAAACTTGGCAATTGCTATCATTTAAGAAAATGTAAAGCACCATATGAACTCCACCTGTTAATAGCAGCCTGGCTGATTCCCAATCAAGTCTTATTGGCTACGGCTCGGCATTTGCACCCCAACAGTTCGATCAACAGCCGAAGACCAAAAAGCACTCAATTCGAACTAAGCCATAAAACTGCTTGCACCAATGAAAGAAGTTAGACCGCCCAGCACCATTACTTCGTCTCCAACCAAGTATGTGAAGCAGTTAACAAGATGCATATCGGCTTCTCCCTATTTTTATCTACAAGATACATCGGCAGTATGTGGTTGAATTTCCACTTTTCACTCGATCAATATAATCAGAGTGCAAAACATTCCAACGAAAGGCGTCTGGCAGAGCCAAGCTTGACAAAATTTCTCACTTTTTTGTCCCTTAAAAAATGAGAATCTACACATTAAGCATCACATGATATTCTGTAAAAAATATAGGTGCAATCTTATTTTTGATATTAAAAATAAAATCAAGCTTGCGCGATCACATGCTGAACACTTTAAAACTAAGCATGGTTACAGTTCCAGAGGTTTAAAAATAATGCAGAAAATTACGTTGCAGTATTTGTTTTTGTCAAGCTTGTCTCATAACAATTACATTGGAAGTTCAACCATCCATTAAATTCTTCTTTTTTCAAAACATTTTTCATCCCAATAAGACAAGTATTATATTGAACTTACTAGAACTATTAGTTTGAATCTTTTTCTTAGCCTCTATTAGTTTGAATCTTTTTCTTAGCCTCAACATGAATACAACCAATGCTGAAATATTCGATTTTCAATACCTCCCGTGTCTTTTTTCAAACCACTCCTAACTACAACTTTTACCACACATGATTATTCTTAAACAATTTTGAATACACTTTTTGTTTACCATTACTAGAGTTTATTAAATGTTATTTATTTACTTTTATACTCGATAAAAAAATTCAAATGATCGTAAGAGCACTAAACGGCAAGGCTACAGCATGCGAGTGCAATAAAGACAAACAAATTTTCTTTAAAAAAAAATCCCATACTTTACTGTCGTAATAAAAAATTACTGTAAGACACTTTGTGAATTGCTCCAAGTTAACTGTTGGAGTCTCTTCATGAATACAAATGTAAACTTACTCCATCATTGACTCTTGTCTATTAAAATTTACTCTTATTGGGTTATTTTCAATGATCTATCCATTATGCCCTGCCCACATGGTCAACAATGCACGGGTAACAACATGTGGGCCCCTCTCATGCCACACTCCATGTTAAGGCCAAGCATGTTATAAACTATTCGTCACTGTCAGACTTACACCGAACATAAACCACGCTGTGATTGGTCAACACATGACAGGGCAGGGCTTAATGGAATCGATCAGTTGGTCGAGTACCTCACGTTGCGTTTACAAATCTTCTCCCGAGGACTCACCTGCAACTGTCAGCCTAGCACTGCAGGCTGCTACTGCCGCTGCACCTGGCCCGTTACGCGCCTCGCAGGTGTACGTGCCTGCATCCTCTGGGAAGACTTCGTTGATCTGGAGACGGGCGATGCCGTCCTCGTAGATCATGCGGAAGTAGCGGGACGGCTTGATGATGGCATTGTTGAGATACCAAGAGATGGATGGAGCTGTACATGAGGGGACAGAGTAGCATTATCAGGGGTGAGATTTTGGGGAAAAAAGAACTTCCATGAAATAATCGGCAGAGGATTTGAGGGTCACCAAGGCCCCCAGAGCTGTACAGGGTCTATGGAATATGTTCACATTTGCCTGAAGGCACCCATTAAAACACCCGTGTTTGTTCTACATAAACTTTTTATATGCAAAAACCCTTTTATTGGAAAAGTACCTAACGAATGCCAGATTTCAAAAGGGATTCTTTAAAAAAAATCCTGAAATCGGGAAAAATATGACAAACAATCCTGAAATCAGGGAATATTCCTAACAAATGGCACCAGTGCAATATGAAGAAAGGTTTTATGTTTATGATCTGAAAGATTTCAAGCAGCCATTAAGTACCATGTTCGTCTTCTTTGATGGGGTATTTTGAGCTTACAGATCAAATTTTGGCCTCAAAATTCTAGGGTTCTCCCAAAGCTTTTTTCCCAATCCACAGGCTTATTTACATTCATGTCCCTCATACATTTATTGCGGGTAGTGAGACCAGTGTCCTTTCACAACTTGTCAACAATGCTCAGCTGTGGTCTTCCTCGCGCAATTCACCCTTTTTTTCCAGTCGGACTCAAATCAGCAAGCCAATTGAAGGCATCTTAGTTGTGTGGTTAATAACCAATTAGCAAGTGGTCTTCAGTTCAAATCTCACACGAGCAAATCTCTCCAAAGTTTTCCTTAAGGGCTCAAAAGCACTAGCATAATCTTCTATTACATGACGCTGGCAGAAGCCCAACATTGTTTACAAAAAAACACACCATTCACAACCTATGAAATCAGTTTCTGGTTAAGAAGTATACATGAGATACTTACCTGGAATTCCTGATACTTGACAAGCAAACTCCACAGGGCTTCCCTCTCCTACCTCAGTATCTCTAATGGGAGTGTGGATGACAGGTGCCTGGCCCCCTCCTGGTACAGCTGCATCGGGTGCTTCACCTCCTATGGAGTATCAAGACAATCACCCCTTGTGTTTGAATTATACTTGATCACAAACAGGGAAAGAATGTTGCAACCTGACGCCACTTTTTCCTTCATATATTATCTCAATACAGGTCAGTCAGTGCAAATATGTTCAAAAGACATGAATCTGGGACTGAGAAACTTTTTCGAAGTTTGTTAGGAAATGCTTAGAATTTTTTTTTTAACTCTCCGTTGACTTTGTACACAACCACTGAAGTAGTGTATGGATACTACATTCTTTCCACAAACAGGTGTGTAAGAAAGTTGTGAAGCAATGCAGTACCAAAATTAAGGGGCAGTATATCCTGCCATGGAACGTCTGCTGTACGAAAGTGACACAAGATGTCTCCTCCCATCCATATAATATTGTCACTGACGAGTTGGTATATTGGAACGTTTTTGTTATGCAAGATTATTCAAGCAAAAAGATTATTCAAGAGTTTATTATTCACTGATTTTATTCGATTTCTGGCTTCAATATGGAACTCTTTGCCAGTATCCTGTGTTCCTACTCTTTTATAACTGATTTCCATTTCTTTCTCTTTAATTCATGTCTCTTCCTGTCTTCCCTGGCCTTGGCCAAATGGTCTGCAAATTCCACGAGGAAAAAAAAATAAGAGAAACTTACGTTCAACGACCAGATGAGCAGTGTGGCTGACTGAGCCAGCCGAGTTGATGACCTCGCAGCGGTACATTCCTGAATCCTCTGGTCGGGTTTCGAGGAGAAGCAACGTGTGGACATCTTCATCTTGCAGTTTCTTGAAGCGAGGATTGGTCGAGAGCTTCTGGCCGGCCTATGAGTGTCAGACCAAGAGAAGTTGAGACAAACAAAAAGGAAGCAAAACTATGACAGTAGAAGAAGCTTCTTTTAAGATAAAAAAAAAAATCAATATGGATATGTGGGTCTGTTGAGGGGGAGTTGGAAGAGTTCAAATCCAGCTAATGGCCACAGTACAGCATGTTGTGTCCTCAGGCTGGTCACTTTACCACAACTTTCCTCTTTCCTCCCTGCAGCATAAATGGACACTATGCTAACTAAGGGGAAAGGAAATATTCTCACTTGTTTAATGCCACTGAATTCCAAGATAAACACTGGCCAGATGAGCCCACAGAACACCTCAAACATGGCTGCTCAATGCAAGGGGTCTATAGACTCCAGATTGACCTTATTTTCAATTTTTTTTTCCTCCCAAAACAGTTACATTTCGATCCTCGCAGGTTCTATGTCAAAGCCATTTTTCCTTTCATTGCTTACCTTGAACCATTCCACCTGTGGTTCGGGTGAGCCAGCTACCCTGACGGTGAATCTAGCTGGCTCTCCTGCTGTAGTGACGGTCTTCTGAGGCGGCATCACAAACTCAGGAGCCTGACCCTGAGTGGACTTGCTGGCTTGAGAATCTGGTTTTAAGACAAAGGTCAAATGAGCCCGTTTAAACAACATCTTTAAAGAAATGAATGAAATCAGAATAACTTTCAACACTGCCAACTTTGACAAATATTTTTTATTTGGTTTAAGTTAGAGTGTTTGTGCTTTGATGAGGCTTCGGGTCTTTGTTCAAACAAACCTGTCTACAATTTGCATAAATATGAAGAGACACCATGAGTTGACAAATGTTAGCTATTCAAATATTGAGGCTGTGAGCATGTCTGCATATGTGAATGAAAGGGGGAATTTGAAGAGGATAAAACAGTAAGACAACTAATATATCATTGTGAACATTATTGATTATAATTCACCAACAAAAACCCAAAACTATGCAAAATGTTGCATGTAACTTACTAATTTTTCTAACACTTACAACAGTTGTCTTACATGTTTTAACAGTTGTAGAGCTGGAGATCAAGAAGTGATTTAAAGCAGGACATGGTGTAGACATGTGGTATTTATGGAGCATTTGTAAACATGTTTTTCTTCTGGAGACAAAGGCCAGTGTTCTTTTTGAATTCTTCAGTTACTGAGCAATTAGTTTTTGTTAGCAGAACCATGATGGTTTACTTTAAGTCCAAATACTGCTTTTCCTGGAAGAGAAGGCGTTAATATGAAAGAAAGGGCCAACCGTGATGTGCAGAGAAAAGTTAATACAGAGATGATGAAGGCTATGAAGGAAATCGCTGAAATGAAATCTGTTAGTTTCCGCAGGGAAAACGTGAATTTGTTAGTCCAGAAAAAAGGTCAGAAAATAAAGAGTACAATTTTGAAAGTAGATAAATGCTGTGAATTGATAAACATCTACAACTCATCTCTAGAAACATGTTCATCAATTCATCACTGAATGTGACTATGTAATGCCAATGCTGAAAATATGTTTCCATTGAATACAGCAAGAAAGAACAATCTCAAAACGACTGAGTGCAAATCTAAACTGAAGAAGATCATGAAAGAAGTGCATTCCAAATGAAGTGTCATTATGAAGTGTCAATACCTCGGAGATGTTAGATAGAGAAAGCATCTCTGTGCTGAAGAAACGATGATGGCAGTGCACTTAAAACAGTCAAAACATGTACACTTATAAACCATCATATTAAAAGAGCACAATCCACCCAAACAGTGCACTTGAAGCTGGTTGACTATGCATGAATATAAAGCAATAGGGAAACCTGTTGTGTATTCTGCTCAATCAGCTTAAAATGGTCTAACAGAGTTTGCCTGTGGTTGGATCTTCAAAGATCCAGATGAAACAATGAAGAGTGTTAGTGCAATGACAGCGACCAATGTTAGCAATCACGCCACCTGTGAAAATCACCTCAAAAATCACAAACACTACCTTCAATGGTTAAACATGCAGAGCAGGATGCTTCACCCTCGCTGTTTTTAATCGTCACTTTGATCGTTCCGGAGTCGTCAGGGAAAGCCTCGGGGATACACAAGGAACTACTGGTGGTGTCGATCACGATTTCAAAGTCTTCGGAATGGCGAATGGGGACTTCGTCAAGAAACCAATGGACTTCTGGCTTTGGGGAGGCTACAAATTCCACGTCAACGAAGACGTCTTCTCCATCTTTGCAGGTGAAGTCTTCAAGAGGAACGATGATCTTGGGAGCCATGGGTTTGGCTGAACGCGAAGACGGATCCCGTTTGGAAGCTGCGGCTACTGGTTCATCTTGAGACCCTACCTCCTCATATTCACTAGATCTTGATGAGCTGGATCCTTCAGACTCAACGGATTTACTCTTATCTTTTCTGCCAGCATCAGGAGTCAGGTATTCTCCATCATCTTCCTTCTTACCCTTGACATCATCTGGGGTCAGGTAACCTTCTAAAGATGATGCAGACGGTGACCGCTTCTTTTTTGGCTCCGAGTGGAGCTGTTCGTAGTAATCCTCATTCGAGGAAGAGCCTGGTGGTCCATCCTCCTTCAAATCATCTTTTCCTTCCTCTTCGTCAGATGATTTAAGAAGATCATCAATCTTAGTCTGGACAGGTAGAGCTGCTTCATCTACTCTTGCTTTCTCATAGACATGGTCCGATTCAGACTCACTTGAGGATTCCGAAGGACTCTTCTCTACTGCCTTTGCTGGTTTGGGTGTGATGCTCGTTTCACAATTTTGCTCCGAGTCATCGCTGCTTGATGACTCTGAGCTGCTTCTCGGACGTGGCTTATCAGCAAGGATGTGATCAAGTTTGACCTGCTCAGGACCTTCTTTTTTCTCTGCACTTAGAACCTCATCAACTAAGGGCTCATTATCATCTTCTGATTCTGAGCTGAAAGGAAGGGTGGTTTCCAATGTAAACGGGACAGCGGCAAAGTCCTTATTAACTTGCTTAGGTTTCACCACATCTTCAACAAACTCTCCGTCATCGAGTTTTATCTTCAGCTGGACTGGTTCCACCCTTTCAGCCTGAATGGGAGCCTCCTGATCATTCGCAACGGGAGGAGAGGCTGAGGTCTCTAGTGACGGAGGGGCTGTCTTGGAAGGTTTCTGGGCAACTGGAGGAGGGAGTTTGGGTTTAGGCTTGGGAGGTGTCTGGGATTTGGTTTCTTCATGCATTTTGGCAAAACGTTTCTCAAGTTCACTCATCGGCTTCTCTTCCTCGGCTACAAAACAAAAAAGTGTTAGGGAAAAACAAAACAGTTAGGGAGAACAAACACAAGTTGATGCATGCAACGAGTAAAACCTGTTGGACACATTTAAATAACAAATTGGTTCCGATGCAAGAACTTTCAATTATCAATTAATAATTCATGCAGTGGTACAGGCAGAACTGACAAATGAAATAAATCAACTAAAGATTTGACCAAGATCCAATGAACACATTTTAAATAATGTTGGTTAGATGGACATTAAATGTTTTGGGTAGTCGAATTTCAGTCTTTAAAGGTGGGAATCTCTGTAAGGTTTAAAGGAATCAAGACCTACTTTTGTCTGGTTTAGGCACCACTGATACAGGCTTATATCCCTTTCTTGCTTGGAGAGCCTGCTGTAGTTCTGGTGACATCTCTTCGTGTTTTAGTTGGGGCTTGACCACTACGCCCGATTTGAACTCTTTAATAGGAACATACCAAAACAGAAAATGCTGCGGGTCAGCTTAAGGGGGGTGCTTTGTCTTGCAAATTTATTGTTATAGCAGGAATGTTCATGCAAGATCATTTATCAGATGTTAGCCATTTTGTGCCAGACAATTCACAGACTTGGGAATTTATTTGATGCAAGATCATTCTCCTTTTTTAATTTTTTTTTTTATTTAATATTTCATAATGCCACAAGTTTGTAAAGTTGCATGGTTGCCATAGAACCATGAATATTCATCTCATTATGAATATGCAATATAAACAAAAAGGCTTAGTCCATCACACATTCAGCTGGAGCACAAACATGCTAAGTGCACATTACGTTTTGACAAAAATACTGCAAAAGTCTGATCAGTACCTGCTCACAATCGCAAATGTACAAGGACCTTTTGACCTTGACCCAAAATTACCCTCTGGAAGTTTGCCCCTATTAAAATCATCAATGCACATTGAAGCGCTTAGTTTATGCATTAATACATCGAAAATACCGATCAACATATTTCTGTTGATGTTTCTGAAACCAAAACTGCACTTCACAGATTTATGCTAATATTGAAATCAGTTAAGGTAGTTACTAGTTAGCTTCATTTTAAGTCATGCCTCTTACCTTTGCCTGTTCGTTTGAGCTGTACTCCTTGGTCAGACTTCCTGAAGACGTGGAGTCTGGTTTCGTGGGAGATCATGCCAAACTTGTTCCTGCCTACCACCTTGTAGATGCCGCTGTCTGATGGCCGGGTCTTAGGGATGTCAAAGTAATGGATGCCATCAAACCAGATCTTCGTGCGGGAACCCTGTACGGAAATGTCACACTTCAATTTTACTTCTCTTTATCTCTATTTCCCTTTATTAAAGGGAATATACAACATTTGCAAACATCGAATAACAAAACTAATACATTTTTACGAAATACCTTACAAGGATGTTGGAAAATGACATTCTAAAGTATCCTGTAAAATTATGGCACCAGGTGTGAAGTCATTTTCAAGAAAAGTGATATTTTGTATAAATTTCCAACGCTGGTCGGCCGACCACTGTTGGAAAAACCTAACTTTTTTCAACGACTGCTCCAAATTTACCCTTTTTTCAGTCCAAATTTTGTTTGCTTTTGGTTACATGTTCATGAACGGGTGCAGGTCAGCTAGACTGGTTCCCTTACCTTACAACTTTCCGGCATCTATAAATTGATCCATTTCATCTTTAGTGGAGTCAGGGAACCTGACTACTTGAATATTTTTGTTTTTCTTGTTTTTTTCCAACATTTTCGAACACAAAAATTAAAACATGTCAGTGTAACATTTTTTGATCTATTATACTAATCCCTCAAATAGTTCATTTCTAAAAAGTACAGCAAAAACCAATGATGTAATTTCCCTTAGGGGTTAACAGTGACAATCTTCAAACAAATATGATTTGAACGGTTCATGGTGACGCCAGCGAAAAACAGTACGATTCAATAGAACCATGGGGCGTGAAATATCGTTTGTGAGGTTGTCTGGTCCTGAAAAGAAACTCAACGCTTCAGATGGCATGCCCTGCCTGTCATGAGACTCTTACTTTTTTAAGAATGATACAAAGGTTTGATTTCAGAGTGTCAAGAAGTTGAATATCCCTCAAAACAAATTAAAACAAACTTTACATTGGCCTGTTAAATATTTTATAAATAATGAAGTATTTCGCACTTATGTATAACCTCAAGCTTATCAATCTACTGTAATGACACAACAGAAATTTGTGTGTAACTTCACTGTCTATCAAAACAACTTCTTCCTGAAAACAAAGAAAGACAACTTCTTCAAAGAGATCGTACAATGAATAAACTGTAGGAACTGTGTAACAAATCTGTACTTCATAACAACAACAAAAATATATGCAACTGTTAAAATTTGCTCTTCCTAACATTAGTACCACATTAAGCACTTACGTCAGCTTGCATGATGTTATCCTTGTACCAGATGACCCTGGGTACTGGATTGCCCACCAGCCTGACAGTGAATCGAGCTGGTTCGCCCTCAACAGCCTCACAGGGTTCTGGCAAGGTGACAAACTGAGGTGGAACGGGTGCATCGACTTGCTCCGCACCACCGCTGTGTTGCCTAGCCCTGAAAATAAGAAATGACAAAGGTTAAAGAATATCACTTTTTTGTGATTGAGGGTTAGAACTGCTACAAAACAGAAAATTGTTATCTACTGTAGCTGCCACTGGGAAAAGACATACTCATAGAATTTTCCCAACAGGGACAAACCACTGTCATGCTAGCATTAACTCCCATGCAGAAAGATTTAGGCAACCGGGTTAAAATCCTTGGGCTTCACTGGATTCAAATTTTTCAATTCCACATGGCGCTTTGATGTGTCTATCAGCATCTTAACCCTAACCCTCCAGGGTATGTTTGCTAGAACCCTGCCAAGCACAGCAACATGCAACACTTGACTAAGTGACAAGCCTGCCCAGTGTAGCAAGATCCATCAGGGGAAAAGTCTCAAGGCCACACTGCCTCAGAGTCCGTGGTCACTGCAGGCAGCAGGATATAACTGTGGCATTGTTTAATGGGACTTAGCTCTCATTGTTTCAGAGCTGGCCATTCATGCACTGGTGTTGGTAGCTGAATGCATCAAAGTGCACCAGTTCTTTTCCACCTGGTGTACTGTGTTGCGTCTGGCAGGGTTAGGGTTAAGCCTAGTTTCCATATTGACGTTAAGCTTATGCAGACTGCACAGACAGTGCGTGTAACCGTCGGCAAAGTTGATCTGGGTTCAACTTTGCCAGTCGTCTGCAAGATAATTTGTGTCTGTCTGGGTTGTCAGTGACATTACCGGACTAAAGTTTCCATATGTCTGTTTGGGTCTTGTTTGCGTTGCTCTCTGCATTTCTTATGTCGATATGGAAACCAGGCTTTAGGTCTTGTGTGATAGATTTTTGCATTGGGTAGACGTGAATGTTGACATTGGGTTTTGCCTACCACTGACACATCGCCCCCTACTAAAGTGCACAGGTAAGAGTAGGAAACTACATGTTGAACTGTAATATTTCTCACTGTCTCATTACTACAGCAACTCACTCTGTTTTGAGGTACTCTTCAAATTCCAATGTCTTCTCAATTCCTCTCATTTCCTCCGGAAGTTGGGTGTCTAGAATGAGAGCTTGCTGGGCTGCAAAGTAAACACAAATACAACCAATCAAACACTGCAACTCCTTTTAATTCCTCAGTTCAATTTCTTATGAGACTATTTTCATGACCATCATTAATGGAAACATTAATGTAGCTAATCCAGGATAAAGGTTAATGAAGATCAGCAAATATTTCTAACCTTTGCAGACAAGTTTTCCACTGGTCTCAGCTCTACCACTCTCATTTTGGGCCACACACATGATAACTCCTGCATCCTCGGGGTAGATGCCTTTCATGTTCAGTGAGCACAGGCCAAACTCGTGCTTGGTTTTGATGCGTGATCCTGAAAAACCAAGACCAAAAAACACTCATTAGAAAGCTGCTCCTGCTATAGCCCAAACCTCACCTCAAGCTACAAAATACTTTCAATGCCAAATTTATTTCCCAGCCTTCCATTGCTGTGACCCGGGTTCGATTCCTCCACTGGCCGAATGTGGATTGGGTTTTCAGTCCCTACCTGATTCCGTGGGTTTCCCCAAGAATATTCTTCTGGGGTTTTCCTCCCACCTTGAAAACTGTAATTTCTTCTCATTGTCTTGTCTCTACGTGTTTCTTCAAGGCTTGCGAGCGACAGTCCCTAGGGCGCTTTTGAGGAATCCTTGGTTTCATTACCATTAAGTAAATAAATAATAATACATCGGGAGATCTCCAACATAGGGGGTTGAATAGCTCAGATGGTAGAGGGCCGGTAGCGTTTTCCCATGGCCAAAGTCTGAAGCCCACTCCAATCAATGTCTTTGTTCATCCTTATACAAGTAAGGAGGTTAGATGAATAATGTGCAAGACTTACTAGGGAAGGGGAGGGGGGAGAGGGGGAGTTTGAGGCAGAGAAGATGTCTTACCAGTAACGACTGGCTTGCTGTTCTGCAACCAATCCACCTTCATGGTGCTATCACTCGCTGGTTGCAGTTTGCAAGCAAAGTGAGCCGTCTCTCCTTCCTTCTTGATGACGTTATTCAAGGGGACGACAAACTTTGGAGGCGGCGCTTTGGGAGCCTCGTAAATCTGGGCTGGATAGTACTGACCGCTGCCACTCCTGAAAATCATTCCACAAAATATGAAACGTGATTGCTAACAGCTTCTGGTCTTCACAGGAATATTAAATTTAGAAAAAAAAAAAAAATTCCCTTCATTTAAAACTATTTTCTTCTCTGTGTTGTTATCTTTTCAGTTCGGTTCTTTGCTAAGATTACTTATTCTTCAGTTTCTTTGTTCTATTTACAGACTCGTACTTTCTGAGTTATTGAATCTTTCCTTAATAACAAACTGTTCAAGATGTGGCCATAAGCCCTTCTCTATTTGCAGCATTACGTACATCTCCTAATGCCATGTGTAAGAGCATGCATGTCAGACTTTTGTCAGTCATAATGGTTGCGAAGATATGACTTTGCTCGGACAAAACATCAAGGGACAGGGCTTAACAGATTTATTTGGAGTACTTGACTTTTTTTCTTTGACAATTATGAAAGGTAAAAATGGTTTAATGATGGATAAAATGTTCATTGTTTTAAAGAAATTGCCAAAGCAAAGCATTACAAGGGTAAAGGATGCCATGGAAAGAACAATGTGAAAAGAGACAAAGTAGATGAGACTTACTCTTCACTGAGTGATCTATCATGTTCCAATGTCTTCCCAATACCAGCTTGCATCTCCTCAGGCAACTGGCTCTTGGTGATCAGACCTCCTTGAGCTACAAGAAAAGAAAAACTTCATCATTGTCATCATCATGATTGGTACCATGGCAATAGAAGCTATAATTTAATCAAGGATCTTTCTTTCCACGTTTGTCCTTTGGACCGCGGAAGCAAAAGTAGACTTGGAAATGGTGCAAGTATAATTAACTGTTTCTGTTGGTTGAGCTCGGTCATCGTATGTACCATTGGTACTTTGTAAAATTTAATAACGATAGATTTAATAAAGATAGCCGTTCAGATAAAAAGGTTGATTGAACATCAAAAGGCAAGGTCTACTATATCCATGATCAACATCTGTTTAAATCCCCCCCCCCCCCCGAAAAAAAAAATACTATGTCACAACTCATCAGATTTACATGAAACAATCAGAACTAAAAATATATTTCAAGGAATTCTTTGAGGTCAACAAATTGTATTTTCTTATTTGCTTCAGAGTTGTAAGGACACAAACAGTGTTTAAAGGTAATAGACACCATTTGCAATTACCCTTTAGAATGTTAATATTTTTAAGCTATCTCTTACCTCTGCAAACCAGCTTTGCAGATGTCTCTGTCCGCCCACTTTCATTGGTGACAGTGCAAGTAATGGTCCCAGAGTCTTCGGCTGAGACGTCTTTGAAGTCCAAGCTGGCGATGCCAAACTCAAAGACAGTCTTGATGCGAGAACCTGCACAATAAATATTTGAGGAAAACTTCCATAATATTACAGCTGTTTCTATTGAATTTAAAATACAAATGAAAAAAAAAGGTCGTTTGTCATTTTATAGTGGTGATGACTCATATTTGACAATTCCTTTAATCGTTTAGCATTTTTAACTGCCGCAAGGTTTGGAAATTCATTGGAATTTCCCAAGAAACTTTTGAAATTAAAACTTTTTGAATTATCCAAAATCCATTATTCAGAGCCACATTGTTACAGCATGAAATATGCATCACTCAATGAACAGTTAGCATGGGCGCCTCATTCCTTTGCGCTGCAGCTGCATGTAGTTGTGTTGGTTGAGTGTAATGGCATTCTGTATGTGTGTATAATTTGTCTAATGGTTATAGTTGTAAGACAATCTTGGCCACATGGTAAATCCAACTTTGTCTTAGAACTGAATTGACTTAAAATCTGGGGTACAAAATACAGGTACAAAATACAACTGTCACACTACAGCTTTTTTCTTACCAGTGATGAGTGGTCGTCCATCCTTGGACCATTCCACCTTCATGGTAGCATCGCTGGCAGGTTCAATCCGGCAGGCAAAGTGGGCCTTCTGTAGCTCGGATCTCTGTAAGCTGTTGATTGGGACGATGATGCGTGGTGCTGGGGCCCTGTCTGCCTCGTGGTAGACGCCGGTGTCTGGTCTGGATGGTCGGCCGTCCTTTACAATACCACTGCAGTAACACATGGTTTCGAAAATCAACATGGATATGGCGTGATAATGGCCAAATGTGAATATGAATTTGTTTTACGCCACACAGGAAAATATGCGCTTCTAAATTTGCAAAAGTTTAACGCATTTTGAATCCGGTGCACTTAGCAGCTAACGTTTTTTGTTTTGCATTAACTTGAGGCATGCACTGACCTTATGCACTGACCTTCTGTTAGAAAGGTTTGAAACCTTTGGAACTTTATTTCAAAATTTCCAAGGCATACATACAAATTCAGACCTCTTTTTGTCTATGAGCACCATTTTGAATGGAATTTGAGGAAGTTTAATGTGGGAGTTCCTCTCATACATTTTCTCATGTAAGGTACCAAAACTATTTCATTGCTTATTATTGGTGCTGTGACTGTGCAACATTGCACTTAATACACTGCTTGATGACATTTTGTTTTTACTATGGGGAGAAAACAAAAGATTTCTTTTAAATTCTTTAAGATGGTCCACTTACTCGTCACTGATGGAGCGATCGTATTCCAACGTCTTCTCAATGCCCTCTCTCATGCTGTCTGGAAGCTGACTTTCGGTGACTAGGCCGTCTTTGGCTGTATATCAATCAGAGTTACATCAATGTATAAATAATGGAACAATATGATAAACTAGCTTGTAAATGCCATGTGAACATCATGTGATCACCATGTGAACATCTTGTGAATACCATTAAAACACAATGCACAATGAGAAAACCACAGGAACAGCAAGAGAACACCATGTAAAACAATTGGAGCACCACATCAACACTATGAAAACATACATACTGGAATTTGTATCCTTGTGGAGTCATTTCTTTGTTCTCGTGACTAAACAAGTTGAGATTGCAAATCTGCATGTAGCTTTAAAATGCTCCTATTTTAACCAGAATTAATTTCCTTGGCTGAAAGTCGGACTTAACATCCCTTACATAAAATACTTCAATTTGCGACAAATCAACACACCTTGAAAATTCCCAGTTTTTGAGTAAGATCCATATATCTATTTCGTGATAACCTTGTAGAGACGTATTCACCTAGAGATATTTCCCTGTGGAGACGTATACAATCTTTTGTTCCCTATTATATACCCATGTCTCCACAGGGTACCGTGTACCACATCACCATGTGTGATGAAGGGTTCGCAAGTGCCCTATCTAATGGGGACTAAGCCAAAATACAAGCAAGTTTACCAGTTTTTAAGCAAGTAATTGAGTTCCAAATCTTGACATGACTTACAGTGCACAATGAGCTTGCATGAGACTTCATTCTTTCCACTCTCGTTGGCAGCGCGACACGTGATGACTCCAGCGTCTTCAGCATACACACCCTTGATGTCCAGGCTGGCAATGCCAAACTCAAAGGTGGTCTTGATTCTTGAGCCTATGGGATAAAGTAACATCAATTTTATTTCATGAAGTTTTGAACAAAATTAGGCACTGTTTAGTTTGCAGAAAAAGAAAGACTGTTTTTTTTTTTGAAGAGAAAATGGAAAATAATTCAAATCTAAACTATTCATAAGATGGAATTTACGTTGGGATGATGTAAATCACTTTTAGGTTTTGCCATTCACTGACGTATAAACGTGATCTTTTTCCAACTTTCACTCGGGAGGTAACACACTGAGTATACAGTGTTTATACGTCGGTGAAGGGCAAAACCTAATCTTGAATTTAAATCTATATTAAACAAGATAAGGCAGAATTGGCTTTGTTTCTATGTCTTCAAATACTTAAACAGTTACTTCTAATTTATGTGAAAGCAAGCCTGTTTTCCTGATTCTGTTTATAAAATATTTCACGAATGTTTCCAAAATCTGCAAAAGTTCTCTTGCTTAATTGTTGTGAAGGAAAGGGGGAAAAAACAATTACATATTTTGTTACATCCTTCACAGCCTTGCAACTACGCACTTTTCTGATTTTAATTTAAAGTAATATAAAATATTTCAAACTGTATAATTAAAAAAAAAATAACACTTGTCTCACTTGTGAACAACGGCCTTCCGTTCCTCAGCCATTCCACTTGCATGGTGCCATCACCGGTCGGCTCAATCTTACAGGCAAAGCGAGCGTCTTTCCCCTCATGTTTCTTGACATCTCGTGGGGAGATGACAAAGTTCGGCGGGGGAGCCCGCTCCGATTCGTAGGCTTGGGCTGCAGGCTTTTCCCTGGCTAAGGCATCATCGGGTCTGTAGTAAGAAAATTTTAAAAACAATTCCAATAAAAATGACTATTAACAGCATATTTCACAGTGATGTACAATAGTCTTGCTTGCCAATCAAAAACAGAATTTCAAATTACAATAAAATATATTGTAATGCTTATATAGTGCTTTCCATCGTATGAACCATCTCAAAGTCCTTTACAATTATTCCCCTGTTCATCAGGCAACAAGACAGCCGATATCAGCGCACATTCGGTCCTCTACCCTTACAGGTACCCATTCATACTCCTGGGTGGAGAGAGGCAACTGTAGTTAAGTGTCTTCCCCAAGGACACAAACACCATGTTCCTGGCATGGTTCGAACCCACCTGCCATCGTACATGCGTCAAACACCGTAACCACTGGACCATGGGATTCAACATGGCATTCTACAAACTGTGTAAACATGCCATTAGTTTCAACATTGAGCTTGAGATTTGAAGCTTTTATGTCAAGAATACCACACTACAGCTCTACAACATCGTAGGATTTTGAATAAAAAACTTGGTATTGATGCGAACCCTGTGACCTACAAGATTGTAGCCACCTACCCTCTGAGGTATTCCTCGTACTGAAGAGTCCTCTGTATTCCTCTCATCTCCTCAGGCAGTTGGCTGTCAGAGATGACTGAGCCTTTAGCTAAAAATGAAAGACACACAGTGACCGTTAACAGCAAATTAATATTTTTATTATCATTATATTGTTTACATTTGTAAAGTGTTTTGCTAACAAAAGAACAGAAAACAATACAAATTAAAATATTATAAAAATAATGAATGTTTATGAGTGCAATGGTAAGAATATGTTCATGAGGTGACAGATTGATTGTTCCATTCCACCAGGCGAAGCCAAGTGGAATGGAACATTCCATCTGTCACCGAATTAATTTATTATTTCCCTTGCACAAATGTGAACATTCATTATTAGTTTTATACAACACCTGAATAAATCCTCGCCACCAATCATGTGACTGCGCAATGAAACTTCTACTTACCGTGGAATAGAACTTATATTTTTGAGGTGCGGCCGAGCCGTGGGTAGGTACGAATAATTCAATGACACATGATCAATGACCCACCAATCAGATGATGGGGATTTATTCAGGCGTTGTATAAATTACACCGTTTAAAAGCACAAAGACAATAAAAAGTATCGGCCACACCTCAAAAATAGCAGTTCTATTCCACGGTAAATGAAGTTTCATTGCGCAGTCACATGAGTAAGTCATTTTACATATTGTCAGTAAATATTTCTACTAATTCACAATAAATAACTTTGCATATCACAGGTCTCGGGTGATAAAAATTAACTTCATAAATGTAAGTTTTTCAAGTCAGACCACTGTATTAAAGACACTGATGTGTAATCTATTGGCTTACTCTGGCATGTGAGTCTGCCGGAGGTCTCAGTGTGCCCGCTGGCGTTAGCAGCTCGACATGTGATGATCCCAGCATCTTCTGGGTAGATGCCTTGGATCTCTAGGTGACAGATGCCAAACTCGTTGCTGGTCTTGATCCTAGAACCTACAGAGTGAGAAGATAAAATAAGATACATGTACATTTAGAATGAAGCACAGACAGATACTTGTTTAAAACAACTAACAAAGGTTAAAATCAGCCACATGAAGTCTGGTTTCTGTAAACTCCTGTCTGGTAGATTAGGTAAAAGCAATCATCTCTTCTTGTATATTTCTTTTGCGTGATACTTATTGGCACCAAGTTTTGACACAAACGGCAAGATGCAAAAGTTCCAGACACACTCACAGAATAAAAAAACTATTAAAAATTGGTACATACAGACGGGGAAAACTTATCAAAAATATGGCACAATGAAATGGGACACAGCATGTTGTTACTTAAAGTATCTTAATACTTGGTTTATGACACGGGAGAAACCAACTTTCATTATCTTCTTACCAATGTAAAGTTGAACAAAGATACTGACCGGAGCAGGATTTGAAAATGCAGACTTTGAAATATTAAGTAAGTGCTTCGCTAACTGAGTTGTCCAGCCCTATATCCTTAAACTTTCAAAGGCTATGACAGCCTTGAATATGTCAAAGGACTTTAAATCAAGTCTCCAAAAATATTCATTGTCAGAAGTAATCAACTCATGACAGTGTGAATTTTGATAGAAATTTCCAGCCGATTCTTACCAGCAAAGAGTGGCATTCCATTCTTGAGCCACTCTACCCTCATGGTCTCATCGCTAGCTGGCTCCAGCCGGCAGGCAAACCGGGCGTTCTCACCCTCCTTCTTGTGCATGTCGTTCAGCGGGATGGTGAAGCGAGGCTCGGGCGTCTTGGGGAACTCCTCGTCGTCCGAGTACTGATCCGGCCGGGTGAAGATGGAGCCGGAGGAGTGAGGCTCCACTGGAGGTCTGCTTTGCCTGAAATAATAACGTCGTAAGAGTTAACATTAAAGGCGTAAGAGCTAACAATGAAAATTGAAATCATTCACTCATGACTTTCTGCAGTGTCCACTGTTAAATTGCCATGCATTTGTGCTACAAGTACCTAAAAGTTGACGACATGTTTTTATATAACTGTAACTGAATTATAGTTTTTAAGCCACACCATAACCTGGATTTGTACAATATTTTTGGCTTGTACAATTGGCCACAATTTAGCCACTGCTACAAGTTATATTTCAATTTAACGTAAGGCAGCACAAGAGTAATATGAGTTGTACTTACTGTGTGGGAGCCTTCCTTTTCACCAGGGGTGGTGCCGTCCCGTAAATCTTTCCAACGGGAGGTTGGTCTAAAATTTAAAAAAAATTTAAAACAAGAAAAGAAGACTTAAATTACCCCTTTTTTTTTACAAAGTTTCAAGAACTGAGGAACTTCCAATAAACTTGCTGACAAAAGAATATGTCTCATTTGATATAACAGAAGAGGGCATTAAATGAAATATGATGTCTATAAATTAGGCTTCACAAACTTGGCAAACTGTAAAATTGATTAAACACTTTCATTAAGTTAACAAAAGTGTAAAAGCAATTGGAAAAAATTGTGGTTATGGGATTTAATACTTCTGCACTTCCCTGAAAGGCATTCCAATTTCCATAAATAATCACTTTATATCACTCATGAGATAAAAAAGCAACTTTTAGGAGACACTGATATACTTACAGGTGACTTGCACTTTACACCTGCAGGAGACGCGGCCAGCTGAGTTGAATGCTGTACATGTGTACCAGCCGCTGTCTTCACGACTCGTCTTGTCAATGGAGAAACTACACACGCCTTGTAGCATCTCAATTCTGTCAAAGCAAACATCCCATGAAAAATAAAGCTAGAAATTTGGTAGGCTCCATAAAGTCTTCTAAAATTCATTTAGTTCAAGTGCACTGCTGTAAATTTGAACAAAATCATTCTATTTTTAACAGCACTGTCATATTGCTGAGAATTTCCTGAATCCTCCAATATCCTCCACTGTGTAGTTCACTAATAGCACATTCCTTCTTCATACTATTAAGGCACCCATGTAAAATAATAATAATAATATAATATTAATAATAACAGGTTCTTATATAGCGCGTTTAACTAAGATCAAAGCGCTTTACATTATTATTACCCCTAATCATTGGGCCAATTAAACATTCCATATACCATCTCAACTCCTTGGGGAGTATACAGCTCGATGCAGCCTGTTAGGCGCAAGGAAGCTAATTCAATCACAATAACCATCACTGCCCTCATAGGTACCCATTTACTCCTGGGCGGAGAGAAGCAATGAGTGACAAAGTGCCTTGCCAAAGGGCACACGCACCATGACCCCGCCAGGACTCGAACCCACAACCTGCAGCTTTACCCGCAGACCACGAATCAGTGCCCTTAACCACAAGGCCACAGCACTCTACATGTGCTTTACCTTACTCAATACTGAAAAATGCTTGACAGCCTCCTGAGGTGTTTTAGCGAATCTGCATAAGTTACGGACAGTACAAAAATCCTACCAACCTGTATCGGTTTGACCCTCTAGTGATGTGATGCCCGTCCTTCTGCCAGTTGACTTGTGGACTAGGTGCTCCATGGACCTTACAGCTGAGCGTGATAGGTTCACCCTCCATCGCAGTCACATTCTCAATCCTGTCGATGAAGGATGGTGCCACTAGATGTTGCTTGGCTGTAGAGAGAAATAATGCATCAGTGTTTACAAAAAAGAAGAATAGAGATGTATCTTTATGTAAAACAGAATTACTGATATTTCAAACAGATTTTGAAAATTCAGAAGTATTTCTTTTCTAATATAACGTAACTGAATTTCTTACAACAGAATTCTGGAAAATGGGTGACCAATGCTATGGCCAAAAAAAAAAAATCTCCGGTTTCTGGTATGCGCGCGCGTCGCCGTAGCCATGCGCGTCGGCAAAATGAAAAAGTTTTTTTTTCAATGAAAGATGATGTCTCAAAACCGCCAAACTCACTGGTTTGATTGGAATCCTGCTGCTGCACAATTTTAACGTGTTTTTAGATGGGGTTATGATCGAGAATAAGCTTCATGTGGCCTCTCTGGACCCCCATATATTTGCACTAAGTTTAGTCGGGCACCATTTGCAGTCATCAGCCGACATTTGAAGCAAAAAAGTCAGGTAAAAAAAAAAAAAAAGCCGCGTCGCCGCACCACTTTTTGGACAAGCTCCATACCAGAAACCGGAGACTTTTTTTTTTTGGCCTAACTAACAACACAGCATTGGAGAATTGTGAAGCAGAAGATATCTTTAGATTTAAGACACTATTTTCGGGAAAATGAGGGGAATAACTTCTGAGACTGATACCCAACAAATTAACGAACACATTAAATGTGCATGCTAATTAATTTCTTATTGGTGAACTTGCGCAGTTGGTGAAGCTCTAGTATGGTATTCCGTATGTGGCTGGTTCTAATACTGTTCCAGTTTTGTTTTCTTCGCTTGCAACGTTATGTTGAAATTTTTGTCTGAGCAAGAAAATTTCTAAGCAAGTAAAGTTTTCTGTTCAGTGACTCTATGATACTGAGCCAAGGTCTGTACTTTACTCAAAAACAAGAAATAAGGCTCACCTTCTACCGACAGCCCCACAGTAAACTCTGACTGTCCTGCTCTGTTGGTTGCCACACATCTGTACTGACCGCTGTCCTCAGGTTTGGCATAGGTGATGAGGAGTGAGTGAACACCGCCCTCGTTGACCAACATCTGCCAGGTGAATAAAGTTCAAGTTAAGTCAGCTGGCAGGTCTATGCTATCCATCCCAATGACCAAGTTTATGATGTTAATTATGTCAACCTCCTAGGTGATAGTGTCAGCAAAATAATTCAATGAAATCTGGCAAAGTTTTACAGAGCTGAGCAGATTATTTGAAGACGCATGGTTAAATTATTCTATAAAATATGTAAAACAGCTTTCCTCTGCTGATAAAGTCTTGTCTTCCAAGCATTGATCTTTGCACTGATACTAACGTCTGCTATTTTCTAGGTGGCTTGTTAGCAAAATTCCCCATCAACAGCTAACACACATTCTAAAATAAATTATAGCTATTACATGTAGCATCAAAATATCATTTAAATATTACATTTTGCCCCTTCATCGATTTTATAGGCACTTCACACTCAGTGCCAAAAATTAAATAAGTGAAGGGCAAAGCCCAATATCAAAATTTACAAAATTCTTAACTATTAATGTAAGGTTTACAATCTGCCTTTGGAATTAAGTAACTCAATTTGACTGAATTTAGGCAGTACTTTGAGTTGAAATGTATTGGCTTACAATCTCCAGGGTTGGTCATTTTGAGCTCGTACATGTATATCAACTCACGTGAGGGAGTTTGGCCCAGTGGTTAGGGTTTGTGACTCATGATCAGAGGGTCATGGATTTGAATCCAGCTGCTGGCCATATGTTGTGTCCTTGGGCAAGCCACTTCACCCCCACTTGCCTCTCTCCACCCAGGAGTATAGAAAGGTACCAGGAGTAACTTGCGATGGACTAGCATCCAGTCCACGAGGGATAGAAATATTGTCAGTCGTTTCATACTACTGAAACCGGAGATAAACGCCAGCCTGATGACAGACTTTACTTTTTTTAAATTTATTATTTTACTTTATATCAACTCACCATAGAGAAAGACTTTATCAATTGAAAGAACAATATGAGATTTGAAGGTTTGCATGGTGGAAAGATACTACGACAAGATAAGTTTGCGATAGCACCATGTGAATAAATCTCTTTTGTGAGTATGTGTGGTTCTGAAAAGAACCGGAGGGACTCAACCACACCCATCCTTATAACATCGCATCATCGTTGGAATCCCTCATTCTCCTGATGACGGGCAGAGCATACTGTTCGAAACGTTGAGTCCCTCCGGTTCTTTTTCAGAACCACACATACTCACAAAAGAGATTTATTCACATGGTGCTACCTCAAACTTATCTTGAAAAGAACAATAGTTCAACTATAATCGCTAAAATCTGAATATTTTGAAAGCAAATCCAAAATCAACTCACCCTGTGGTTAGGATCACTATAGACCCGCTCCCCATCCCGGTACCACACCAGGTCAGGCGGCGGTCTACCCTTGACTCGGCAGTTGAAGCGAGCAATCTTGCCTTCCTTGATGATCAGGTCACTGGGTATCTCCTTGATACTCGGTTTGTAGTGTTTCTCGTTGACCTCACTGTCTGGGGTACCGCGCTCTGGGATGTTGTATTCTTGGGTTTCCCTGTGAAGGAAATTTGACAAGGGTTAATTACACAGATACAAATTAACAGGATCACAGAACATAACACCATATTCACTTGTTACACTCGTAGTGTAAACAATAGCGTACAACATCATCTACAAAATAACTAGAATTGTTGATTGTCCTCAGTGGACAGTATAACTGGCTTTTCTGAGAAGTTGTTTATTGATAGCTGAATTTTGAAGGAAGGCCTATCAATTTATTTTATTCCTTTCATTTCAAAATTATTCAAAACACTGTAAACATCAAAATTGTAACACGGAATACTTCTTTTAGTTAAGAAAATAAATTAAAAATTCATTAAGAAATTCATCGTGACGTCATTCCATATTATGCATAATATTCACATAATCTAACTACCCACCAAGTTTTAAGACAATCCGACATTCCATGATGTTTTTACAAAATCACATTGTTGTAGATCTCTAGATATAGAACATTAAACTATGCACCTTTAAGATGATGTCACATGACATATGTCATGTGAGGACATGATGAATTGGATTGATTTTTTTTATGGTTTGAGACAGTTTTATCAATAGGAGGGTTAAGGTAGTTAACAGTAAGTCTTTTAAACTTACTGCCTGACTCTGTGGGCCAGCACACCCTTCATATGCTGTGGCATATCGTTCTCATCCACTCGTTCCACATACAGCCTTCCCGTACTGACAGCTCTGCCTTTAGGGCTGGCTGCAAAAATGGTGTAGGCACCCCTGTCCTCTGGTAGGACCATCTGAATGCGTAGTGAGCAAAAGCCCTCGGTGGACTTGACATCTAGGCGGGTGGAGCGAACCACGGGCTGGCCGTTCTTGAACCACTGAATCTGAGGGGAGAAAATTACACACGTTTAACAAACTGCCGCGAGTGTGGAATATTTACCTTCACTGACACCAACTTATCTAAAAGTTTTTCTTTGTCCTTTTATTGTATGGTACAGGCATTATTTACCATGTAGACAGTTCCTAAAGAAACCTGTCAACCCATTAAAGATTGCTGTTCCAGAGACTTGCCAAACCAAATTATTCGAAAGATTAGAATAAATTGATTAATAAGTTCATGTGTGAAATAGTTAGGATTTACTATGTTGAACAAAAGACTACTGTAGTAATTTCACTCCACAGTCTTGTCAATGGAAAATGTATACATAAAGGTTGCCTGTCTAAAATCATAATTTGTTTGCGTTGGCCCGAGTTGATCCTAAACTATTTGGTTTTGAGCAACTCTGGAGCGCAAGTCTAAAACTTGTGTTAGATATGTTCAAATGGAACAAAAGGAAGACACATGTACATGTATATATTTCAACAGCAGTTTTGTTAAACAGTGAAGGCTTAGTGTAGACTGTTCAGACACAGGGAACTAACTCTGCAGTACACGTTGTTTCAAAATCCATTCCACACATTTCTACAATTAGTTGCTGGAAAACTCTACCACATCCGACCTAACCAAGTTGATCCAGTGTTCAAGCTACCACCTACATACAAGTCACATTTCATAGAATTGGGGGGGGGGGGGATTTCATGGAGCTGGTAAGCTGAGAACTGATTTGCTTAACAAACTAGGTAACCAGCCAAAATGTCATGGCATGTGTATTGCTTGTGATTGGTTCACTGCATCTTTTTGCTTAGTAAGAAAATATGCTAAGCAAAATGTTCAGCTAAACGACTCCATAAAGTTGGGCACAGGTCAAATTCTCAACTCACCGTTGGTTTTGGAGAGCCCTCCACCCTACAGCTGAAAGTGAAGGGGCTGCCTTCCAAGACCTTGAAGTTCTTCAACTCCTTGATGAAGCACGGGGCACCCGGCCTCTCCGTGTCTGTCTCCATGCCGGATTCTAGCTCAGTCTCTGTCTCTGTTTCTGTCGCCATGCCTGGCAAGTTGGGATCCTGGAGGAGCCTGGCCTCAAAGGCAGGCACACTGAAAGGCTGCAAGGAAATAAATCAAGACAACTTGAAATACATGATTTTATCAGATATCACCGATTCTGCAAAGTCAAATGGAGACTTTCTGTACAGCATCAGCCTGACCAATGCAAATTTGGTTGAAAAAATTGTAAAAGCGGAGCCTATTTGAAATTTATGTTCAAAGGTTGCTATCCTTTACCAATAGGAATTTCCTCGTGAAATTTGATTCTTAATGAATACAGGTCAAACGATCTCCCAAAATGTCTATTTTTAATTGATATCACTTGAGAAGGAATGTCATGATTTCAAGTCACAGAAAACCCCTTAAATAATGTCCTCTTTTTCTCCTTTAACATTGATTTTTTTTCCTTTTAAATCTGCCAATTTTTTTAATGGTGATTCATTTTAGACTGTCCCCATTGAGTTTATTTACCACAGCTTCGATCATTTTCAAGACATATAATTGGGAAAATGAAAATCTAGCAAAATTTAAGTAACTTGGGCTTTTTGATAATGTCATGCTAGCATTTGCCTGAATATGGTGCATGGTAGCAAGAATGACAGGAGTTTTTCTGTGTGCCAGTTATGAATTGAAATTTAGAGGGCTTTTCCTGTTTTAAATTATAAAGATTTAATAAGCTGATGATACATCTTAAGATAACTTGGATCATAAACTTCAGAGGTCTACCTCTACATGAAACTAATAAATAACAATGAAGAGAGTGTTAGTAAATGCTTGCTTCATGTGATATGGAGGTACTATCACACAAAAGGAAGAAATCTATGTCATTTGTACTTCTCAAAGCAGAAGCAACATGCCTCATGCCTGGACTTCAAAGTCATGCTTACAATTTATAAATCAGTCAAAAGTATATCAAGAAACCCACACTTCATTTGGTATCAATTTTTTTTCTTGGACTTAATTCAACAGTAACTTACAAATTTAGAATTAAAAAAAATAAATACATTTCACACACCCTTACGTCCATGCAACACACTTAATAATTTCAAGTAAACAAACAATACAGTCACACATTGCTATAAATTGATAAAAAAAAATCCTGGATGAGTTAATAAAAGAGCCTCGTAAACATGTAATTAATATATTTCTCTTTCCAGACTGTTGGCTGTCACTTCCGTTGATGTTACATCAGTTAGGAAATTACACAAAATCATATTAGTATACAAATGTACCGAACTAGTAATCATCATTTTACATCAACATTAATATTTGTCATCATGTTCACAACTTGACACACCACACCATGCCAATAACCAAGCTTCTCTACAGACCCCCGCTGGTGCCATGTCTGGGTAGTCACCCGATGTCCGACGATCTCTCAAATTGATCTCTTTCTGAAGTCTGGTTTCAAACGGCGACACCTTATACACCTGCGAGTGAGAACGTTTGTTAGCGACTTATCTCTGTTCTACTGATGAACAACACTAATTAATTTTGGTAAGTACAGAAAGTGTTCTATAAAATGGGGAGGGAAGTCAACAAACATGATGCAAGGAGTCCCGCAGAGGGACAAATTCATGCAACAAATTCTAAGAGCTTGAACAGAATGGTTTGGAAAATGCCTTTTGACAGTGACTTAGTTTTCATCCTATTATCCTGATTATGTGTCCGGATTTGTCAATAATGTGAAGATTTTGTTACAAAATGAGGAAATAGGTCAGGGGCTAACGGGGGGGGGGGGGGGGGGGGGGCAAAGGGGGTGGATCGGCACGCCAATCAGATAATCCATCATGGGGTAGTTGCTCTAATAAAGGGGCTTCGTGCATGTAAACTGATTATGTGTCCGGATTTGTCTTTAATGCATTGGCGGAGGTGGACCCAGATGAGGGAGGAGGGGGTAGAGGGGAGGGGGTAAGGAGGGGGTAGGGGGAGGGTAGGGGGAGGGTAGGGGGAGGGTAGGGGGAGGGTAGGGGGAGGGGGTAGGGAGGGGGTAGGGGGAGGGGGGTAAGGGGGTGGAACAGCACGACATGCTGAATGGTGACATGTCTCTACCTGATCGCTGGGGCGAGGTGGGGATGGGTCTGCCGAGCGTTCTCTCAACTGCACCTCTCCCATTAAGCGTTTCTCAAAGGGCGATGGTTTGAATGGCTACAATGTCAAATGATTGGAGAGCTTGAAGAATTATGCCGCACAAAGCATGAGTTTTGCAATGGTTTGTACATGAAGTAGAAATGTACTTTACATATGGGTCATTCAATAAATTTGGGGTTCACTTTTTCCCCTGTCCCTTTAACTTCTGACATCTGTGATGTTATAATTCTGATGCAGTCCTTAATGCAGTCATCTTCACAAGAGTGATTATGAAAAGCAAACTACCTACCCAACAAATAAAGAATCATTTGAGGTCACTCTGTTAATGACACTTGAATGGCAAATTACAAATTCCGAGGTAATAGGGACAGGAAAAAAGAAAAAAGCCTCAAGTTTGGACCCCACATTTTCAGAATGACCCACATTTGAGAAACATTAGCAAGGATTGACTGCATGGAACGTACTGGTATTTTAGCTATGGTCTGGAGAAAAAAAAAATGATCAACTCCAAGACAACTTCTTTATTATTATTTATAAAAACCAAGGTATTCATACGAAAAAGAAATAAACGTACATGTATCATCTAAGTAATTTTTTCTTCTTTGGTTTCATTGGGTTTTTTTTCTCAATAAAATTCAGAGAATCTTGGAACTATTTGGCATTGCAGTTCAACACAAGATTTGGGTTTGAGAATTCTTAGGAGATCCACTGAAATGCTTTCCATTCAAATACATACATGTACCTTCATATAACACCAACTACAAGTTAGAAATATGAAAACATCTCAACAGTGTTGATTTACTTTAAACTGAAACTTAAAAAACAGTCAATACCTGCAACAGAAGGTGGTTATTATAAATGGATAAAAAGTAATAGTATTCATGGATATAAAGTGCACTGCAAAGAACATGTGATAATCTTAACAAAACAAAAAAAAACTTTCAAAATAAATAAAACCGACATTGTTCTTACAGAACATCAATTTAAAATACTTAAACTCTCACGCCACATACAGTGTAGTTTATATTTGAAATTGTAAACGTGGACCTCAGTGACTTCTGTTTGTTAATGTTAATATCAGGGAACGAAGGAACGCTAAGTGTTAATATTATGAGCAAATGTTTTTTTCAAACACGTGAGCTCTTTATGCAAGAAACGTACTGCATATTGCTAACAACCTACATACATACAACATACAATAGGGTGAAGTGTGCACATGAAACTATATCAACTATAATTCAAGTCACAAGAGAAAGTATTCTATTTTCGATTTCAATTGAAAGAACTATTCGCTGGTGATGCAATCACATAATAAATGACAAAAAAATAACTGATGATTGTGATCAGTTTATTAACATGCCAGTTGATGAATCTAGCTCATGCAACAAGATGGCTGGCATAGCAACAGGGTGTAGACATAAGTAACAGATGATGGTTGTTATAGCAACAGTATACCTCAGCAGACTGTATACTTTTGTCGCCGTCCGCCCCACCGGAAGGTTGAGGGAGGTACCTCTCCCTGTAAGCAACTTCCTGCAAAAGACGCTTCTCAAACGGGGAGATTTTGTAACCCTAGGGGGGTAAAGAGATGCATTTGGAAGGAGGCAGGGAAGGGATAAAACCATGCACTCCATCGTAAATGTCACAAAATTTCAGTTCCGGGAAAATTTAAGAGGAAAATGAGGAAGAAACGCTATTATGGGGAGGGGTTCTATCCAAGGGAGGCAGGTTCCATTTAGTACAAAATTTGGGTCAAAATGCTCTGTTACAAGAAAATCACATCAGCTTTGAATTAGAAAATCACTTTCCGTTTTTACCAACTACGGGTGACTTAGAAGCTTGTGGATTCAAGACCAAATGCTGATTAATGAATACAATGAAATAAGTGATTTCAATTCAGATGTAATTTGAGATATATTGATATCAAATCTCTTTCCCTCACACTTTCTCCTTCAGACAATATGCAAGTTTTCAAGTAGTGCTCATTTTTGTCTTTTGATTGGACAAAACAATTTCCAAATAGTTGTGAAATAAGGACTGCAATAGTTTCAGAAAATGTCTTAATAATGCTTTACATGTCATTCAGCATAACTATTTACCAAAAGCTAGCATACTTATGGTCTACCATAACAAAAATGCATGGAATTAACTGATGATACCGTAAGTTAAAAAAACCACTCAGGAAGAATAAAACCAAAGAATGTGGCGCATACAGAAGTTTCAGCAATAGCTGCTCTGCTCACTCTTTAAGAACACAAATTGCAGCACAGGCAGCAGCAAACTAACCTCAACAGCTTCAATTATAAATGTGCGATGTCAAATAGCTTGCAATCACTTCTTCCACTCATCATTGCGTATTTGTTCAACTACAAACAAAATGTATCGATGAATTGTTTACCTCATGATCGACATCATGGTAGACGTTGCCCTGCATGTCCACACTGCTCCCGTGCACAGTGGCCCTGCCCGGTGACAGGGGCTCTTCTTGGAAGGGATCTGAGTATTCTTGGACTGGACCGCGGAGACGAGCTTGCTCCTCGTATTTCTGACGCATCCAGCGATTATAGTCAGCTGTGGAGAAGTATAGCAACATAGTGTTCAGTGTATATGCATTTATATTCATCTATGCAAATTTGCTACTGACATTAAGTTGGAAAGTGCGTACTTCTGCATGTATTCAATGGTTTGTAAGGAAAAATGCAGTGATTGATCAAATTTTAAAGATTTTACACATTGGGTTCATCCATTTTTGTGTTCATATTTTTGAATGTCTTTTTCCAATGCATCTGATGACTTTGCTTTTGAACATTTTTGTGCTGGACTTGAAGGGCAAGCCTACTGTACTGTCTGACTGAGTCACTAACTGACTGACTAACTAAGTATGACTAGTGTCCTCAATTGAGACAGTTAGGTCCAGTTTTAACTATGTAAGCCTAGTTTTGTTGCCTTAATTTGTTATCTAAGCTATACATATCAATACCTCTTGTATCCTTTTGTTTGACGAAATTCCTATATAGCTAAATCTTGATAGCTTGTTTAAGTTTGGAATCTGTTAAAATAATGATGACAAGTTTATAACAGGCCCAAAGAAAGCAGTAAACATACAATAATATGTTTTTCTCACAATGTCTCGGGACAGCACTGAGTATATAGTTTTTTTTTTTTTTTTAATGTCGGTGAAGGGCAAAACCCTATATTGAATAAACCTTTGTTGCTGGAACCAAAAGCCCGCCTATTGTCATCTTAGTGACTGAGTCACTGGCTGACTGATTGACCAAGACAGTATGTCCTAAACAGAAACTTGAAGGTCCAGCTCAGTTTAGCAAGCTAGTCTTGTTTATACATGATCCAGTGATTTAAAGTCTCTTAGCTTTATCTTTGAGAGGATTTACCTTCAGTCATAAGCAAGGCTTTACAGACAGCTTCGCCAGCATCATTCTTGGCGATGCAGGTGTACTGTCCGATGTCATCGTCCAACATCATGGTGATCTCCAAGGAGACAAAGCCTGTCTTCATGTCTTGTCTCGGGATGAACCTACAAACGACAAAATTCAAAATTTATCTTACCACGACAGATAACTTTCTGAGCGGTCTCAAGAAAAAAAAAATTCACAAGAAAAACAAAATGGAGTCCCAATTATATGTCAGCAAATAAACGGAGACCTTTAAGCTTTTTTAATTTTTGCGCTCTTTAGTTAAAAAGTGGAGTACCAACTTAACTTCAAATTTTGAAATACAAATTCTGCATGCCTCTCTTGAACAGAAGCCTATACTTTATTTCAAAATCATGATCTCAGTTTCCACTTTAATGCTTCTGTTTAAACACAGATGAATGATTTGGAAGTAACTGGGATAATGGAGTGAGAGTGATAGTAAGCCTCTAGCTACTATGGACAGAGAAGTCAAGTTTCACGAAGGTTAATTACGTGTATACATCTTGATCAATCAGTATTGATCCACATGGCACACATTTGGAGGCGAATTAGACACATCAATCTTAAAGATTGATGTGTCTAGTTCGTCTCCAAGTGTGTACCATGTGTAAGACTATTCACATAAAGGAAAGAGAACCCCTTTCATAACCTATTCGAGTACTGTGATATCCAATATGAGTTTCACAAGTTGGCCTATATTGTGGGCGTATAATTGTGCAAGTGCATAACAGGAACTAGAAATTTACGAAATTATAAACATCCAATTGGCAAAGCAATACCTAGAGCTATTTATATTGCTTATTTTTATAGAGCATTTGCTTAAAATTTACTGAAATTCTATGCAACTTACTATAAACCTGACACTTCAGTTGTTAGAAAAATTCCAGTTTGAAAAGGAATGACTCCAAAAATGGTTTTATTATTGTGGAAATGGGGAAAATAGTCAAACTTTAATTTGAAAGACAAGCTCAACTCTCTTCGTGCAGTGAACTTAATTTGTTGGCTTGAGCATCATAATGCCTTGTTTTAATTCTATCTGATGGAGGCAATGAATTCTTTACTCAAAGGGTTAAATGCAGTTTTAGTTCTTCTTTTTAATCTTGATGACCTACCTGTACCCAGCGACTGGGGCACCGTTCCTCAACCAGACAATCTCTGGGAAGGGTTTGCCTCTGACAGCGCAGTCAAAGCGGCAGGTCATCCCCTCGTTGAATCGCATGGGTTGCATCTCCTTGGTGAACTCTGGCTTAGTGTCACCAGCAGAGGGTGTCTTGCTGTCGGCTGAAGGGACACTGTTTAAGGCATTGGTCTGGGGTTTCCCAGAGCCTGAGAAAAAATGAGAGCGGGTAACAGTAAGCACTAAAAACATGTTTGAATCGACTGACTTTTGGCCATGGGGAATGAGAAAGTACTTAACTCTTTGAATTGGGAAGGTTTTGTTAAGCAGAGTTGTAATCGTTCCAATCACAAGTCAAATCACAAGTTAGGTCACATATAACAGGGGATCACAGTTCATTTGAATAGCTTGACCTGACACTGGATAACTTGTGGTGGACTTGTGGTGACCCGCGACAGACTCCATTACAAATCTGTTGTTAAGTCATTTCAAATGTCTGAAATCTCGATTTTTAACCAGCTCAGAATTAGCCAATATGGTATCTTGATGAAGTAGTCCATGTCAAAGGTCATTTGCGATAAAATCGTTGACGTGATACGCGATGTTATGCGGACGCCCATTCTGCTTGTAATTAACACGCGAGCATCGCGCGCCTGTCTCCGTGCGCATTCATGTGCCTTTGATGAGCATTCGATTATCCCGAATGACCCGAGACCCATATCATTTTTGCGCATGCGCAGTTGAAATACCGAACTGGCTTATTGTACTTTAAGTCCATTGCAAGTCCTGTTCAATTAAACAAAAATAGGTCAAATAAAAAGCCAAACCACAATTCAGGTTCACAAGTAACAGGGGATGAACATTGACAGAGGAAGGCCTTTATCACAGCTCATCTAAGTCGCTTATCACTTGTCTTGTACATGTAGTAAGACAGATGGCTTGTGATTGACTAATAGGATTACTTGATTTCAACTCTGCTTCAGCAGTTCTGAATCCATTAGGGTCGAGCAATGTCAGGATATGGATTTGGAGAGCTAACCACCATTATAAACAGGCATTCTAGAGTTGCTGCCAACACAAAAAAGCAAAAAAGAACCTCAGGTCAACCCAAATATGATTTGGTCTCAGACACGCCAACTTGATCCATTAAGTTTCTATTGACTAGAACGATGGCTGAAATCAGGATGCTCTGATCAAGTCGCTTTGAACGACAACATCTTGAGCACGTAGTCACTCCTTATTGTTTTAACATCGAACTTCATATCTTCTGAATAATTCAGTTTGGTTAAATTTACTGAAGACACACCTGTCACTCTCAATTGGCAGGTGGTTGACCTGCTACCAGCTGGGTTGGTAGCGGTGCAGGTGAACTTCCCTGCATCATCGGTAAAGACCTCGGGTATAGTCAGGGTGGCTACGCCGTTGCTGTAACCCATCTCAAAGTCCAGGCTTGGCTCGATCTTAGCACCGTCGCGGAACCAGGCGATTGTCGGTTGGGGTTGGCCCTTGAGGGTGCAGGATAGTGTGGTGGATTGCCCTTCTTTGGCTTGGACGTCAGAAAGAGACTGTTCAGAAAAGCAGAGGAAAACCCATTAAAGTCAAGTCAATCAATAACAAATTAATGAATATGAAGAAAATGAATAGATTCAGATTTTACTACGTTTTCATTTGAAGGTCACAACCCAACGTCATCAATGTCTTGTTCAACTGTATATTAATTAGCTCTACACTCCTGGCTTTCTTCCAAGGAACTTTCTCCATTCACCAACAAAATCAAACAGTGCACAAACCAGCAGCACATATTTTTCAGTTAAAAAAAAAATCCTAACGTTAAGAATGATGTAAACAAATGATGTTTGGAACCTGCATATTCAAGCCTTTGAAATCATGAAAAACCACGTGGGAAATTACAGTAGATTTTGCGTAAAATCTAAAATTGAATTAATGTTATCACCGTTTTTTCCCTAAAAGGATGGGCATGCCAAATCTGACAGGAAGGTTGTAATGTAACTGTTGACACGCCCATCAAATTATGAAAACCAACGACGGCAACAATGTATGGCAGAAGGATATTTTCGCCTTGTGATTGATGAATGCCAACCTTAGTGAATACTGGAGCAGACTGCTGTGCACTCTGTTGTGGTGGTGGTGGTGGTGGTGGTGCACTGTGTGATACAGCATCCTGCTCCTTAGTCACTGTCTCAGCGGGGATGGGGCCCTTCTGACCTGCCTTGCCACCTGTTACAGACAGAATGGGGAGGTCAGTAACTAGACACACTAACTGATCGTTTTTCCTGTTGCATCTCTGAACCTCGGGCAACATTCACATTACTTACGACCCACACTAACACAGGTGGCTATGGGAAGTGGCCAGCCACTTCCATTGGCACATGTGTAATTTCAAGTTGTAGCCATGTAATTCAGATGCAGTCTCACACTAAAAATGGAAGGTAAACTGCTTTTGAGCATATCAGGATGCTTTAAAGGGTTCATCATGTTGTAAATTGCCTTATTTCAGTTTCGTACCAGTCAGTAGGGCAAAGTCAATATGCAGAGGCACAAGAGAAAACTTTTATGAAAGAAACACAGGTTTTTAACATTGCCAGGTTGTTTCACCAAGATTTACTTCAACCCAGAAGCACTTGTATTCCATTGCTCTACACCGTATTCAACTCCTCAATAAAACCATAAAACCAAAAAGTGGAAATGGTTTGGGGCGGTATAAGTAGCAACAGGCAGTACACTTTGGGGTGGCACAGGACTAATATAAGTTTACAATAGGTGAACTGTGGTGACTCAAATCATAGTCACATATTTGGCACAATGACAACAATGACCATTCTTCCATTATAACTTTCCAAATTTACAAAGTTTTAGTTTACCACCCAAAAAGATAATTTCCCAACCTTGTATGCTTTATATATGACTTGAAGCTTTGCATGGCGGATGAGGAAGTTTTCGGGTAACACCATGTGGAAAGAAATCTCTTCTTAGAAGAAGTGTGGATTTCGGTTCTTTTCAGAACCAGTTCAACCAGTTCTTTTCAGAACCACACTTCTTCCAAGAAGAGATTTCTTTTATGCTGTCATCCATCCATACTTACTGCTAACATTCAGCTGCGCCTGACTGGACGCGACGCTGGCCGAATTCTCCGCTCTGACCGTATACTAACTTTCCAAATTTCAAAGTTTTAGTTTACTACCCGAAAGATCATTCCTCAACCTTTAAGGCTATGTCATCCATCCGTACTTACTGCTAACATTCAGCTGCGCCTGACTGGACGCGACGCCGGCCGAATTCTCCGCTCTGACCGTATACTCCCCTGTGTCCTCGTCAAAGACCTCCGGGAAGACCAGCGTGCACCGCTCACCATCCCGGCCGATCTGGATGTCCGCCGAGGACTTCAGCTCGTCCTTGTTGTGGAACCAGGTGACGGTGGGAGCGGGAAGGCCGGTGACGGTCACCTCGAAGCTGACCTTGTCGCCTTCCTTGACCTGCTGGCTCTGGAGGCGTTGGGTGAAGCGAGGTGCATCCGTGACATCTATTGGTTCAACAGATTGCAGAATATCATCTTCAAGAAAGATCTTTCATTTTAAGCATGAAAACGTTCAGTAATCAATGCCTATTTCTTTTTTCTTTGCATGCAGTGGTTATTCAAAATTTCAATTAAAACATTTTTCAATAAGAAAAACGTTTGCGAGAACAATTGATGCAGAACGAAATTTTCAAAACAACACATGCTTAGTGTGTTATAAACCAATTGCACAGGTACTTGTATTAGCACATGAGAAAAATTTCGATTTTATCCTCTTGAACACTTATTCCAGAATTACAAACATTTGATCATAATTACATGTACAACAAATAATTAGTGACTTGTAATTAAATTTAATCTTTCCAGAAGATCAAAAGTTTTTTTGAATACTGCATCACAATCAATTCATGCAGTGAAAAACCTACTATTGAATTACATCACCCTGACGCAAATTCCATCCTATGAAAAATCCATGCAGTGTTTCCAGATTAAACAAAATAAAAAAGAAAAGCAATCAAATATCTTAAAAAAATAATGAACTTAAAATAATATTCAACAAACGGTATAGTTATTATCAATTTTAATAAAAAAGCAAAGGTTTTATCTTTAGAAGGCAGTATATCTACTCAAAAAAACAAAATAGAAATACAAGTCAATTGTTGAGAATAACTGCTGGGGAGAAAATTTGCATTCAAGTAAAACTGCAATCACAACACATCAACAACACAGCACATCAAAGCAAGCAAGCAATATGGCAATCACACTATTGTATCCACAGTAAGAGGTTGCTTCAGAATCACACACACAGTTTCAACTGCAGAACCACTGCTTTTGTACATATTTGGCTGGGCGAAGACTGACAAATCAACGACTGTAGTCAGTAAATTCCATGCATAAGCCACATGCAAGCCACTCAAGGCTCTACTCAGAAAAACAGAAGTATAACTGCAGTTAATATCGATGTATGATACTGAAATGGACTTGTCCAACCACCTAACATAGAAGACATTACTGGGGAGTCAGGTTGGCATAGCGGCACTTTCCTCGCCTTCCACTGCTGTGACCCGGGTTCGAATCCCGCCAGGGCCAATAAGTGGATTGGGTTTTCAGTCGCCACATGTACCTGATTCCGTGGGTTTTCCCTAGAGTATCATTCTGGGTTTTCCTCCCACCTCTAAAACTGTAATTTCCTTCTCGTCTTCTCTCTACAGGTTTCTTCAGCCATGCAAGCTACAGTGCCTAGGGCGCTTTTGAGGAATCCTCGGTTTTATTAACAGAAGTAAATAATGATAATAATGACACACTGTGACTTGCTTGCCCATGTCGCAAACTTAGTATTAAATTTGAGGCACACATTGATTTTAGCAACTGCACTGGTCAATGGCGCATTGAGTTGCATGTATACAAAATATTTACAAGCACATGTTCCATGTACAAGCACTGCCCCACCTCAGTAATGACTTCTATTTGTGGTTGTATTTGTTTTTAAAACAGAAACCCCCGGCTACCATTTCAGCAACTAACCTTTGACTACCAGCTCAGCGGTGGACACAGCGGTACCGACAGGGTTTTTGGCCTCACACTTAATCTTGCCCGCATCGCTAGCGTCCGCTTTAGGGATGCGGAGGGTAGCGCGGCCCCCTTTGAGGCTGATCTGATATCTGGGGGAGTTTTTCAGCTCAGTGTCATCTTTGAACCAGCTGACACTGGGCTCGGGGTTGCCTAGTTTAGGGAGGAAGGGGGCGATTTGAAGAAAGCAAGCAAAACAGAGATAGAATAAGAAAGATGCTACAACTGTGAAGACAGGAGACAGCAACATCTATGCAGAATATTTTATAGAAAGCAACAATTGGCTAAGTTTGCAAGGTGTAGTACAGCAAGAACTTATAAAACACTAATGAAGTTCCTATGAAAATAAAATAATAATGAAAATGTAACACTCAACCTTATCTTTTTTTTTTGGGGGGGGGGGACTTTTTAGCAAGTATTTTTTAGATGGGCGAATGATCAATAAAAGCTATTGAAGATAGGATATGTGCAAACAAATTCTTAACCCAACAATTTAAAAAGAAAAGGTTGCAAGGATAAATTTTCAATTTCTGTTGCTAAAATTTACACTATGATATGTACATGTACCTCTACATCTATGTATTTTTTTGACGATGAACGGACCAAACTATATACTGAATAGATTGATTGCATTCGACAGCCACCTTGGAGGTGTGTTTCGTTATGTTAATTCATTAACAATGAATGCAAGAAGAGGTATTACTCTGTGGTGGAACAAAAGCTTACAGCTCCAAGATGGCTGCAGTGCAAACGATCCATAGTGTTGAGGGTGCAGACAGAAATTATGCAAAAACACTACAAGGGCCGTGCTATTTTGACCATCTCTCAGCCGGGGGGAGATCTCGGCCATCGAGTGACAAACAATTTTGCAACTCAGTACATGCATAGAACAACTTATCATATACATACCCAAGAAATCTCATGACCAAAGGTTAAAGGGTTTTGGAATTATGGCTAATTAATTATTCATATGCATGAATGGTAATTCTGCTCTGTGTACACTACATATATTGGGTAATTCAGTTTTCACGGCGCATAGCGCCGGAAATTTTTTTTCGCTGCGCGGCAACCCGTATTCCGATTTTCATGTTTTTGGTATCAAAAGATGCGCAAGGCTCGAGGCTTAACAGTCAGAACAGCTCAGGTCATGAAAAATTTGTTTTAAAGCTATCGCGGAAAAAGTTGAGGGGTAGCAGATTCCGCCCATCCCCTTTAGGGTTAAGTATTCAAAGGTATTTTGAAAGAGACGGAACTGGGCACAGGCCATAGTGGAGAAAAATTTAAAAACCAAAAAAAATGGGGTGATTTTTTTTTCAATTTTCAGATTTATTGATATTTAAAGAAATAGTAGAAAAATCGTGGAATACAAGTGTTTTTAAGGTGAACGATTGTCATCTTTCATGTTCACGAATAAAAAACTTGAAATTTGTAGGCCTATTTCTCAGTATTTTAAATTTGTGACATTTTGATAAATGCGTTCTTTCATTAAACATCCATAACTTGTCAACAGAATGTCCGATTGAAGTGCAACAAACAGCGCTGTAAGGAGAATTTTATTCTCTTTCCTAATATCTGCAAAACTTCATTTTGACCTCTGCCCAGTTCTGTCTCATTTTGCCAGATTGCCTCACATATAAATGTATGATAAGGTTAACAGTAACTACAGTTTTTTTTAAAATTTCGGAAAAACCTTAGTAATTGAACAGACTATAGAGATGTAAGTATATCAAAAAAAATAGCACCTCCAAAAACTGAAAAAGGAGTGTACATGTAAGCAAAAACCTGCTTGAATGTGAAAAAAAGTGGAAATGCAGTAGATAACCCCGAAAAGGCCCATGGCGGATAGATGAGAAGTGAAGATCAACAACTGAATGAGTGAAGTGGAAACGTGATGCGAAAGACTAAGCGGCGGTAAAAACTAGCTGTGGACAAACAGAAAGCCAATCCGTATCGCTACTTGGGACACTGAGTGTATAAAGGATGGCACACACGCTCCCAGGCACGGCTCAAGTGTTGTACAAACAGTGCAAGGCTGGTGGATAAGTGCAGAAGTCATGAAACTACAGTGATGCATGTGCAAAATAAAACTCGGTGGGTAGAACTTCAGATTTGTTTTCAAGGGTTGAAATGTTGTGTTTTTGGTTCAGTCCTTGAATTTTTGACAACATGTCAGGATTGGTAATTACAACTCTGTTCTAAATTAGAATATCTACTCGATTATAACAAACTACTGCTCTCCCCTCCCCCCTCGTCCCTAGGTTTACTTGAAGGACAGAATCTAAAACACTGCAAGAATAAGTTGAGCAAGTCAAGTAGATGCTCTTGTTTTAATGTGCTCAAATGTTCTAATGGATGTTTTGGAGTGATGGTATGACTCACAGCAGATCTACAGCAAACAACGAGTGCCCACCTGATTAAAGTTACACAACTGAATTTCCACTGGACGATGCATTAAGTTCTCCATTGCCACATTCAAGAATTTATAATGCTGAAGAATTTGTTGTGTTTTATTGATACATTTGTGGGGAATTTTTCTGCCAACCAAATGTAAATTTTGTGACAATTCTTTACCTTTAACAAATTACTTTTGTCAATGTTTGAATACATGTATTCTGAGGGCACAAAATCGCAGAAGGCAGACAGAACATACGTACATCAAAGCATGAATGTATTCTTGTGATTTGTTTTCAATGATAATGCATGTCCATTGAAGAGTTTATTTCTAAAACGCAATCTACTCCATTTGTTCCCTTTTAGCCCAAAAGGTAATTTCAACTACTATTATACAGTTAAACACAATACAATACAGTGAAACAAGAATACAATAAAGTGAAAAACAAAGTTTACAAATGGCAGCTATACTGTTTTCATTCTTTAAAGTTTCGTTACTGTGCAATTTGTTCACATTTTTTTACAAATGGATGTATCACGTTTTGGAAATAGATTCGACATAGAATTCATGAATGAGTTGTGAATTTTCAATGTTCCCCCAAAAGGTAATCTTTTTAGTTTTTCACAGTAAAACACATCTTGTATCAAACATGCAATATCATTACATGTATGATGCAAGATATGTTTTTCATTTTTTTTTTAATGAAGCAATGGAAAAACTATCTGCTGACCAAAAAAAAAAAAATTCCAAGCGTTTTTTAATTTTTAGAAATTATTTTTTTGGGGGGGGGGGTGTTGTAATAATCTCGCAAAGTGATGATGCCATTTCATTTGGAGGTTATTTTCATGTTTTGTCTTTTGCTTTTTTTCAACTTTTTTTTTAATGTTTCATTGTTTTGAAAAGAGCTAAAGGCAGAAATTTGCAGAAGGCAGAAAGAAAACATCAAACCAAATATCAAATCTTGCAGATTGCATTTTTCAAGCATGCACATTTTTTGAATGATTTATGCTAAGCTAAATCACAGATTGATGCTCTAAATGACCATGACAAGTCCCTACCTTGGATGACAGCCTCGAAGGAGGCTGGCTTTCCCTGGACAAGTGACACGCTCTTGACCGGCTGGCTGAACTTGGGCGGGTCCTCTTTGAACTTTGACCTCTGGCCGAACATGGCGGTCACTTTGGTGGAGGTGGTGGTGGTGGTTTCAACACTGTCGAGAAAACAAAAAAGGAAATTGTAAATGCAAGGAAAACCAAACTTGATTTATTCTCTTTTTGAGTCACTTGTCGTGAGAATGAACAAATAAGTAAACAATATTAAAAGTTACAATTATGCAAAGAATTAATCACCAATTTCATTTAAACATTGAAAAATTTGAAGTTACTGATTTATGTAAATATCTATGCATCTATGTAAATATATTATAGATTACAATTGCAGATGCCATTTAAAGTGTAGATGTAAGTACAATCCAACTAGTATTTGTTCTCTTTTTGAGGCTGTGTAATTAGAATGAACAAACAAGTAAAAAAAAATAAAGGTTGCAATTATGCACAGAATTACTCACCAATTTCATTTTACAATGAAATAAACTGAAGTCACTAATTTATTTTGTATTGTGAACAACTGTCCTACATAGTGACATATATAAGATAGTGACATATAAGTTGGATTTTATTCCTATAAGATAAAGATTTACAGTAGCACCATGTGACAAATCTCTTCTGTGAGTTTGTGAGGTCCTGAAAAGAATGATGTTACCTGAATGGTAAAATCATTCATCATGTCGGACTTAAAGAATCCGGTGTGTGACGCAGCATCCAAAACAGCCAATTAGGATTAGGTAAGAGAAAAGCGCACAGCTAAAACCTAATGGACCAGGCCGGCGGTGTGACACGAAACAAACCTGGATCAGCCCACTGACTTACATACCACGCCTGTTGACATGCAGATGCGATCATGAACTACTAACTTACTACTTCTTAATGAGGGGTGGTGACATCCCTGGAATTTAGCATTTATGGTGTTATATTTGGGAGCCCTGTGGTAATTCTTACTGAGGGGGAATTGGAATGTGAAATGGAATGCAGCTTTTTTGGCTACAAACTGATTCCAAGAATTTTTTTTTTAACTCATGAAAAAGGGTTGCCTTTCTCTTTCAGTATTGAATCATATTTTTTTCCCTAAAGAATGAGGTTAAATTTGGAGACTGATTCAGGTACCATGAGAGCAGATGCCAGTTCAACTATGACTTGTTTTCAATATGGACTTGGATATTTTTCTTCAATGCGTGGGAGGGGATTTACTTGTGTCAAGCCTGTTGAAGTACAAGCATGTGGGCTCCTTGTTTTACATCCAACGTGTCAGATGATTGGAATGGTCTGTTTGGCATCAGCACGTGTTACTTCTTGCATCTTTTTCTTATTTTAAGTCCAGACGTCAATACCAGATTTGTTACATTCCTGACTGGCAGAAGTAAATAAACAGCACCAACAACAGAAACTCAGTGAACCATTTGTTCCGCAGAAATGGCAAAGGTTATAATAAAGCAACAAATAAAGCTGAATTGTTGGGCCTCAGCACATGTACCAAGTACATTACTGAAAAAACTTTTCTTCCAATATCATTTAGTCTCTCAAAAATGAGTGCATTTCAACAACAACAAAACCGACAAATTGAATGTACCTCCTACATTTACATGGAACTGACAACAATGCTATGGTCTCACCAATTTAAACATTTTAGAACAGCATGTGTGTTTCGGCACATGAAATTCCAACACCAAAACAAAGATTTCTGAGAACGCAGATCTTCTTCAGAAAATTACTATTAAAGAATTTCAACAATAATTGCAGCTGGGCAGAAGAATTTCTACAAGTACAGTGTTCAGGCCCGTTGACAAAGGGGGGGGGGGGGGGGGGGGCTGGTGGGGCCAGGCCCCCCTTGGCGAGCAATTGACCCCCCCAACGGCAAAAGCCATATATATGTATTTTTGTATTTTTATGGTAGTGGGCCCCCTTAGTTGGTACTATGGCCCCCCTGATGCTCAGGGCTGGCGACGGGCCTGACGGTGTTCATCTTAAAAGTTATAGACTTGCCCTTATTAACTCATAACACATCCCAGCATGTGATTTACTAGCTCCAAGGGTTTTGAGTTGTCAAAGTATGTGTCCTTAAACAACCTTGATTTGGAGGTCACTGCACTGTGGTGTTGCCTTGGTGACAAAGATTTGAGGTCAGTGACCTAATATATTTATGACTGTTTTATAATGCAACAATCAATGGCAAAAAGGCCAATATGAAATAAAAATGTGTTACTAAATTATTGTTTTTCTTGTTCTATACCAAAGTAAAAACAAAGTTAAGTTGAAATATTTTAAACCCGGTTTTAAGAACTGTCATATTGGTGTCGCTGTCGATGTTAAACAGACATTAAATTTCTTTTACCTTGTTTCTTTGGGGAAATTTTTTTTTTTCAATGCTCATAAACTATATCAGAATTTTGTTAAGAAAAAATTAAGCCAACCAGCGACAAACTTTGGTAGTACATAAACATTTGCATAACTGAATGCAAGCTATCTACTTTTCAAGTGAGTTTCTCTTTCTTTTGGGAGGGGGAGGTTTATTTAGCAGCTTATTTTTCTTGATAAGATCCATGAGTCACAAAAATAATTGATGACACAATAATGCATAGTTCTCAATAAACTTGACTGACTTAATATGGGAAACATTTGTTCCTGACAATTCATCACGTACGCACACACATTGTGATGCAAGTGGTGTGGAATGTGCTGATACCCATCTGGTGGCTCATGAGGGCCGAATTACTAGTAAGACGCGGCAACATCCAACCACAGCAATTCTCTAACTAAGCCTTGATGTACAAGCTAGACTGCTGTAAGCATCACTGCTTCCCATGAGCCAAACTAAGACATCTTGGAACAACATCAGTCCACATCGGATCCCTGACTGTAAACTGTTTCAGTTGCCAGACCTTTCTTACATGTACATGATGTACCATCCTAAATGTGACAAACAGCTGAACGCTAAAGGGAAAGCTCATCTTGGCAAAATACTCTCACAAGAGCATTCTTGATGAAAATCCAATCCAGGTTAGGCCAGCCCACACATTTTGAACTACAAAAGTCGGTATCGATGCATCATTGCTCCACATTCAATCGAGATGACTTTCACATGTCAAGAAGTTTCCACGCTTGTCGATCATGGAATGAAATAGTTGAGGCAGTTGGCTATTAACCAATTTAAGGCACACAATACCATTTAGGGTATTGTTCACCTTCATTTTGAAGTGTGATTGGCAAAGTTAACATTAAAAAAAAGTGGCCACATGCGACTTGCATATAAACTGCAGGCCACTGTCGAAAAAAAGACACCACACAAAATTTGCCCTAGACAGGGGAACATTTTACTTCTTCGAATACCCACACAATTGTTATGGACAACACCCTGATTCAGTCGCAAAAAAAAAATAATAATACAAAGGCATGGACCATTTGCAAGTTTCAAAATTCAATACACGAATATTTATCTTGCAAGAAGCATGCCAAATGATCACAAAACAAACTTGTGAAATCTGATTGATCAATAATTCAAATAAATTCAGAGTTTTTAGATTTTATCAAGAAATGGACACCACCATTAACACATAAACAATTTGAAAACACATTCTCAGCACCATGAAATACAATGCTTTAGGACGGTCCCAACCAATCACACAGTAAGGAAACAACACAACGATGACATCATTCTATTTTCGTTCTGAAATCTAAACAGTTCTGATCTAAGTCCTTCCTGGCTCAGCCTGCGTTGGCGGTGGCCCCCATGTCTGGAATGCCAAGCATCTACATGACATCTCAGTAGGGAGCTCAGAAAGTGAAATATAAAGATGTCTGATAACGACAGACCATCCAACTCCCAATATCATGACTGATGGTTATATTTATTAATACTGGTGACATCATGGCCTATATTCTTGGTATCATACTTTTTTACCAGATGTGTTGTTAATTATAAATAATATTGCAAGTGATACAGTATAAAAAAAAAATTCAATTTTTAATGATTGCTAGACTTTAATTTTCATTGGTGTTTAAATTTAGTAGACAGTGAAAGTTCCTTTTTTTGCGTGAATTTTTTTTGGCAATAGGAAACACATATGGTTGAAACCACTATGAATGCAAAATACAGAGAAGCTCTATAAATAAGATCTTTAAGACATCTAAAATATTCATCAATCTCACTCTTCGTCCTCAAAAGAGGGAGGAAAAAATATCGAGTAAAAACTCTGCTTACATTCAATAGAAATGTGACCTTACATAACCCATAAACACTCTCCATCAAAGAAAAACAAACAACTTCAATTCTGGATAATTTGGGGGCAAAACCTAACCAGAAAAACAAAAGCCGAATTTTCAAGATTAAACTAGTTCTGCATGAGTACTTTAATATTGAAGGAGTTTTGATTTCAGTGTAAGGAAATCCCTGCCTATGCATCGCACGGCACAGAGATGCCATCAACATACAAGCATATGGTAGGCCTTACCATATAAGGTGCTGTACACTGCTACCGCAGTGTGAGCTTCAGCTATGCCCATCAGGTACGGTACATACACACACTCGCTCAGGTCCCCACATAGCAAGTCATGGTCAGCAATAAAGATGGCCCGATATCATGAAGGCCATGGACTAGAATCTTTGTGGTTTATTCATAGTAGCGCAGGTAAATATCTGCGACAAAAGGACTTTTTTAAGACTTCAGGTTTTTACGAAGGATATTTAATATGCCTGCAGGCTCGACTATCTAAAGTACAAAAATGTGCGGTATGTTGTGAAGTGCGTTTACCAGAGTGCTGCGAAGCTAGTGGTATTATTCAATACAATTTCATGCTCTAATCTATGCCACTACTTGTGGTTAAATTCCTATTACATAAAAGTGACAATTTTGTAATTATTCGAACTCTTACACAGTGCATTATATTTCAGTCGAATTAATGTAACAATTAAATGGTACAACTATTTAGTAATTTGTATTGTGATCTAATACTTTTTAAGTTGGAGTTTCTGTTAATAGAATAATATTCCAGCTACTCATGTTAAGGTGCTTTTATAGCCTTCTCTGTAAACAATCTGTTAATCTGTTAATCAATTGGAAAAAAAGGTCAGATGACAAGCTCACTACACGTCCAGCATTAAAAAAAGATTTCGCTAAAATAAACAGGATTTAAGATGGCGCAGACAAAAATGAAAGATGCAACTAAAATTTACAGTTTCAGATCTAAAGAGGATTACTGAGGGGCGGAGCTAAGAAGCCACTCCCAAAACTCAAGCTGCTGCCCAAACTAATTGAGCTCTTTCTTCACATGAAATTCATTGATTTGCACAATTTTATAAAATAGGAATTACATCCATACATGACGTACCTTAGTACAGAAATTAAAGCAAGTACTTTTTTAAAAAATGAAACTAGTTAATTCTTAAAATTACACAAATTGTTTACAAATTAATGGAAACATTTTTCCTACCGATTGAATCACCCCCTTTGATTCCAGGTCCATTCCCGACAGCTTTAAATTGGCACCAGCAGGGCCTTGTCTTGGTTCTTCGTTGCGAAAAAACAGAAGCTTCCAAACTTTTTTATTTTACAAAACACCAGACGTTAATTCCAGACACTTTCTCACAGAAAAAATGGACGGCTCGACAGCCGAGTTTCTCTTGCTCTCTGGATGTTGTTCTCTTGGTGGTAGGACTGCAAGTCAGCCCAACATTATGGTTTACAGATGCAGCCCTAGACTGGCTAATTAGCATACCGGTGCACTTATACAAGCTGGTCTCTGATTGGCTGGTCCCTCCGTGAGCTGCATGTGCAGATTCCATTCCAATTAGCACGAAACTGAGCAGATCAATTTGAATAACCCCGCCTCTGCTGTGATGTCATCTGACTGGCAGAGTGCCAAACTTTTTAATGGAGAGCATTTCATAAGGTAATTCTGTTGAGGGCTTTAAAGTATTTTGCATATTTGGGCTGTCTATACATCCTGCAGTTACTTGATTGGCAACGGAGTACGGCTCTAGGATAAATGTATTATAATTTCAACTACTGATGTAAAGCTTATTATTCCAAGATAAGTGATAAATGTGATATAGGAGGCCCAGCCCAAGGCAATGCTGCAGACGGCTTGCTCCCACAAAATGAAAGTTAAGGTCAACTGCTGCTGAATGAAAAGTCCAAAATACAATCCCAAAAGGCAGGAAAGATTTCAGGTTATTTGAAATACTTAAAAAATGTATATGTATGTGTAAACAGTGTGTACTTATCTCCGAATTCTAAAAAAAAAGAGAGTTCAAATCAGACAAATTTTGCTTTATATGCAGTTGCTGATATTTATTTACTAACATTTAAAAAAAAATGTAAATTAAAAAAAGTGTTGTTTTATCCACTTATTTTACAAATTTGTCAAAGTTAATCAACTAAAATTAGCTGACAAGCAGATTTATGCTTGAAAAATGGAGCAAAATAGGGCAAGAAAGAGGCACAGAATACAGGGGCGGATCAAGGTTTGCCGGATGAAACGGGGGGGGGGGGGGGAGGGGGGTTTGCTGCCAAGAGGGGGATTATGCAGGCATTTGCTGTATTTGTCTGCATGATTTTCTTATTTTTTGCAGTGCAAAAGGAGGGTCTAGATCCTCTAAACAACACCCCCCACGTCCCTTAGATAGATGCACCACTGGATATGATCTGGTAATGATGCAGACTGGCAAAAGGTCACCCAGCTTCTTCAGAAATTCTATCACAGATGACATTGCAGGTCTCCAATAAAAGCACCAGGCATTTTCGCTTGGATACGGAGTGTAATGAAGTTCACTGTACTGCAATAAATGTGAACTTTATTTACCTGTCCACTGAGTGATAATGAATTGAAATATGCAAACTTATCTTTCACGTTTTGAGTGGACGAAACATTGCTGCTGCGGCTTTTTATAAAACCCCAGGGTTAGAAATTCCTTCTGTCAAGATTCGTTGATTGCGACAAATGTACCCTCAAATCAAAGTAATGTCACATGTTTAACCTTTTTGGCGTGCTGAAGTGCTACGAGTGTGTCTGAATGTCTACTGCGATGTCAATAAAAGGTTAAGGGTAGAGAGTGATATTGAACCTTTTGGAAAGCTCTGGAGAGGGAGATGTCATGCCGATAGATTCATTGATTTCCACAAATGCACTCTCAAATTGAAATGAATGGGGAGCGTTTAACCTAAAGGTACTACAGCATGTCGAGGCAGAATACTGCATGTCTGACTGTATGTTACAATGTCTCTTGAAGGTCATAGTGAACAGTGGTATTGATCCTCTTGAAAAGCCCTTGATGAAGATGTCTTCTGAAGAGAATCACTGATCGACACGCAAGATTGTAAATCTGGAGTTTTACCTTTAGATACAGAATCAACAATCCTGGGAGAATACAGAGAGTACAGGACAAATTTGTGAAAGTAACACATTTTTGGGGAGTTAAGAGTTGGATTTAGCCTTTAACAAACTCCTGAAAGAGAGGTTACTGGACATGAAAAATTGTCGATTCACAAAAATCCGACCTGAAACTGAAGTAGAGCACCTTAGTTAAAAAACATCAAAATATGTTGCTAAAATGCAAATCTAAGTTGAAAGAACTGCATCTTTAGCTGAATCAATTAGATATTTTGCACAGAACCTACCTGAATTAACAAAACACAACGCACCGTTTTGATGGCACAATCTTAAAAATTAATCCCATACATCCTCCAAAATGAACCAGACACAGATTTTGAAGGTTTGAGGCTTTTTGGCAGTTAAGTGACCCCTTTGCTTTTAGGGGATACATCAATTGTGTAATGTTCAACCTCGATTTACCGCTTGTTAAATTTGAGCATTCTTTCTTTAATTGGGGTTTCTGATTTATAGAACTTTGGTTCCACTCGCATTTAGTTAAAGTTGTGTAGTTTCTTAGAATGCTCCTGTTTTTTTTAAAGAACGCTGGAGATGTGCAAGGCATGCCAAAGATTGATAGCATGCCATGGTTCATAATCAGCAAATCAACGCTCTGAATTGGCCACCTCTCCTCCCCATAATTTTCCCCTCGAGTAAGCCACTCAAATCCACCTGCCTCTCGCGACTTAGGAGTCCCGGAGATATTAATGGATCAAGGAGCAGGAGACAGAAACCTGTGAGGGTCTGAAATCCTTGTGAAGGACATTGATAATGGCCAATTTCCATGGAAATCGGAGAGGAGTCGGTGATCCCATGTGTGAAGTACTTGAGACAGAATTTTTTATTGATCAATTATTGAGAACCCGAGAAAAAAAGTACTTTTGTTGTACCATATAACAAAAGTAGCCTTAAGGCTGAGACTGTTGTACAGGCGTGAGTAAAACTTACATATGGGAATTCATTGCCAATTATATTGAAATAACAAAGAATATTCTCTGAGACACCTGCAATGCCTAAGGTCTATAGGAAATTTCGAAATTCTTTAATATATTTCAAATACAGGGATGCAAGGGGGTTCTTATATATTTTTCGAGAAATTTCGAGAACTTTGGCACCTATGTGTTTTCTGCAATTCTTATGAAAGTTTGAAATCCTGTGAATTCAGGACTTGTATGTATATCCCGACAATTTTCTTAAATAACCTCAAGAAAAAAAATTTCTTCAATCTACTTTGATCTCTTTATCTCATCTTCACATTTCACTTCTGTGAATATAGAGTAGCCTTTGATGAGAGTTTATTTTGTGAGTGATCCAAACTGCCGAGACACTAGCTTCATCCATAATTCTCACCATCATAATCTAATCATCGAATTTTAACAAAAATTAAGCCAGATATTCTTCATTCAAAATGTGAACTTGTATAGGTTTTCTGAGATACTCAAATACTTTTCTAACATTTGTTGTGAGACTGTAAAATACATTTTTTTCACTGGACATGTTTACATGTATTCAAACTGATGCTGACGTCTTGCTCTGTACGTATGCCTGTAGATTTTTTTATTTTATAACTCTTTATCTTTTATTGTCAATCATCTGGGCAAGGCAGTTGAAATTTATTTTTCACCTGTGTTTCCTCTTTTTTTGGGGGGGGGGGGGGGGTTATGTTGCTAATAAGCCTCTGTACTGATGACGTCACACTTTAGTTTACATGTGCGCTTTCTTATGGGAGCCTGGTGGGGCGATGGTTACGTAGCCCGATCAAGTAAAGTGTGACATCATCAGTACAGAGGTTGTTCTCTCTTCCCATCTGTCTGTTGTTAATGTTTTCTATCCTTTCAGATTTGTTTTATTATAAGTTCCTTCAGTTCTGAAATAAGACTACTAAAATGAAAAATAATTATAATCTTACCTGTCAGATTCTGTAGTAACAGTGACTACTGGACCTACAAAATAAAAATGGAAAACATTTTTTTATTTGAAGTGGACAGAAAAAAAGGCTCAGTTTAAAGGGCATTTTTTTTCATAAACAAATTTCATATACTAATTAATTTATATTTGACATAATTTAATATGTATATATGAAGACCTTGTTATATGATGAATGTTTGTCATTGGGCTTGTCAAAATAGACACACAGTTTGTTTACATGTTGATGTTCCCTCCACTCAACCACAATTTACACGTCACCGCTGTGACAAATTATTACACACACTGAAAAAAAGAAATAATTCCAATAATAAAAATGGGGACATGTCTGGAAATTAAACCAGCTGCCAAGAGTACTGAGTCCCAGACGGGATCCTTCCATACTTAGAAGCCGTCCAATCGAAAACAGAGTCAGCATGATCTGGTTGGTATGCGAGGAATGTCTAACATGTCTGGTATGGTGCAGCACCTTTTGGGGCTGTGTTGGCAGACTGTAGCACAGTGTACATTAGAGGATACGAGTGTTTTCCAAATCGTGGATTCTTTCCCAGTTTGGCTACGTCTCTTGTTCAAGAGTGTTTTTAAGCTTGTAGGTCAAAACCAAATGGTCAAAACCATATTACACGATATGATGCGTTTGAAGCAAAAAATAGATTTATATTGAGTCAGCGTCCCTAAATCAGTTGACTTGAAACCATCTCATGAAGAAAACCTGACGAAGCCACGGTTTGGAAAAAACCCAGCGTTTCTCAAGTCAAGAGGGATTAGGCGACTGAAATGTTAAAGGTTTTAGCGGGATGAGGCAGGGTTAAGCAATACCCGGTTTAGGCCCTCAAGACATCGGTTGAATGAGAAATAAACTAAGACGTATCTAGGGCCTCTGGGGATGCAAGAAGGCATCTGTACATATGTAAGGGACGAATGCAAAATTAAGCAAGCGGTAATTCAAGATAGAAAGCCCCAGGGTACCTCACAAAACAATGTAGAACCCCGTAAAACCTCGAAATAAACCTCGAGTTACCGCCTGTTAAATTTCGCATTAGCCCCTAATGAATGCACTGCACGCAACCTCACATTAGATTTGCAAGATCCGTGACTTGTAGCCTGACTGCCTAAAGATAAGCACGTATGCTCTGACTTATTGCATACTCCCTGAATGATATGCATAATATAAGATTTCGAGGACGACAATACTGAATGAATCACGAACCCCTTATCCATAAAGAAACCCAGTGATAACTACATTGAAAGTACATGTATGGCATTATGCTAAAATGATACTCGGCAAAATTTGATATTTTACATGAAATCGAAAAAATTATTTGGAGAACCACGATATTCAGATGCACAGGAAACAAAACAGTGCAGGTCAAATTTAGGCCTTCATTTTGATTAAAGAGACGTCGTCATAAACCTGAATCAATTTTGAATCAAAGGCCAGAAGTACACAAATTAACAAATGTGATTATAAAACAAGCACTGTTTGCAAGCAAAAAAAAATCACCAGTCGGCACTGCCTGCCTGCCATCAGAAGAAATCATCTGATCTTTCTGACGACGACAATGACATACAAGATTTCTAAGACAAGAGGCCTGGAAGATTCAGGGTGAAAGCTTGGCTGTATATCATTGGCTTCTTAATTGGAATGTCTGACGTGCTTTAGCAGATGTTACGCAGGGAGTCAGGGGCAGATTATCTTTCATGATATCCGACCACTTTGACTTTAAAATTCCAAGTACCGACGAGCATCAAACACCAAAACAATTTGCTTTTCTTGTGGATCTTTAAGCCTTTGAATGAAAACAGACAAGTATGTGATTGATATCACATATCATGTATGTGATTTATACTTCTTTTTTTTACTGGCTTATTTATTTGGTCATTATTGTACGATGGTCTTATCTATTCTTTATTATCCTTTATTCTTCATGTATTTCTTTTTTGCCAATTTTTTCCTTTGTTTGTTCACTTTATGTAGGATAATGAATTAGTTGTCAGTTTCGTTAATTCTCCAATCGGTCAATCTTTCATTTTGTTTGTTAATTTATTCATTACTGTTGAATTTGCGCATGATAATCTTTCATTACTACATGTACATTGTTTTGTAAGTATTTCGATCCGCTGATTCATCTGCTTATCTATATAATGGTCTTCAATTTTTACTTGTACTGCAGGCGCGGATCCAGAGGGGGGGTTTTGGGGTAAAAAAAACCCAGCTCTGTCAAAAAAAAAAAATTTCATACAAATTCCTAAAAAATAAGTCGGAACCCCCCCCCCCCCCCCCCCCCCTGCTGTGTCACCCAAAAAAAATTATACTGGATATAATGTCTGCCTGTTCAAAATACAGTACACCATTCTGAAATCTAGTGTTAATAATTGTCGGATTTGAACAGTGCCCCCTATTGAAATATGGTCCCCCCCCCCCAAGTTTTTGATTTTACGGAGGCCAAGTGTCCGGAGAAAAAAACCTGTGTACATTTTCAGATTTTTTTGCTGATGAAAACCCCCCCTGCTAAAATTCCTGGATCCGCCCCTGTACTGTTATGCACTGTTCTGATATTTTTGTTTTTGACTAGTTGCATGATTTATTTTCCCCACTGCAGTATCTATTTTGCTGATCTATCACTTAATATATTCATCCCATGTGTATTGTATCTATGTTTTCTCCGATTGTTAGTGTGTCACTCTGTTTGTTAAGTTATCTCCAGTCCACATAAGCCCTAGGCTTCGCAAGATGCCTCCATAATTGCCATTCAATTTATTGTTCTTTCTACCTTATTTTCCTTAGTAATATTAATGGTATCAATTGTTATTTCTCTTTGTTACACTATTTAATATGTTTTGGCATTATGGAAATATCTGTTGAATGAAATTGATGTAAGGGCAACTCTTACCAAAAAATGTATATACTTTTTTACCTAAAAAGACAAAAAAATTGAACTCAACAGGCACCATGACAAAAAATTGCTTCACTAGTTTTCCCTCTTGGGCAATTTGAAAGTTTCTAAAATATATGCATTGAAGCGTTTTAAAATGAACTTGTTTTAAAATGATTGTTTTGATGTTTGGTAATTAAATGTAACTACCCTGTGGTGTTCTTTATTAAAAAGCTCACGTTGCAATTATGGATCCGATTTAGAATTCTGCTTAAGTTATTTGATCCAAGGATGCCTTTGGCAATTTGGTAAATTGCTGCAGGACATGACATTATCAGAGACATTTGAAGAATTCAAAAAATCATTTAGAATGTTTGCTTACTGCATCTAATGACTGCAATTACATTCTTAATGCAAACTTTTAATTTTAGAAAGACTGTCATCATCTGTACAATATTTTAACCCAGCTATCCCAAATATATCCAAATTCAACATCTGTTTTTTGCATGATTTAGAGAGATAAAAAAAAAATCAAACAGTTATTCACCTGGGCTTAACATCTCAAATTGGTTGAAGTAAAAAAGAGTGTGTGATTGTTTTAGCTCACTCTACGGGATTTTAGATGCTGAAAAAAATTCCTGCCAAATATGCTTTAGTGGTTATAAAATCTGTCGATCTAAACACATATATGTTTTTGAGATAAACCGAAATTGCCTCAATGTTCACAGATGGTCAATGGTTAACAGTTTTCTTGCCACAGTTATTGCCTAATAAATTTTTGTTCAAGTAGTGCTGCGTAAAAGATATCTTTCACAAGAAACTGAGATGTTTACTTCAAAACACTGCTGCTGGTTTCTCCACATGTCAGCATGATAGAACATGACTAACATCCCACGCAACATTTCTCTGGCATGATTAGAATGTGCTAATGATAGAAACCATGCAACTAGCTGCCTTAAAAGTAAAGGTACACATGTATATCTTGAAGATTGAAAAAAAAATTATGCAAGTATTATTTTCATCACGAAAACTCTAATTTGAGAACTAATCTAGGGGTCATATCAGAAATATTATCTTGACAATTGATCACACCTCCCATGCAATCCCTTCCACATTATCATCAATACTGACGCATTTTCTAGCTATTTCAGGAATTCAGACAGATATGCATCATTTTGAGGGGCATACAATTTCAAGGGCAGGAATCGAAGAGGAAGATGTGACTGCGGACAGATAGGGGAATGCATGTAATTCAGTGAAGGCAAGGTCAATAGCATATGAGCCACCGTCCTTAACTGACAGTATGTCTTTTATAAATCAATGAACCACTGAAGGAGAAATCAATTCAGGGTAGAAACTTGGGGGCCATTTATGCGTTCTTATTTAATAAAGGTCATGTTACAGTGCTGTCTTTTTTTTTTCAAATTGAAACAAATTGACACAAGTTTCAGATTACATTACTGATATTATATCATAGCCAATAGCTCAAGTTACACAATTCAAAATACAAAAATTGGTTATGAAATTAATATGAAAATTATTCTTAATTTTGTAAGATAAAAATGGTCTAAGCTCAGCATATAAGACAAGGCGAGCCTAGTAAAGCTGGTACCAGAGGGAACAATATTCTACTCAATGGATTCAGAGGGGCTAGTCACTGGAAGTCATTTCATGCATCTGAGCTATGCAAAGGGCAACATTTAGCCCATTCGCCTTCATTTCGGGCTAATCCATTTGCTGTAATTTCAGGGCAATGTTTAATGTGGATAATCTTAACTTTTTAACATTTAAATATCTGCGATTTTTACTGTACATATATTGTATAGATATTTTTTTAATGATTTTTATATATATATATATTTTTTGTGCAGACATAGGTATGGCATGTATGCAGTGTTCTCCAACCTGTAAAAATAACCTGGTGCCCCGCCATGATTTCTGAGGCACCGCCATGCTTTCTGAGGCACCGCCATGTTTTTTGAGGCACCACCATGCTTTCTGAGGCACCCGCCATGCTTTAAAAGTTGCCGCCATGCTTCAAAAGTTGCAGCCATGCTTTAAAAAGCATACCCTCCAGGGCATATTTTGGCTAGAAACTCTGCAAAAAGCAGCAACATGCAACACTTGTCAAAATGACAAGCCTGCCCATTGTAGCAATCCATCAGGTCAAAAGTCTCAAGGCCAAACTGCCTCAGAGTCCCTGGTCACTGATGTATTAATAACAAATTATGCTCAGCCAGAAATTGCCTAAAAGCTGTTATCAAACGTAAATTACATGTTCATCTGCAAATAGCGCCCCCCAGCATAAAGAAATGTATATCTGCAAATAACGCCCCCTTGCATATAGCGCCCCCCCCCCTCCACTTTTTGACGGAGCACTGACCTTTAATTTTCAAAGTTGGAAAACACTGTGTATGGGAATTGAAGGCCTTCAGGTCACACTCACAGTTTTTAGGTTAACTTTTTTTCAATTCCAGACATATGCCTTTGGCTTTCATCCATGTTTTTTTTGTATTTTGTGATTTATGTTGTTGTTTTTTTATGCAGAATAAATAATAATAATCCTATGAGATAGCACTGCCCGACTCACAAGTGACAGTCAGTCAGTGAGTCGGTCGGCGAGATAGGTACAGAGAGGCCACTAGGCTGGCACTCTGGGTCCAGCAAAAATGCTTTGCTGAGCAAAATTAGGCAAGCAGGCAAAGGTTGCATCATGCTTATTTCTTGTACAGAGTCTTGGCTGATTACTAATAGTGGTTCTTAGCACAATTATGCGTAGCACATTGACATTTTCTTTGGAGTAGCAGCACAATTTTGTTTAAAAGTGCCCAATTTCATTGTGCTTTTAACTATAGGTTACCAATCAGCTTAGCATAAAAATGCTTTGTTTACCAAAAGCACTGTTTCGTTAAGCTTGCTTTATGATGATTTATGTTTCACAGAAAACCTTTTGTGGTACATGTAAGTTGGAGCACAGTTTAGCAAAAGTGCCCAATTTGATGGTGCTCTCCAACCAAAGTTGCAAATCAAACAAATATCAAAATCAAAGCAAATCAACACAAACATTAACTCACCTCCGATCTTGAGGACAGCAGAGCAAGTGGTCTCTCCATGTTTATTCTTGGCCTGGCACTGGTACGTCCCGGCGTCTTCATCGAAGACTTCGCCGATGATGAGGGAATGCTTGTCCTCTTCCTCCAGGATCTGAAACACCCCCTGGTTGACCAGCACGCCGTCCTTGTACCAGTCGACCTCTGGCTTGGGGTCGCCTCGGATGTAGCAGTCGAAGCGGACAATGTCGCCCTCGTAGGTGTTGCGGTCGCCGAATGCGCGGACGAAGCGTGGCGCCTTGCTCTCTTGACTCTCCGCTGCGGGTGAATAAATGGGTGAAGTGGAATGTTCATAATATTTTTTGCTTTTAAATTCAAGTTTAATTTTATTAAAGAATAAACGAAACTAATACAATTTTACCAAAGATGCAAGGCTCCAGTTGAGACTTAAGATGCAAGGATATGAGGATAATTGAGGAACCCCAGAAAAATATAGGCCAAGTTCAATACAGGAAATTCAATCATGCTGCACGACCTGTTTTGCTTTCCAAATTTCACGCAAAGACTTTAGGGAATATATTGTTTCAATGTACACATCAACAAAACAGGTCACAGTTCTTTATCGTGCGTGTTGGTTGTGGGCATGGAAAAAGCTACACAAGTGTCTTTCTTATTTACTGTACCGTCTAATGTAGAGTTTTTTTAAACCCTCTCTTATTTAAAATGCTATAAATGCAGTGCAGAGAAGTTTCTGCTTTCCTAGTGAAAGTTGGTGTTATGTGACTGAAACATCCAACATTTGTAAACAAGTATCCAATCTTGAGCTGCAGTGCAACAATGAGACACCTCACCGAAACACAAATGAAGTGATCGTCATTTTGAAAAAAACGCTGCCTCAAAACTGTGAACCTATCTGCAGTATCCCATAAGTGTGCAGTGGTCAACTGTCTGGAAATCATACACTTAAACATCCGCCTTTCCACAAAATATTCTGCTGTATTAGTTTTGTCTTCCTTACATCCAACATGCAGCTGTGCCACCGAGGTGCAATCTCCCGCATCGTTGCTCCCTTTGACGCTGTATGTCCCAGCATCCTCCAGTACCACCTCTGGGATGATGAGTACTTGGCTCAACCCTTGAGACGTTACCTGGGATTGGTCATCAAGAAAGAGGGCAATCACCGATTGGTCAAAACTAACTGCGATATGTGATGTCAACAAAAGTTTCAATGTCAAAACTGCTCCTACATATGGCTGCTTCAGCCAGAACTTGAAGAAACTCACAAGAATTATTATACTTGGTGATGTTTGTTAAACAAAACAAATTACCTAAAAACTGGCTCATACTTGGCAAAAAGGAAAATGTAAACAACAGTATCTGACTTACACTGCCAATTATCTAAACTTAAAACACATTTTATCACGCAAATTTTGCTACAAATGTTTTTGTGACGTCAATCTGCTCATTATTGGCATGGATGTAATGCATGAACCTGCCTCAAAAGAACACAAGAAACCAGGCACCAATTTCATGAGACCCCAACATTTCTGACTTCAGCTCACGTCTCCAGCTTCATAGTGTCAAGCTCCAAACTCAATGACTCAAGCTCAATATTGACAAATTGTCTGCTTCTGCAGCATCTAGTTCTACAACTTATCGTAGCCAACTTTTGGGAGTATTATTATTCGGTTTTAACATTAGTGCAAGTCAACCTGGAGCCAGCGACAAAGCAAGACACAAAACAAAGATTTAAGATATGATCACGCAGAAAAGTTTAACACCAACCTGAATATATTTGCTGGGTTGTATCTCGACACCGTTCTTGGACCAGATGACTTCTGGCTCTGGGTCGCCCGTAATCTGACAATGGAACTCCACTCTCTCTCCTTGCACTGCTGTCTGGTCAACCAAGGGCTCCACAAAGTCTGGAGGGGTCTTGGGAACTGATAAAAGGAAAAGGACTTTGATTTGTGGTTACTGGGGCGGCTTTAAACCATACCTGGGATGCTCCAAAACTTGTAATTCACACAATGAATTTACTTTTAGTGATACACTCAGAGCTTTAACCCATTTTTGTTAGGATGCAACCCCAATCCTGCAACATCCTCCAACTGCCTCCCTGTAAAAATTGCCTACAGCCTCAATCCAGCAAAATCTTCCGTTATTTCTTGCATGTGGTCCTTGGAGGAGTGACCACTGCCTCAATCCTGCAAAATCCTCAAGCAATAACTGTCAATATGTTGAGGCAGAGCCAGTGAAATCCTGGAGCAGTGCGGAGGATTTCAAGTATAATCTAGGCCTAAATTTATGCACGGCTGAGCATAAACAACACAAGGTCCGGCCTAAGACCTTGACACAGTGCATCCTCCAAAATGAACCACACAGTTTTTCCATATACCCTCAATCCTGCAAAATTCTTCATGTTGCAGAGAAGATTTTGAAGGATTTGGGAAGGTTAGGCTTAATAACAACAATGTGGTACTTATATAGTACTTTATCCTAAAGTCTTAGTGTTTCAAAATTGTTATCACTGTCCATCAGGCCATGAGACCAGTTTGGTGCAGCAACTCAACATCAGTGCAATCTGGTCTCTACCTTCACGGGTACCCATTTATACTCCTGTGCATGGACCGGCAATTGTAGTAAAGTGTCTTGCTCAAGAACACAAGCATCATGTTCCTCATCAAGGTTTGAACCCATGTTCCACTGCACATGAGAAGCGCACTGTAATCACTGGACCACCGCGCGGCCCTCCACAGTGCTTTTCAGAAAGCACGTGTAATGGGGACTCGCAAATGAAAGTGTCTTAGTCTATCCACCCAGCACGTTACTCACAGCCTGTAAAACATTATGAATTAAACAACATTAAATTTAAGTTTCTGTCATGCACAATCTTTAACTCACCATCAACACTGAGGACAGCAGAGGATGTGGATTGTCCAAACGTATTAGTCAGAGTCACCTTGTAGATTCCCGCATCGACTGGCCTGACGTTAATGATCATCAGACCAATCTTGTCTCCGTTTTTGACGTATCTCACACGAGACGTCTCAAACACTGGCTTGTCATCTCTGAACCACTTGATCTAATTTTTTTTTTATAAAGAAAAACATAAGCCAAGGTGAACAGTTGTTCTAAGGCGTTTGACCAGCACCAACTGATTTGCATATTGTAGCCTAGCCGCGTGAGGTCACTGTAAACACTTCGTAGAGTACGTGTGCATGCATAGCGCATGGCTACTGTTTTATGTTAGCAGCACGTCCATCGATCATCAGACACTGTCGTCAAACGCCTTGATAATGGCTAGGTCTATTCAGGTTGCAAAATACACTCCTCAAGTTCATCTTATATTCAGATATCCAAACCAAGAATAAGAACACTACATCAAGCCCTTACCTCTGGTTTGGGAGCACCTTTTATCATCCCTTCAAAAGTGATGACTTCGCCCTCTGTGGCAGCTATGCTCTCAAGCGGCTGCACAAAGTCTGGAGGTACTTTCTCTGCAATCACAAAGACCAAATTTTCACTCGATATCTACGGACACTGTCACAAGACGTTAAAGCTTCAACTCAGGACAAATCAGTACAAATCAATGAAATCAAAACTGTGCTTAGGGTCGGGACAACAGTGCTACAATCACCCAGGTTGATTTCATGCAGGTTAAAAAGGTCTTAAAATGAAGTGTTTTGATATTTAAATAACTGGTTAACCCTTCACCAATGTAATTTCATAAGCACTGTGTTCTCAGTGCTATCCAAAAACTTGTGAGAAAACAATTCACAAGCTTACTCAGGGAGGACTCGAACCCACAACCTCCTGCTTACTAGATGTCTTAATCACTCAGCTACCAAGCTTACCGGGTGGGTTGGTTGAGTTAAATTAATATTTCAATATTTGTGCGACATAATTTTGCTGATTATTTCTGGGGAGAGACACTTCTACTTGTTAGAAGATAGTGATTGGTTCAAATCCCACACGAGTAAGCCTGTGAATTTGTACTTGCAAGCTCATAGAGATCACTAAGTATACAGCCCTTTTAAACTAATGCCAGTTAAAAGAAATTTAACCCAATATTGAAATTTACATCTCCCTATCAAAAAATTCCAACACACAGGAATATTTACTCACCTTTGATGATAAGATGACACTCAGACCTAATAGCCCCGTGTGTGTTCTCAGCTTCACAGTAGTAAGTCCCGGCATCAGTGGTGGTAGATTTCTTGACAATCAAGGCGTACTTGTTACCAAGCTGCTGGAACTCGTATTCATCAGAGGACTCACGGATCGGACGATCCTTGAAGTACCAGGTCACCTGACAATACAACACATGAATGATGTAGCACCTTGAGCACCAAATACTGGTGGATACGCGCGCTTTATAAATACACGTTATTATTATTATTGTGAACAAATGACTCAACTTCAAAACACAGACATTTAATTTTTTTTTTTACTGGTTGCCAAAACCACACAATCAATGACAAAAATATCTTGATCTAATATGTTAACGCGATAGCTGGTTTCGATACATACGAATACCGATTGTCATCTATTGATCAATACCAGAATGACTTCCAATTGTTTTTAATTCTACTTTCATGAATTACTTGCATTTTTCTACTGAATGACATGTATTGGTCTATGTCAAAATGTCTTAATGGAACAGGAAGTTTCAACACAACAGTCATAACTGTCACTGAAAAGAAAATTCAAATTTATAAATCAATTTAAGATTGACATACAAACTTGGTGATTCAATTTTCAATGAGTTAATAGACCAAGCCCTGCCCAATGTTGTTTTGACCACATCACTGTGATTAACGTCAGACAAAAGTCTGACGCGCATGCACTTGCATATGACGAATGTGGTTGGAACACCAAGTGTGGTTAACATGATAATAATAATAATATGGTGCTATATCTATAGCGCTTTTGCCACAGGTTTCAAAGCGCTTCACAATTATACCCATTTATCACACAATGAGACCAGTTTTTGCAGCAGCTTGAGATCAGCGCATTCTGCTTTCTACCTTCACAGGTATCCATTAACACTCCTGGGTGGAGAGAAGCAATTGTAGTAAAGTGTCTTGCCCCAGAACACAAGCACCATGTTCCCCATCACGATTCAAACCCACGTACCACGGCACATGAGTTGAAAACCGTAACCATTGGACCACAGCGCCCCACATGTTGTTACCCACCCATGCAATAAGTGGGCCCTAATGGATCCGTCAATTGGACTTTGCCGCAGCTTTCTACAAAGACATGTCTGGAGCAGCACTGGCTAACCTTTGGCGGTGGACTGCCCACAATGACGACCTCCAGTCTTACTCGAGCACTCTCCACAACTTCTGTCTTCTTCTCGAGTGTCTCCACAAAGATGGGCTGACCCGAGACTTGGGGTCTGGACTCTAGCTGGACTACAGACACACTGTGTGTGGAAAGAGGGACAGCCAGCATGAAAAATGGAAACTTCCACAAACTTTGTTTCTTTGGATTCCCTGCTATAAGTTACTGATTTCAACACAATTGTTGACAAAGACCCCAAATGGTTAAAAAAAAAGGCCTTTATTCTGATACTCTCACAGTAAAAATCAAACTGCCTACAAATCACAAGTTACAATAAAGCCCGTGGAATCAGCAACCATCTTTGAGGTTTTTTTTGTCAATTCAAATCAGAAACAGTGAATGCACCAGAGGTCTACTCAGGTGCATCACTGTGAAATAAAACACACCTCCAGATGGTGGCAATATAAAGGATCTGTGTGGCTGACAATTAAATTTGTTTGAAATGTGCAAGTCAACCATCAAACAATTAAAAAGTTTTTCAAACTATCTCTAGACTATTTTCCTCACAGACTTGCAGAGTACAAAGCTCATAATACTTTGGTTAAGAAGGAGAAAAGTTCACTTGTAAACATAAACTGTGTTTAATTTTGATACACATTTTTGGAGTAAACATGATCAGTATTTCTTACTGTGAAGCCGGCTGCTCAGCTACATTGATGTGGACAGCATTGGACTCCACTCCAGCCGCATTCTCAGCCACCACCTTGTAGGTGCCAGAATCCTCAGGCTGTGCATCTTTGATAACCAGGGAGTAAATCTCCTTGTGCCTCTTAATCTGCGAAAAAACCACCAGTATGGAGACTAACATATCACTTAATGCAGATGAAGAGCAAACATCTGTAATTGGCAACTGACTTGATGTATGGAGGTACCGGTAGGGACTAATACAAATGTTACTGGTTTTTCAGAGAGGGGCTGTTACTGAATCCGGGCAGGCAAGTAGAGTTTGGTTTGGGGAGGCTAAACAAACCAAGGGAGGACATTTTTCCATTCCTTTCACTGAATTTGTAATAAAAAAGAGAGTAAAATCTACCGGTAACAAGAAGCACTAATTAGACTCCTATGAATGGTTTTAGAAATGACGCAACTTTGCAGAAACAAGATTGAAAGTCGAGATTGCATTTGTGAGGGCAGTTGGATGAAATTTCCATGCTTGCAAGCAGAATAAAGGTAGGATTTTTGGTGACTATATAGAGATGGCACTGAATTCGCACAAGCTTAGCTTTAGCTGGAAAAAAATAGCATAGATTGGTTTGGCTGATCTGATGTTAATTCTGTCTTGAAGAATGAAGAGTTGGATGAACAAATACATATGCTGCTTCAATGGATAAATATTGCTAACAGAAATAAATTTGCCCGATTACGGGTAAAAAAAGATGAGCACAGCAAATTATTCTTAAGTCAAAGATCCTCTTTTGATTGGTGAGTGTCAGAGTTAAAAAAGGTTCTGTACAGGTTTTGGCTTCATTTCTTTTGTCTCAAACATTTTGTAGAATTGTTGATTTCCGTCATGATAGGATTGCAAAACTTTCACAAGAAGAAGGTTCATCGCAAAGTGTCCTCGTTTGTGATTCAAATTGTTTTGGTTTGCTTACATCAATACGTTCTTGGCCAACCACTGCTGTGCATTTAATTTGGGGAATTTCCGTATTGCAATTGCAAGAGCTTTCTGCACCTTTTTACACAAAAACTAGAACTAGCAAACTATCCCATTCTATGCTACAATCTATTTGCCAGATACCTAAATTTTACTTTGTAAATCTACTTTTCTATTGTTTCTGTCTATTGGAAGCATGCAACGTAATCTACTGTGTGCATAGCTGTGCACTTAGCAGTGTTCTTAAAAAAAAAGTCAAAGAAACGAGCTGCAAAGAGAATGGTGTACAAGTACATAACACAACATTTCAAAGGAGGCAAACATTTTTATTTAAACTGTAATTGCTCAATTTGAAATAAAGTCTGGTATGTCTGGTTTATCAGTAAATTATGGTCAGGCGAACATGTCATTTGACAATGATCAAATCAAAGAGGAAAGATTGTTTGGATATCGATTCATAGCTTCTTAACTAATCTTTGAAAATAGGCTTTGAAAATATGACTGAATAAGCAGCACGAGTAGTGAAGAATTGACCAGTCAATATGAAAATAAAATATTAGGACGATTGCAGCTTGAGTCACTCCACCTGTCATACTTTTCTGCACAGATGAAACTGTCAGTGTTTAGTTTGGTTAAGTATTTGGAGAAGGTACGGAGTGGTGCAACCGGTTTGTCAGAAAAGAAAAAATCCTGCAGGGTGAAAAAAGGGGTTAATTGTTATTCTACAAGAAAATAAAATATCTATATTATTCAAAATAATTTGTTGGATAGGAGGCGACATAGGTTGGTGTTTGTTATCATCGTCAGTGGAAGAGAGTTGAAGAGGTCCTTTGGTTGAGGGAAAGTCAGAGTGGGCTTGGAATCTGGAGAAATAATTCCAGTCATTTTTACCCCATACATATCTCGTTACTGACAGTTTCTTTAAAGGAAGAAAAACTGTTGAAAACAGTATCTTGACAGCGAATCACTTTTTTATGTTAATAGAAGAGCAGTATTATTTGTCTCAGTACATTTGTTTTCACACAAGAAACAGTTCTAAAAGGCAAGTATTCAGGGTTTTCAAAATTCAGAATGAACAAGCTTTCCGTACAGCTTAAAAAAAGAGATTCTTTCAAGTTTAAAACTTTACAAAAGTCAAAGCCTAAAATGACTGGAATGTTCTCCCTATTCCTTTACTTTTGAATTTGTTTTGTAAACTTTAAGCCAGAGAGAGAGAAAGGACAGCAAGATGTTGGAGATCAGTTGGTTAATGGAAGTGGGGGTATAAGGTGCTAGTGGCATCGGGGCAAGAATGAATCAGGCCATTCTCTACGCACCTCCTTGACTGTATGGGTTCGTGTCTCAGTGTACTTCACACACTGAAATGAAATAAAGCATCCGCAACAAACGCATCGTCAAATTGGATGGACGGGGACAGGTGTCTTTGTTGAAGTGTTGTTCACTTGTCGCAACCCAAACGAAGATATTTGCTGGACACAAAAGCGTCAGCATATTGATCTCTGACTAACTTAGTCACCCACTGATTGACTGACTAAGCCGCTGAGAATAAATAATGTCCTATACGGAGATTTTCAGGTCTAGCTCATCAAGGCAAGCCTAACCCTTCTTACCATATGGTCATTCTATAAATTTGGGGTTCGTTTTTTTCCTGTCCCTGTTGCATCTGAAATCTATCATTTTATCATTCTGATGCACTCCTAATGAAGTCATCCTACAAGAGTAATCATGAATAGCAAACTACCCACCCAACAAGTAAAAGATTGTTCTTCTTAACCAGTTGAGGTTGGGTTTATTTAGACAAGAACGAACCAAGGCACGGGTTTAATATTCACTCAACCGCAATGCCAGGCGGTGTCAAAGCTATCACCCTGGGGCTGCAGAGTCACATTTCCAGCCTCGGTCGGTGGCTGTGGCTTGCCGACAGATATTTTCTGGCCTCCATCATTGCGTTTTTTTCAGTCATCCGATCTGACTTTCGGAAACTTTTGCTTGTACACCCGGCCTCCGGCATGAAATGGTTAATGATGCTTGACAAAGTGCCAAGGTAACAGGGACAGGAAAAAGCCACGATTTAAAGACTGACCCATATACTTCAAACAAGAAAACATTTAAAAACAAAATCTATTGCTCAATTCATTCCAAATTGTAGAGACCATCAGTCAATATTTATGGACGGCATTAACCCTAATCACCGCAACCCCTCAAAACCCAACTGCAAGATTTGTTTGACTCTGTTGGAGTGAGTACTGCACTAGTAAACTGATTATGCTTTACACAGGGTTAGACATACCATCATAATCAGAGACCAACTGTTTGGGTATTGAGTTTATGGTGTTGGATATTGCAAGAGTGAGGATTGAGGAAGGTTTCCTAGTAAATCACTTAAGGGGTTAGGGTTAACGATGTAAGAAATTTGTTTGCACTGAATGCAAAGGTTTTGATTTAAAATGAGTGAATAACTCTTGCAATTGTCAAAATTAATGGTTTGCTCTACGATGAGTAAGCATGAAGTAGTCTGCATGTAACATCTACAGTGCATTATGGTATGATATTGCAGAGTCTGAAACAATTGCTAAAGGGTAGGTTGGCAGATGTCATTTGGCAGCTAAGTTCAAGAAATGAAGGGAGCATATTAAAAACCTAGAATGTTGGGAGTGTTACTTTGATAATAGTGCATCTTAAAATTGACAGTACGTAGTAAGGGGAATTGAACATGAGGGAAGAGAGTTAAATTTCCAAAGATAACAGTTGTTTTCCCAAAGGGAACGTAGGTCTCCCAAAGACAACATAAAAGGTTTAACATAGGGAACAGCGTTTCCCACAAGAATATAAAAGCCTAGAATGTTTGGAGTGTTACTTCGATAATAGTGCATGCTTGTGTGTCCCCCACATGTTTGTTTCTTGTTCCTCCGTCATTTGCCTCTGAAGAAGGCCTTGCTATGACTCAAATATCAGGCCATGTTAGTTTTCTGATAAGAGTACAGGTGTTGTACATTTTTGAAAAACTGCTCTTAAAGACTTACTATAGATTTAAATTAATCTCAAAATTTTTGAAAATTATTCTGAGCCATTTATGTTCCGGATCAATGAACCCTTATATTACGAATCATATACAAATAATCACAATAGCAATGAAGTAACCAATGAATGAAATTCAAAAGGCAGTGAAGAACCTGGCAACAAACTGAAAGTTCATAATACACACTGCACATACCTCAATCGTTTCAGTTTCAACAACTTTAGTCTCGTTGCGATACCATGAGACACTAGGTGCAGGCAGTCCTTGAATACGGATGGTGAGGCGTAGCTCTTGACCTGGGGTGACCGTCACCGATTCCTGAGCGGACATGTTGATGAAAGTTGGACCCTGGGATGTATCCATGTCCTCATCTGTGGATGGAACGTCTGGTGCTGAAAAAAACAAACAAATGATTGCCAGTTTAATCTCAGTATTAGAGCACTGACTGCAAGCTTATATTTGTAAAAGTCCAAAGAAAGATGCTGTAATATGTTAGGAGTATGTTGGAGGCAAAGTAGAATGCCGTGGTCCAGTGGTTACGGTGTTTGACTCATGTACGATGGTGCGTGGGTTTCAGACCCTGCCAGGAACATGGTGTTTATGCCCTTCGGCAAGACACTTAACTACGATTGCCTCTCTCAACAAAGGAGAATGAATGGGTAAACTCAAGAACAGATCAGCATAAAACAACCATGGAGGGAGCTAAAACAATTTTTTTATGGTACAATTCTTTGAAGAGCAGAGAAAATTGACGGGCACTGATGTAAATCTGTAACATGTCGACACCACACCGAAACTCCACCAGCTGAGTTATATAAAACCCCTGAAGTTGGTTATCTCCGATTAGCTGGACCAAAACAAGACTACAAAGTTCAATAATTTGAAAAACTACTAAAGTTCTTCTTACCCCTGACCATAACCTCAGCTGTGGAGGTGACAATCCCAGCTTTGTTGGAAGCAACACACTTGTAACTGCCGGCATGATCCATTTCCGTCTTCTTGATTCTCAGAGTAGCCACGCCGTTCTCAAACGAGATCTCGTAAGGAGGGTAGTTGGTGACGGTCCTCTCGTCTTTGTACCAGGCGACGGTAGGTGGAGGGTCGGAGGTGATGGTGCATGACAGCTCCGTGGGTTCCCCTTCTGTTGCTACTACAGTACCTGATGGAAGTCTGGAGGTGAACTTGGGTGGAACTCCAACTTTCTTGGGCAAGCCTGAACAAATAAAAGTAGACATCAGTCCACTATCTATGAAACAACTTATGAAATTTAAACTTTTTTAAGTGGTAGCTTGCTTCAAAATTTAAATGTCACAGGATTGTCACTGAACTGCCCCAAATCGCCCTGGTCATTACTCCCTGTAATATCTGAAAGCATGTGAGTGGTTTAATGGGTTCAGCAGTGAATAAATACAATGTAACACAATGTATTACACGTGTTAATGGATTAAATAGGAAAATTTTAAACAAACAGAGTCTATCTTGAAAGTGAAAACACTGGCACTTAAGAGGAGGCAAACCCGGAATGTATTTAAAATAATTACATTGGACACAAAGTCCGCCATGAAAATAACAAAATGGCAGTTTTTTATTTGTAGATTGAGAAATTGTTCCTATATCCATTTTGTCAATTCAGCAGTACTAAATGCATTTAAAAGTCAATTGTATTTTTCTAAACTTCCCAGATAAGTAAAAACTGAACTTGCCTATTACTCCCTGCACTGCCCCAAACTGCACCAGCACTCTATGGCTGCATGGATTCTCGGGAGATAAATACAAAGTAATTCAACGTATGACAACAAACCACTCGGTAATTCCAATAAAACAAAGTTGTTCATTACCTCTGACCATGACTTCCACTGTTGTGCTGACCGTACCCATCACATTCTTAGCAACACACTTATAGATGCCAGTGTCGTCAAGAGAGACCCTTGCAATATCCAGACTGGCGACATCCTTGAAGAACCGAGTCTTGTAGGTCAGCTTGCCCTTGACCGGCTTGCCATCTTTGTACCACGTCATGTTGGGCTCCGGCTCGGCTAGGACTTGGCACTCCAGGTGTAACGGTTGGCCCTCTGTGACAGGTGCAGCCACCTGTAGCTTGGAGGTGAACTCGGGCAGCTTGGGAGCAGCATACGCTGGTAAAAAATTTGGAGAGAGAAATGATACAAATTTAGAAGTGCTGTACACACCTGGCATAACAAGGCAAACTGAAATGTCAGAATACAGAGATGAAACTGGCCTCTGTGAACAAAATCGAAAAATAGGCCGAACAAAAATCTGTGTCTGAATTCTGGGCCACGCTGCAGTTACATTTACACATGTAGATTTATTTCTGTTCACGTATTAAACAGAGCAGTAGTTAATCTATTTTACCTGGTACCATCACCTCCACTGTAGTCTTAGAAGTACCCACTGCATTGGTGGCCACACACTCATAGACTCCCGCATCCTCTGGCCTGGCATCATCAATATCCAAGACAGCAATGTCTTTATCAAACGACGTGCGGAATCTTGGCTCGTTCTCGATGGGTTGGCCATCTTTGTACCAGGTGATCGTGGGTGTTGGCTTGGCCGAGACCTGGCATTCAATGCGGTAGGGTCTTCCGACGATGAGTGGATCACCGTGTTGCACCTCAGCGACAAACTCTGGTGGCTTTTCATATCCTAAAGACGGATACAAATTCACATTGTTTGCCAATCTCTTTTAAAAATCCAGATGAGAAAGTCCATCACAAGTCAAATCGGAAGTCAATCAAAACCATCACAATTTACGTCACAAGTACAAGAAATGAATAAATGCCTTTTTTTCACAGCTCATTTGAACAAGGCTTTTAGTGTGTGAAAAATCACATAACAATTGGAGGATTCGAGACTGTTAGGATAAAGGCTGACTTCTGTCAGACTTATGAAGACTGTGAAGATTTAACGACAACACCGTTGGAAAGATATTGAAAAGTGCAAGATTTTCCAACTTTGTTCCATTTTTTTTGGGGGGGGGGGGGTTTTGATCTTGAACTTTTTTTGGTACATTTCATTACATTCAATAGCATACGTATTAAAGGTTGAAAAATAAAACTTGTAATACCTAGTACTTTACAACCTTGGATGTTTTTTTTATGATTGGAATTTGTTTTTAAATTCAGTCTTAATCCTGACTAATACTTCACTCACTGTCAATGAGTACATCTTACTTAATTAACATTTAAATGATAAAGAAGATAATCAGAACTAAATATCAAATTTAAAAAAAAATTCATTAGAACAGGATTGGCAACCAAAACGCTTGTGAGCTGGTCAAGCGCTTCAGGATTAAACAATGGTTTAATTCAAGATGAAAGAGGCATACCTGGTACCATGACTTCTACAGTTGACGTAGCTGTGCCAAGTGGATTAGACGCCACGCACTCATAGACTCCAGCATCTTCAGGTACGGCATCAATGATGTCCAAGCACGCAACATCTTTCACAAAAGACGTCCTGTACCTGGGCTGGTTCTGAAGTTGCTTACCGTCCTTGTACCACGTTATTGTAGGAGATGGTTGGGCAGTGACTGGGCACTCAATGCGGAAGGGTCGTCCCTCGAGGAGGGGCTCGGCAACTTGCATCTTGGAGACAAACTCTGGCGGCTTGTCATAAGCTAAACGGAAATGATCAAAAGACTTATATCTTGATAACGAGAGACACATTTATAAGTGTCTAAAAGGTTTACTAATGTTAGCCTAACACAAATCATTTAATGGAAATTTGAGGCAAGAATTACAGATGTATCAAAAGCTCAGCAACAATAAAGTGTCTTTACTAAAGATCAGAAACATTTATATATTTCTGCAGTGTGGAGGATTTCAAGTATAATCTAGGCCTAAATGTATGCACGGCTGAGCATAAACAACACAAAGTCCGGCCCCAGATATTGACACAGTGCATCCTCCAAAATCAGCCACACTTTTGTGCCTTACGGCCTCAATCCTGCTAAATCCTCCATTTTGCAAAGAGGATTTTGGAAGATTTTGGAAGGTTAGAGCTAAAGAAATCCAAGTTACCTGGAACCACGACCTCCACAGTTGATGTAGCGGTGCCCAACGGATTGGCTGCAACACACTCATAGACACCAGCGTCTTCAGGCATGGCATCAATGATGTCCAAGCACGCAACATCTTTCACAAAAGACGTCCTGTATCTGGGCTGGTTCTGAAGTGGTTGACCGTCCTTGTACCACGTGATTGTGGGAGATGGTTGGGCAGACACTGGGCATTCAATGCGGAAGGGTCGTCCCTCCAGGAGGGGCTCGGCAACTTGCATCTTGGACACAAACTCTGGCGGCTTGTCATAAGCTAAACGGAAATGATCAAGATATATATCTTGATAAGGAGAGACACATTTTTATAAGTGTCTAAAAGGTTCAATAATGTTATCCTAACACAAATCATTTAATGGAAAGTTGAGGCAAGAATTACAGATGTATCAAAAGCTCAGTAACAATAAAGTGTCCTCACTAAAGACCAGAAACATTTATGTATTTCTGCATCATGCTGATAGTAATTTCTCTGCAAAGACTACACAAGACTAGTAACCAACTTTCAAGAATTTATTCACTCAGGATTGATAACAAATCTGATAATAATCTCTTCTGGCAGACCGTGAAATAGTTAGCATCACAAATGAGAACGATGAACCCTAACTCCCTAGGCATTTTTGCTAGGATGCAACCTCAATTCTGCAAAATCCATGTAAAAATTGCATACAGCCTCAATCCCCCCAAATCCACAGGTATTTCTTGAATGTTGTCTTTGGAGGGGTGACCACTGCCTCAGACGGCAAAATCCTCCAGCAATCACTGTCAATATGTTGAGGCAGAGCCAGTGACATCCTGGAACAGTGCGGAGGATTTCAAGTATAATCTAGGCCTAACTTTATGCACCGCTGAGCATAAACAACACAAGGTCTGGCCCAAGACCTTGACACAGTGCATCCTCCAAAATCAGCCACACTTTTGTGCCATACGGCCTCAATCCTGCTAAATCCTCCATTTTGCAAAGAGGATTTTGGAAGATTTTGGAAGGTTAGAGCTAAAGAAATCCAAGTTACCTGGAACCACGACCTCCACAGTTGACGTAGCGGTGCCCAAGGGATTGGCTGCAACACACTCATAGACACCAGCGTCTTCAGGTACGGCATCAATGATGTCCAAGCAAGCTGCACCTTTCACAAATGATGTCCTGTATCTAGGTTGGTTCCCCAGTGGCTTGCCGTCCTTGTACCAGGTGATTTCAGGAGACGGCTTGGCAGTGACTGGGCATTCAATGTGGAAGGGTCGCCCCTCAAGGAGGGGCTCAGCAACTTGCATCTTGGAGACAAACTCTGGTGGCTTGTCATACGCTAGAGGAATAGTTACAAAGTCAAGCTATTTCAATGACATACACACTTACAGAGTGTCTTGTCTAAAGATCAAGAAATATGTACACAATATTTGTCAGACCCATTCTTTGCTTACCTCAACATAATCAAGGCATTTCATATCATTAAACCTATCTTAGAACCAAAACAAAATGTAAAATATTTGGCATTAACTCTTGAACGACCATACTATCCTCAATGTACAATGCTGTATAATCCCCGAGCAATTCCTAAACGAGGCAAATTTTGCAATTTTTTATCCATGTGGAAATAGTTTACAAATCAGCCTACATATACTGGGGACTTCTTGATAATCCGTAAATAACTGGGTATTTAAATAATGGACACGTTGCAAAAAAAAAAATTCCTTAAAAATCAGCTAGTTGGAATGCTAGCCATCTGCATAAACTTACTCACACTTCTGTTTTGGCTGGTTAACAGGTAAAAATTTAACATGATGGACCTTTAATTTCAAATAATATGAATTTTGATTCAAACTACTCATGAATTCTTGAATTACACAACGTTGTGTCTTGTCTTGATGAATACTGCACCAACACCCCTTCTCAGGGGTCACACGGGCAGGGTATACATATCCTTCCTGCCAGAAACACCGGAACGAACCCCTTCTCTTAGCGATAAGCGTTACTGGGTTCTTTTACTTGCGTTAGGCCTTATACAACACACGGGACCTACGGCTTTGCATCCCATCCAAGCAAGAATGGTTAAGTGCCTTGCTTAAGGGCACAAGTGTCCCCACCCGGGCTCTAACCCACGCCACTGTTGCCTCTGAAACACCAGAACATGAGTTCGGTGCTCTTAACCGATAGGCCATGACACTCCACATGGTAAATGTAAATTTAAGTATTGAAGAAACTATTGTTAGAAAGTTACCTGGAACCATGACCTCCACAGTTGAGGTAGCTGTACCCGATGGATTGGTTGCCACACACTCATAGACCCCAGCATCTTGAGGTACAGCATTGTCAATGTCCAAGCAGGCCACGCCTTTCACAAACGACGTCCTGTATCTGGGTTGGTTCCCCAGTGGCTTGCCGTCCTTGTACCAAGTGATTGTGGGTGATGGTTGAGCAGTGACTGGGCATTCAATGTGGAAGGGTCGCCCCTCAAGGAGGGGCTCGGCAACTTGCATCTTGGAGACAAACTCTGGCGGCTTCGGCAAACCTACAAGAAAGTTATTATAAAAATAAGATGTTGCTGACTTTGTTGTTTGTTTCTGGGTACAGATTGTCAGAGAAGTTTATCAATAGGGAATGCTGTAAAGCCATGGCAAGACATTAACAAGACTCTAATGTAGCCGTAAAAAAATTTGGAAACATTGTTTTCATCTCCAATTTCGGCTGCATCATTGGCTTTAAATCGTTGAGAGGCAGTCAATGTTTAAACCAAATGGAGATACTCTAAACATTGGTGTCTTATTAAAGGACTTGACGTTCCTGAAGCAGAGCATGGACTGGTTCTGAGCCTGACTTTCCCCAAGTTAGAGCCCTGAATCTCCTATAGACAAAGTAATACCTGAAGCCTACCGTAGGTTTTGTAAACCCCCTTAATTTCTTCAAGAGATTGGACAGCCTGGGTTTACCTAATGGCACCTTGCAATTAATGGACAGGCGCAACACATGTGAGGCATTTCGGCAAACTGAGACAGAACTGGGCACAGGCCATAGTGGAGAAAAATGCAAAAAAACAAATGGGGATGATTTTGGTTCTTATTTCAGATTTATTGACATTTGTAATCTTTTATATGTCTTCTACACATAGTTTAAATAGCTAATTTAAAAATCGTGGAATCAAATTGTTTTGAAGGAAAAACAGTTGGCGTCTTTCATTTTCACTACTGCGAAATTTGAAACTTTAAACCTTTTTTCTCAGTATTTTATTTTTTTGATTGTCGATTACATGCGAACTTTAAACAGCCATAACTTGTCAACGCAATGTCCGATTGAAGTGCCACAAACAGCATTATAAGGAGAATTGTATTCTTTTTCCTCATTTCGACCTCTGCCCAGTTCTGTCTCTTTTTGCCAGAACGACTCACATTGTGTCATGAGTGAATAACTGGATATCAACTTGCTCTATCCTGTAACTTCAGCCATACTCCATGATTTCAGCGCTATTATTAAACAGTTTTGAGTGGTAAGATTCACAATTTATTTTTTTAGAATAAAAACAAAAGTGGGGAAATTAAAGCTAAAGTCCATCATTTGCAGCCATCCGAAAAGTAACTGGCGTAATTATTGTTGAAAAACAAACTTGGTTGAAAGATAGTAAGGGAACTAAACTCCCTGTGAAATTATTCCTTCTGGGAAGCTGTCATTTTGAAGTAATCAACGAAAGAAGGCATTTCCAACGGCGATTCTTAAGAAGCACCGTAGGAAAATTAAATTAGTAGTTCGTTTTGTTATTCAGCGCAGCGCGCACAAGTATTGGAACGACGCACACGCGCGCGCGGTTGTTATAATTCGTCGGATCAGTGCGCTACGTCGCGTAGAGCTGCAATTCAAAACAATTCAAAACCTGATTCAGTAACTTTTGATTTGAAATTGAGATCTTAGAATGCTGTTTTTCTCGGAATGTACAGCTGAAGCTTAGCTGAAACTTCATCAGGTTAGTTGTTCAGTATCTTTCATTAGATTTTGAACACTTTTGTTGCTTCAAACGAACAAAATGCACAAATTAAAAATGATGGACTATAGCTTTAAACAGTAAAGGCAACTTCCATACCTGGTACCATGACTTCCACAGTTGACGTAGCCGTACCCAGCGGATTGGTGGCCACGCATTCGTAAACACCAGCATCTTCTGGTACAACATCACTGATATCCAGACAGGTGATGCCCTTCACGTAAGATGTCCTAAATTTCCTACCGTCCTGGATGGGCTTGCCGTCTTTGTACCACGACACGGTGGGGGCTGGTTTGGCCGAGATCTGGCACTCGATGTGGCACGGCCGGCCTTGTTTCGGAGGCTCAGCCGGCTGAGGCTTGGTGGCAAACTCCGGAGCTTTGTCATACGCTGGAAGAGCGAAACAGGTAAGGTAGCAGTGAGGGCTAAAATATGAACTGAATCAATCTTTCTGAGATCAAATCTTGATGACAGGAAAAAACAAGAGTTGAATTATGCATAACACAATGGAGTCTGACTCCCACAGTGGTACTTACGTACCTTGTACCTTGCTTTAAAAATTCTGTGACCCATGTTTCTTTTCCACCAAGGCAGATGTGTAGGTTTGGTTTTTAATCTCTAATTCTGTAGGTTTCTCTGAAACATTATTCTATTTTTGGTCTCCTGCCTCTTTAATTGAATTTTCTTCATCGTCTCCTCTCTAACTTTCATCAGACTTTCGGACCAAGAACCTCTGCACATCTGAGGAATTCATTGCAGAACAGTTCTAATGAAACCATTGAATTCATTACCGAAATGAATGATGATAAAATAAATAGTCGTCAGACAATAAAGAATTGCAATGGTAGTATAACAACATTTAATCATGAGTGATTGTCAAGAAAAATGAATTCAGAATTCAGAATACATTACCTGGAACTTTTAATTCCACTTTTGACTTGTTGGCTCCAGCAGGATTGGAGGCCACGCATTCATACACCCCAGCGTCTTCAGGAAGAACATTGGGGATGTCCAAGCTAGCGACGTCCTTCACCAGCGAGGTCTTGTAGCGCGGCTTAGTCCTGATGGCTTTGCCGTCCTTGTACCAGGAGATGGTGGGAGGAGGCTTGGCCGAGACCTGGGCCTCCAGGCGGCACGGTTGGCCCTCCTGGAGGGGCGTGGCTAGGTGCAGATTGGAGACGAATGTAGGCGGTCTGTCTGCATCCAGGGCTGGAGGTTAGATACAAAACAAAGAATTCATTATAAAATCAAAATCTCCTTGGTCAATGGGCATCAGGTTTTTTTATTGGGGGGGGGGTGATTTAATCCTGTTTTTTTTCCCTTTGTTAAGTGCTTTGATTTTGTTAAGTTAGACAAATATAATATTTTTAACATGACCAGTAAGTTTTGATTTCATCAGCTCTACTTTTAATTTTAGAGTTGAACAAAGAAATTGACTGTGGCAAGGTTTTGAACCTGTGATTTCCAGATTGCTGTTCCAGTAAACTTCAGCTCTATTCTTTGAAGTTTATGTGTAGCCAGATGTATTAGGTGTGTAGCCAGAGGCGCTGACTTGAAGGCCTTCGGGTCACAGTTTTTAGGTAAACTTGTTCAATTCCAGACATACGCCTCTGGCTTTTTGGTTGTTTGTTTTTTATGCCGAATAAATAATAATATTAATAATAATACTAATAATTACTCTTTTTGCCCCAATAGGGTGACTTTTCCATAGACTTGTGCACAAACCTAAACTGTCACCTAACCCAAGTTTACCTTATGTTTTTTCCACGAAATTTAGTATTTATACTAATTGGACCATGAGGAATCGATCTAGATGGTTAGCGACAGCAAAATTCCTTGTCCTAAGGGTCGTTTTCATAAAAGGCGACAGTCATTTTGTCGCCTCAATAAGGTGTAACGCCCTATTGTGGACGGAGTTCGCAAAACCTGTCGCCCTATTACAGTAGTAGTAGTAATAATCATTCATATGATTCCTAGCCAATATTGTCCAAATTGTTCACATTTATTTGATGAGCTTACATACAATCATGAGAACCAAGTACAAGTAAAACTTATTGAAAAGAGTTAACACACGGATACGTGTAAGAAGGTCAATGAGATTAAGGGAACGTGTTCATGTATTTTACACAGGCTTCTGTCAGCAAGACAAGGGCATCACTTGTGTAGTCGATGGGAGAGTGTTACAGGGACAACAGGCAATACATTGCCTTGTCTTCATAAATAACGGTAATGTGGGATCCACTGCTTTCAAGTCCTAATAAGCTGACTTTAATGTTGCACTCACAAGTGACGGTGATCTTAGATGCCGTCTCGGCCCTGCCAAACTCATTCTTAGCCCTACAGGTGAATCTGCCCGCATCATCCATGAAGATCTCCTCAATGTCCAGCATACAGACTCCTTGCTTGTCTCTGGTGATCTCATAGTCTGGGTGGGTATCGATGGATTCGCCGTCTTTGTACCACTGGACGGAGGGGGTCGGGTCGCCGGTCAGGAGGCACTGGAGCTGCAAGCGTTGACCCTCGATGGCCTCAACGTCTTGGAGAGGCTTGGTGAAGTGGGGAGAGGAGCCTCCCTCTGTGGTTGCAAGAAAGTACCATTTCATGTGTTTACTTAAGACCATGTCCAAATTTGGCATTTCTTGTATACAGCTACAGCTATTCACTGTAATATGCCAATGGCAACAATCAAAGCCGTTGTCAAAAATACTTAATTCAGACACAGTCACATTTTAAAATATCTGGTGGGTTTAATATGTCTATAGCTTTTGACAGTTGGTGATTTTGCAAACGTCAAATATGTGTGTGCATGCATTAGGTTTTCAGTCTGTATGAAATCAATTCTCGTCCTTGTTCCCTGAATTTCTTTCTTCGCGGGAAAGTTTGATAGCATGCCCTCTCGCGGACAGTTTTACAGCTAAAAATGGTGCAATCCACAGTAAGTATCAAGTCCAGCATAAGTCAATAACATGTTAATAGCAGGTTCCTCTTAACTCAAATCACAAAGTTTTTGTAACTAAAATTGGATGAATCGTGAAAAAGGAATGCCTTTGTCGTAGTTTATTTGACTTGAGACTAGATGCCCGAAGATCACTTGATGACTTGAAAGGATTTCAGATGACTTGACATAAACGTAGAGTCAACAGCACATACCATTGACAGTGATCTGTATAGTACACTCTGCTCTGCCAACAGGGTTAGTGGCAGTAGCAATATATGTGCCCTCATCTTCCGGCAAGACGTCATCAATAATCAAGGAGTGTGTGTCTCCATCTTGCTTGAAGCGATAGAAGTCGTCTCCCAGACGCTCACCATCTTTAGTCCTAAAAAAAAAAAAAAACAGAAGGTGCAGAGAAATATTTTAGAACCTGCTCAACTGTCTCCTGCAGGCACCGCCCTTTGGAAGGTAAAAGTAAAGTCAGACAGCAGCCATTTTACCTGCCATTGTCGTATTTGATCAACAACAAAAAAAGTAATTGAGGTGCTCAGTCAAATTTTGTACTGTAAAAAGAATACAACATGCAGGTGACATCTCGTCAGGAAAGCATGAGTTACCGGGTGTGTTGTTTATTATTTTTATCGCTCTGGTTTCTTAATAACTTAACCAGCTGGGACACTACATGTTTTCACAACATTTCAAAATGTTGACAGTTTCTTGACTGTGTTACGTGCAATGCTTACAGTTGATTTCAACAACAGTTGAAAACTATTGGTTTCCAATAAGATCACCTATGAGGTATTAGCAGTGTCTTTATCTTTATCGTTTCGGTTTGCGGTAACACCATGTGGTAATAAATACTGCTTAGAAGATATTTAGTTCTGAAAAGAGCTTGTCCTGCTTATTATCAACTTTCGCTTAGTAGTTTTTGTTCTGATAAAAACAGTCCTGCTTTGAGTTCTAAAAGAACTTGTCTTTAGAACTTAAAGCAGGACTGTTCTTATCAGAACAAAAACTACTTAGCGAAAGTTGATAATAAGCAGAACAAGTTCTTTTCAGAACTAAATATCTTCTAAGCAGTAGTTATTACCACATGGTGTCACCGCAAACTGAAACGCTACCGATACTTCCCCATGCAAAGCCTCAAATCTTATGTCTTTATCTTTACTTCATCCACACAATACTAACCATGCGACAGTTGGCAAAGGTTCTCCCTCAACTTCCACTGTGAGTGTAAACGGTTTGCCCTCATCCACTATCTGATCGCCGGGGTTCCAAGTGAAGCGTGGGGCTTTCTTGGAAGCCAGGTCCAGGCGGCCCGAAGACACCACCGATTCCTTCTCTGGGACAATCTTGGAGTCCGCTGAAATTCAAATAATAAAAAGATGCGGACGGTTACCTTGGGAATTTGGCAAATCAATTCTGTGCGTGGCAGTACAAGTTTTGATGGGTTTTTGTATACAAAAACAATACATTTCATTTTCAAGTTTTCAGAATGTTACGTGTTATCAAAAAAATTAATTGAGGTATATTCCGTCAAAAATATAAACATCTATGCCTAAAGGAAAATTACCATTACTTTTATCCATGAACAATTAAACTCAATGCATTAATTATGTAGCCATAGATTTAAGAAATATTTTAATGGTACCTTGATGACTATAGATATAGAAAAATGAAACAAACTGCACTGAAGGTTCCAGTATTATTCCTACAAGCTCCGTGCAATTACACACGACTGATCGTCTCTCCCAGTGGTCTCCCCCAAATCTCCCCTTCATGCCCAAAAGAATTGACAGAAAACAGTAGAAAATCTACAAAAACACTTCAGATACAATGCATAGTCAAACTCAAAAGAGTCTACAACTTTATACGAGTATTTATAAGTCAGTTTCTTTTCTTTTGAAAAAAAAAAAACCTTTGAATAGGGACTAGATACATACAGGACTGGATTGAATTGACAGTTAGGCCCAAAAAAAAATAAGTCGGTCTCTGGTCAGCGCGCGCGTCGATTTAAATCATGCGCGTTGATCTTTTTTTTTTCCCAAAATGTTCCGCGGTAGCTCCAACAGCGCCCTCTATTTCCGCACCTCCTAATTTTTTTTTACCAAAGGGCACCAAGAAATGGGAAATTGCACCAAGGCAAATGATCGAAAGCACCAAGGCAAATTATGGTTGACACCAATGTACATGAGGACACCAAAAAAGCAAAATAGTACCCACCTTGTCTGTACAATCCAAGCTTGAAGAAAAAAAAAAAAAAGCAAAAAAAAAAAAAAAAAAAAGCCACGTGGCCGCGTCAATTCCGGAACTTTGGTCTGACCAGAGACCAAATATTTTTTTTTTTTGGCCTTACAAGATGAAGTAACATTTGCAACTTACGAATAACAGTCAGTTTTGCAGAGCATGTGGCTTCACCGACAGTGTTGACCGCTTTGCATACATAGGTGCCTGACAGGTGGGGCTTGGCTGGGGTGAAGTGTAAGATGCAGGAGTCGTCGTCCCCAAACTCCATGTTGATCTCGGGTGTCTCTTCAAGTTGAACACCATCCTTCTCCCAGAAGACGTCAGGCTCTGGCTCACCCTTGACTACGCAGTCAAAATCTGAGAAGAGAGCAGTGAGATGTTTCAAATGTTATGAGCCAAGTTTGTCAAGAGCCGATATGGCCAATCCGGCCTGCACTTATCTCTGGTTTCAGTGGCATGAAACGACTGAGAATATTTCTATTAGCCCGGGATGGGATGCCAGTCCATCACAGGTTGCTCTCCAGCAAATGCTGGAACCAATTTATACTCCTGGGTGGAGAGAGGCAAGTGGGGTGAAGCAGCTTGCCCAAGGACAACATATGACCAGCAGGCTGGATTCGAACCCCTGACCCTCTGATCATGAGTCACAAGCCCTGACCACTAGTTTAAAGCATTCAATTATTGCTTCATCTGAATGTACAGAGATTCTTATACATTATTTCACTGTCCAGTAGAAAATACATCCTAAACAATGAATTATTCTGATGCAGAAATGGGGATATAATGAGGATGGTGAAACCGCATGTGACTGTGGGGCTGAACAGTCCATGGACCACCTGCTGGTCTGCCCCCACCTGCCAGAACCCTGCACCCACGAGGACCTAGAGAAGTTCAACCCCCGAGCGAGATTCTCTAAACCCAATGTTGATTTAAGGTGTTCATATACATGTAATTGTTCCTCCTATCTCATTCTATTTTAATTACTCAAATTTTATCTGTAATGTGAGTCACTGTTATTGTTTTTTATCTGTTCCAGCTTTACTATTTACATGCCTGTTGTGCCATACATGTCAGAGAAGTAAATGAGAAATGTTTGCTCTGGTAAATAGTAATAAAAAATGCAACTGTTGAGATCAGGACTACTTCAAACAGCTTAGATTTTTCAAAAAAAAACTTTCTTGATATGAGAAATCAGGCAAGAACTTACTGGCAAATCTGCCCTCCTTTATGGTGCAGTCTCGGGTGAAGCGGGTGAAGTATGGCAGGGTCTCTTTAGGCTTTGTCTCTTCTTCTGGCTCTGGCTGGACCAGTTTGCCAAACTGCTTGACACGAGTCGGTTTGAACTATTATCAAAATGGAGGAGAATGATGAGTGTAAACATGTGTTATGACGAAATTAAGAAGGGGGATTTAATAAAAAATCAATACGTTTTGATCCCTGCAGGTTATTTCTCTTTTGTTTTTTTAAGATATACCCTACTACGAAGGAACATCAGGCCCTCTACTTTTTACTAACTGTATATTTGAGGTCAACCCTGTCATTACGGACACTGCAACTTTTATTTTTTCTTAAAATTTAGAACTCTCACAAATATGGAACTCAAAATACAGTTTTAGACTGCAAGGGGAAAAACAGTTTCTTTTTGGAAGACATGTTGAGTTTCAATGTCCTGTGAGGACTGTGACCAACCATGTGGTTAAATTTTCATGTTGTTACAAAATTTGTTCTTTGATAAATGGTGAGATTTATTAATAATAATTCTAAATACAGATTATAAAGCCACTATCCTAGAAGTATTTCATGATTAAATAAATATGAGAAATAGAGAAATTGCAATGAAAATTCCTGTCCAGAACATTACCTCCTCTGGTCTGACAGTATGTCTTACAATGTGATCATAGTCATCATCGGGCTCCGCCCAGTCATGATCTAATTCAGATGACGGGCGACGTTCGTCTTGAGTTTGGGGTTCTTCATCTACTGATGATGGGCGCTACGTGTACATGGGTTCAAGGGATTAGTTAGCAATTTGTTAATCGGTATCACATGCAAAGGGATGGGCAATCTCTAAATGGTTTACTTGAATAAGCTTTGATTACTTTATTGTCTACAGCATTAAGGGCTGAGGATGATTACAGCACATGCATTTCTCCTAGTCTAGAATTTCGAAATTGTAGGAATATGTAAAGGGTTAAACCCTTCTCTAACATAAACTCATAAGTCCCATATTGTCAGTGCTAGAGGATAAACATCACAAGCTTCCTAGGTGATATTGAACTTAAATATCTTCCTTAATAGGGCAGAAATCTTAACCATTTAACATCTGCCCAATGTAATTCCATCAAGCTAAGTTTATAATTTGACTTTATAAAAGTTCTCATTTATATCCTGTAAAACATTAGAAAGGTTCTGCATTTTTCATTTTTTTCATAGCTATGCTGATCAACCTGATCAAACAACATTTTCCAATCGGTGATAAATCACTTGATAATTCTGAGTCATAAAGATGATGAAACATTTGGTATTATTCACATCCCATGAACACAACCAAACAATAAACCAAGCATCCTTTGCTAGTGATCAGGATGTACCACCTACCTCGTCCATGGGTCCATCCAACTCACTCAGGTTCAGCTCATAGGCCGGCCTGACTTCAGCTTTGTCCAAGGGTTCCTCAAGGACTACAGGACGGGAGAACTATTCAAGGGAAGTAGGAAAGAATGGAGACTAGAGCTAGGCCATGCATGGTAGGGGAGCAAGGAGAGGTTTTATCTACAAGTCAGGATACTCTTTCTAAATAAGCCAGTTCGGTATTTTAACTGTGCATGCGCACAATGATATGGGTCACTCGGGATAATCGAACGCTCATCAAAGGCGCATGAACGTGCAGGGACCCGGGCGCACGAGGCTCGCGTGTTAATTACAAGCAAAATGGGCGTCCGCGTAAAATCGCGTATCATCACATCAGTGATTTTATCCCGAATGACCTTTGACATGGACTACTTCATCGAGATACCGAACTGGCTTATTATAATCTACACATTTTTCTTCCCAACATTTCTAGTTTGTTTTTAACAACCCATAGACAGATAATCAAGAGTCAATTTTGTACAGTTACCAAGGTATTTCACAACTGAGTTGAGACTTGGCAGAAACTGCTTCTTGAATATTTTTGTAAACAGACTTTGTAGTTATCATTGTTTCCTTCAGGAATTATGTGGGAAAAACTGGCTGGATTGGAACCTACTTCAGAGAAAATTATCTCATTATTAAACTCATCACAGCCTGCTGCATAGGCCAGCGTGTACATATTCAAATTTTGAGTTTGACAAAATGATTTTCAAAACAATTGTATACATTTCATGAATACCACCACATGATTTCATCAAAATCCACTTGAAATAATAATAAAAACCAAGTCAGGAATTTTGTGCCTAAATTTGAGAGATGATTTTAAAAAATTGTATTGCACACTGCAGAAGCATTTGAGACCAGGTCCAAAGTGGGCATTGTTGTCTGTGGCTATGCCTTCTCACTGTAATAAAGTCAATGGTAAAGCCTCAAGCCATAGCCACAAAACACCTAGAAATTATTACTAAGCAAATAAATGTGTTAAGCAAAAACACACAGTGAACCAGTCATGAGTAGTTTATACTGCATGATATTTTGGCTGGTAATCTGTATTTTTGTGCTTAGCAATTTCTTGTTCTTATCAGCTCCGTGAAATTTGGGCGATTCACAATGCAGTGCACCAGCAAGAGTTTGCCTTTGAAAGTGAATTTTTCCCAATGCACTGATGGTCGGCAAATTTGCAGCGCGGGACATTTGAAATTGTTAGTTTTTCCCGTCAGTAGTTTCATAAGTGTGATTCAAATATTTGCCTTTTTCTTTTCTTTTACAAATATGTTTTTTTTGTAAGGCGACAGAGCGCTATGCCCCAACCTATAACAAGCTGAAGTTTTCTACTGACACTCTTTCAAATGGGCCGTGTTTTGTCGACTGCAAACTTGAAAAATTGACTTTCCATGGCAAACTCTTGGTGGCGCACTGCATTGTGAACTGCCCGAATTGACCACTTATTGGTCATTAGCATTTTTGAGGTATGGCACAATCAATAGGAGGGCTATAGATCTCTCTCATAGGGCGCCATCTTCGTAGGAAAATTACAACTGCGTGTTCAACGCCATTAGATGCGTGTGCGCGCAGTGTGCAAAATGTTAACATAAACGTATGTTGCTCAAAAATTCTTAGAAATACGGCGCAGCCGATGTGCGTCATGAAAATTTGACGCCCAAAATCAATGCACGTGGCAATCTGAACGAATACATCATTTGAGAGAAAGACCTACTTGGAGTGAGTAAATATGGCTACATAATGCACCCTCTTATTGTGTCCACCATATGCCAAAACAGCTTAATGGCATGACACTCAAACAAACCTCTGTTGGTTCCTCGGTCTGTTTAGTTACGAGGTCATCATCTTGGAGGTCAGAAGGAATGGGGTCAAAGGTCAGCAGGTCACCAGCGGCAATTAGTTGCTCTTGGAGTGCCAAGGGTTTGCGGGAAGACTGTTGGGGGAAAGGGTGTGGGAAAGGAGGGTTGGCGGGTTTGAACTGCATGGAAAGGTTGTTACATGCATGAAAGAAAGCTAGGAAAACTACAATGTATTTCTCAGCAATTTTGTATTCTTTGTTAAAACATTTCAATGTGTTTTTTTTTCTAATATATGAATGATAATTTGTAGATAACTTTGTTAGGGTTGACTTGTAGAAATTACTACCCATTTTGAAATGTAATGATGGGTGGAAATATACTGTTCAAAAAAACTTTTTTTATCTTGATTAAATGCCACCGTAAGTTAAATATGTAAAGGGGGTGAAGGAGATATGCCACAACCAGAAATATTACAGTTTGGGAATGGAAATCGCAAATATTCTTTTTTAGGGGTGCGAGAATTCAGGCGGCACACATCTTAACATTTACCAAGACAAAATCTGTAAAAATCCAACACGTGCAATTTCTTGATATTGGGATTCAGAAATTGTTTAAATTTGGATTTACTGTAGTGTTGAAATGGATAAACTGATTGTTATGTCATACATGTTGTGTGCACTGAATCACAAAAACTTCAATAGGTGCCCTTGATGAATTTTAAAAACAAAATATGAAAATTATATTTGACGGGGAAGTGTTTGATTTGGGTTTTTTTTTAAAGCAGAATAAAAGGATGATATGAATACCAAAGGTAAGGCATGAAGGAATGGATATGAAACACCACAACCAGATTTTAAAGGAATAATACAAATCTTACCTGCTTTTTCTTGACATGGAATCACAGTCACCCCACACAACCAGATGTTTTCTTAAACCTTTCACAACCATTTTTTTTTTAACCAATATTCGCACACAAACCACTCAAAAATAACTTTGAATCATTTTGGACAATTAGTTTGAAGTATTCGTAACTCCAATTTTTAAAGACTTGTTTCATTCGTTTAATCGGCGGACAGAGTTCCATACCTGGACATCACATGACACTCTGTGCACAAACTCTATGAGACTGGTCTGAAAAATTCCGAGTGTTTTGTCAGTAACGCTTCAATAATTTTCCCTGCTAAATTTGAATTTTTAGGACATGTAATCGCTTTGTAATGGCTGATAGGTCACTGCAGGGATTTTTTTTTAGTGATGTCCATGTATGAAATTCTTCCCTAATCAGCTATACCTTAACATTTTTGAAGGTTTTATGAATGGATTTGAAGCAATGGAATGTTGTTTTCTAGACATGGAAGGTTAATTAAAAAAAAAACCACTTGAATCAATTGAAATAAGTAAATCAAGCTGCATACCTGCACTGGCTTGACAGTCTCTTTGACAATGACTTCATCCTCAATGGGTTTATCCAGTCCAGTAAGATTGAGCTCATACTCGGGTTTATGCTGAGCTCTAGACAGGGGTGTCTCAACTACCGGAGGTTTGGATAACTAAATAAAAACGGGTACAATAACACATGCAAGGAACCAGGTATCAACAGAAAAGTAATCATGCTTCAAAGAAATGGCTACGGGAGTTCTAAAAATTTATAAGTAAGGCCAAAAAAAAAAAAAGTCGGTCTCTGGTCAGCGCGCGCGTCGATTTTTATCATGCGCGTCGATCTTTTTTTTCCCCAAAATGTTCCGCGGTAGCTCCAACAGCGCCCTCTATTTCCGCACCTCCTCATTTTTTTTTTTACCAAAGAGCACCAAGGAATGGGAAATTGCACCAAGGCAAATGATCAAAAGCACCAAGGAAAATTATGGAGGACACCAATGTACATGAGGACACCAAAATAGCAAAATAGTACCCCACCTTGGCTGTACGATCCAAGCTTGAAAAAAAAAAAAAAAAGTGAAAAAAAAAAAAAAGCCGCGTGGCCGCATCAATTCCGGAACTTTGGTCTGACCAGAGACCGAATATTTTTTTTTTTTGGCCTAAAAGGAAATTTGTAGAAATCTTTGGCTATGTTTTCCTAGGGAATGCTAGGGAATGCAACTTCTAGAACTTTTTATTAAAGTATATTTCTGTCTACAGTAGAAATTAAATATGAAGTGTAACAAGATATCTGGGTCATTCACTATGATGTTATGCAATTTACTGGAAAATCTAAAAATAAAACAATTACAAATAATCTATATTTCTAACTTGTCAACATTTTCTACATAATCTACTCATATCAATTTTCAGGGAAACCTATGGGATATCAAATAATGTTAATTAGAAACCAAACTTAATTTTGACACAACAAACTGATTGACAGAATTGAGTTAAAATTACCCTCTACATCACGGAAATGTTTGGTTGGGTATTTTTTAAATTTGATCCTTAATTCTTCTATGCCTACCTGCACTTTCTCCATTGATGTCTTAGCCAATGGTGCGTAAAGAGGCCTTTCCTTTGCCTTCTTTGCATCTTCCTGTTTCTTGCGCTTGTCCTCCAATTCCGTCTTCCTCTTCTTGTCTTCATCTTGTAGACGGTCGGCGAGGCGGAACAGCTCGTCATTCTTGTTCTCGAAGGACGACATGAGGCGGTTGTTGGCCAGATGGAGGTTGTTCAGCTGGCTGACAAACGTTGGCGAGTCAGGTCCTAGAAATTGATTCGCAGAAAGAAATTGTTTTAAAGATTGTGCGGCGTACTCACAAGATACACTTGTGAAGGTCACAGTGTTTACGTGTACTAGTTGGGGCAAGCATGGCCCAAAAGTTGCATGACTAATTTTACAGTGAGTGTAGACAAACTCCATGCATGTTGGGCAACGTTTACGTGTCCATCATATTCATCACTGTGTCACCGTAAAGGGAGTGTTTGTGCTAGGAATCCACAGGGTGAATTTACTACTGATTTGAATGGAATGATTTAAGAGAAAACAAATCTTTAATCGTTGAGAACCGTATTATCAATTTGGACTATCAAACTTTATCGTCTATTCGGACTGTCAAACTTTATTATCTCTTCGGACTATCGAACCTTCCCATTATTTAACCTTACTCCATTTTCGGACTAATGAACACTTCAGAATACCTAACCTTCGGACTAACGAACCTGCAGACTATTGAAACCTTGGACTATCGAGCAGGAACCGGATAAACGCCTGTGGGCACCGTGCTTCAGAACGATAAACTTTACACGTACATTTAATACGTAAATGTACATGTAGCTACGTCAGAGTCAGTTGGTGAAATCGAAAATTGTGAGAGAACTGTAGGTGTGGGTGTATGTGTATTATGGCACAATGCGGTATTTTTTGTAGGCCCCCTTAGTTTCCCTAAGCCCTAGGCACAGTGCCTATTGTGCCTATTGGATAATCTCGGCCTGCTGGTACCCTGTTTTTATTTGGCAAATTATGTTCCATGTTTACAAAATGTCTTTTCAATAGCTCTGTGAATTTTTTTTTTCCGTTTCAGAGCTGAGCAATTAGTAGTATTCTAGTAGACTCACCATAGAGTTCCCTGGCCATCTCATTGAGTTTCTGTAGGCGAGCCTTCTGTGGTTTCTCTCCCTTCTCAAGGAAATCATCCACCTGATCCATCAGCTTGTGAGCCTCCTCCTCAGATTTGCAGATGGGGATCCTACGACCGATGGCCAACAGCAGACCGTTGCCTTTGTTCTGCCATTCCACAGTCTAAACAAGAGGGTAAAATTAACAAAACGTAATAATTTTTAACATGAAAAATGTACTGCTGAATTTTGAAGTTTAACATTTTTACTAGTGATTCATTTCTGCTGATCCAACTTTTTCATGCTCAGCAAACTTGTGTTCTAATTAACTAACTATGTACTGACATAAACCCTGTGAATTCAAATCACTTTAATGAGTATCATTTCAGTAGACACAGACACAATAAACCAAGGTTGGATGCCAACTTTGGACTACCAGAAAGCCGTACCAGTGCTAGTACAATTAAGCAATTCACCTGTCCAACATTTTCCAATGATAGTCCAACCATACTGACCAGAATGTCCAATTTAGACACTAGTTTTAAGTAGCTTTTCTCCCCTAAAAATCTTTCAATTGTTTTGTTTCCCTCCACCAACTTTGTGTCAGAAAACAGTTTGTATATAGTGCTTATAACATGTTGTCAGTACAGGGCAAAACCTAATGTCATCCTAATGTCAACAAAACGATGTCATTCTAAATCTTCAAGATATCGCTTGACACGATGTTCCCCCAAATTTCTCGCAAGCCAAAATATCCAACCCTATACACATATTGGATCACACAGTCGTGAATTTCTTTACGCCCAAAGACAACGTGTTTCCCTTTGTCCCTGTAATATAACACTCTCCCAAAGACTAAGTACATAACCGATCGAGATTATATCGAGGACCGTTTTCAACAAAAGACCCAACGCTCGAGGACTGAAAGGATATTTTGTTCTCCCTTTGTGTGTCTGTCCTCTACTGTATGTACACACATACTTGTTCCGTAGCTGTGGGGACTGCACACGAGTTGTCCCATGGTACTATGGGGAGCGTAAACACTGTGGGGCCAGCAGAAAGTCCCCACAACTCGGTCCTAATTTGCCTGACAATTTATTCCCCGTTACGCAGTGACGGCCTGACCAATACGTCACACAGATACCACTCACTGTTTTGAACAGCTTCTGGAAGTCAATGGACAGCAGGAGTTTATCTCGATGATCATCTATGTCAAGGTCGAGTGTGTTCCATTGTCTCATGACCTGATCCATGTCATGTCGGACTAAGGCAGACTCGGGCGGATTCTGCTTCAGGATGGCTGTGGCCGAACTCATGTAGGATTTGAGTTGGTCCTCCAAAGGCTGTAACAAGCAAAGAATTTTGATATTATTATTTTCAAGTGTGTCAGATCACAGACAATAAATGAACGACTACAGTATTTTACAGTTTACCATTTGAGTCGCATTCCAGGGATATTTGCTTTTGTTTCATACGATTAGATCCCACATCCAGAATATCCTAGAAGTATTCACTTCTTAAAAGCCACTTGTGCAGAGTAAATAAACTCAAAGTGATTCAATCTAAGGCCAAATCTTGTATTTGTTATTGGTTTCTAGTAGGCAGTACGATCAGCGCTTTAAGCAAAACGGGTATCATGTAACGGAAGATTTTGTCTAAAATCAGTTTAAAACTATGTGCATACTATGCACCACCGATGTGCACTGTTTTAAGCTGCCATGTGCAAAACTGGTATTCTGAGAATCAGGCATTCACGTTGGCAAAGCCACAGTTAAACGTCTGATATATCATAGCATGTAAATTTTAGGTGACCCCGTGCGCCAGCCATTCAGAGTGGTCCTTACAGGCTGTGACATCCTTTCGATCAGAAATGTGGACTAAACTGTTGATTAGTCAATCTCGATGCCATGTTTTTTTAATACAACAATGGGTTACGGAAGACCTGAAAGAAGGCGCCCGCTGAATAGTCGGAATCTCGAGGTCAAAACGCAGACTTGTTCTGCATAATTAATCGCCAAATCTGCTCGCACATCATAGACCCTTGCTGGGCAAGGGAATATCCCATAGACTACAGAACTGGTTCACACTGAGTAAATGTAAATGTCATCACTGACCAATTCTTAAAAGCTCATGACAAAGTTTAATTCCATTTCTCACTTCAATCTGTGATCTCCAGTCATCAAAGCGTCTCAGCTTGGACTTGGCAGTCTCCTCTGTGTCTCCATAGTTACCCTGCATGCCTTTCAGTTCCTTCTGGGCTTTGGTCAGGTTCACAGTGAGCTGCAATGAAAACAAAAAACATGATTTATTATACAATTGTTAATCAAATTAGGTTTTGCCCTTCACCAACGTATAAACACTGTATACTCAGTGTGTTACCGCCCGAGCGAAAGTTGGAAGAAAATCACCCGGGTGGGACTCGAACCCACAACCTCCTGCTTTCTAGTGCAGATGTCTTACTGCTCAACCACCGAGCTAACGGGATCGGTTGGCTGGTTCGAATTTTTTTTTTACTTCCAACTTTCACTCGGGAGGTAACACACTGAGTATACTACATAAGATTCAAACCAGCTAACCGATCCTGTTAGCTCGGTGGTCGAGTGGTAGGACATCTGCACTAGAAAGCAGGAGGTCGTGGGTTCGAGTCCCACCCGAGTGATTTTCTTCCAACTTTCACTCGGGAGGTAACACACTGAGTATACAGTGTTTATACGTCGGTGAAGGGCAAAACCTAATTTGATTTACTTCACCCCGACACAAAAAATTCCATCTTATGTATACAATTGATCCATGTGGAGAAGTAGGAAACTTCACAGTATGTGACGTGGCCTGATAAAAAGAGGATAAGTTGCTAAATTATCAAAACACCTTTCACTCCCGAATTATCTGAGGAGTTGTACCTCTGATATTAAAAAGTACTGCCGGAATTAATTTGATCAAATCAGGTTTCAAAGTATGGTTTCAAGTCTGTTTTTTTTTTTTAACTTTGGGCTGGTTTCTTTTGACTGTTACAAATGATGTTGAGCAAACTGTTTACTTTAAATCAGAAAACAAATTGTTCTTAAATTCTTAATCTGTAACCTACTCAAGAGTAGATTATAGCAAGCAATATCTTGGGCACAAATTAGGATTAACCCTTTCCTTACTACACTGTTGGATTTATTGACTTGGCTCTCCCAAGAATGAAATTGTTTGCTCAGTCATGCGGAAATCACTAGAGCGTGAAAAATGGGCCACAAGTTGAAAATTCACTTTTTTTTAAACCCAGATTTTCACTGCCAAGGAGTGATTAAAATCAAAAGTGTTGTGGAATAAGTTTGTTCATTGAACTTTACTCTTTTACGGGATGTAAAAATCAAGGCTATATAGGTGCAAAAATAAGAAAATTATGCCTGTTTGCTGAGCTGGTCCCTGTTATCAAACTGGAAGCCATTTCACCACATGACCAAATGGCAATCCATACCTCAAACCGTGAGTAGTAACTTCTGAAGCACTTTTCTTTAATATATGTTAATGTAAAACTGTGAATAAACTACACCGTTAGAATGATTCTGAAAACAGTCTTTCGGCTGGTATGGGCTCCGTGCACTGACGAAAGAGGGCGTCCTTTTACCTAGCAACATTGTTCCATGGGCGGGACATTTCGCTGGTTGACGCGCACCGTTCCTTGTGTGTGACGCATGTACACCAGGGGATTTGTACTATGTACACGCAGTGGCCGCGCTTCGCGGCAAATGAATTGCAGTCAGGTAAGATGGCGTCGGTCGGTCACCCCCAACTGTTGTTTCTTTGCCGGTGAGGGTGTACTTGTGAACGGAGCGAATATGGTTGATGTAGCAGAAGGGACGTATTCCATTGTTGACAAAAATCGCCCATGGTAAGGAAAGGGTTCAAGATTGTAACCCAGCGTAATGGAAGCTCACATAACGTTTTATCATAATGTCATTTTTTACCAGATTCAAAGCAAGTTAAAATTTAAAAATTGAACTGGACTCATTTCCTACCTCAGACTTGTGCATTTGTAGCTCAGCTACACCCATGGAGTTACTCATCTTCCTCTTCTGTTGTTCCAAGTTTGTCAGTAGTCGGTCTTTCCTCATCCCAGTCTTGTGGAGAACCAGCTCAATATCAGCCTTTGAGACAGACACTGGATCCTGAACAACAGAAAAAAGAACCAACACGACATCTTACAAGACTGACAAAAACCAATGCTAATTTTAAACACCCCCAACCCCAGAAGAAATCTCTCACTTCAAAATCGAATGAGCATGCAAAATATAATGCATTCACAAAGAAAATCTGATGTCATAAAACATTAAGAAGCATGCAAAGTGATGTTACAACTTTTAACTTTTCATCGCAAACATAAACCTTAACAACTCCTACAAAATTAATAAGTAGACCATTTCTCAAATTAGGTTTTGCTCTTCACCGACGGTTAAACACTGTATACTCAGTGTGTTACCTCCCGAGTGAAAGTTGGAAAAAAATTGATTTATATCACCCCGACGCAAAATCCCATCTTATAATAGACCATTTCTGTTGGATCCTGCTGATCTTTGGTACTGTTGGGATTTGAGATATTATTGGGTCCTTGTGAAATGCTAGGGAATTAACACTGATGGAAGTTCTTAACCTTGACAACTCCTACAAAATTTAAGAACCGGCCATTTCTGTTGGATTCTGTTAAACTGGGCAGTGGATAACATATTTTTGTTCAAGCTGTAGGACGCTGTTGGGTTGAACAGTTGTACACGCTGGAATTTGTTGGATATTGTAGAGATACTGTTGGCATTTGAGATATTCTTTGGTGCTTGTGCAAAGGTAGGGTATTAGCACTGATTGAGATAATCAACTCAATATATGTAATGAGCATTTTATAAGAGTGTCTCCTGACGTAAGGCAGAGAATACTGTCCGAAACGTTGAGCTTCCCCCTGGTTCTTTCCAGAACCACACAAAAATCACAAAAGAGATTTCTTGTCACATTGTGCAACTGAAAAATTACTCTTATAGCTGACTTCACCATAAAAATTCATAATGAGCATTTATAATGGGATAGAAAAGTTTGCCATGATCAGGTTCAGGATAATCTAAAGCCTTTTCCAATACTTACAATCTTTTGGATGCCAGCAATCAACTTCTCCCCTTCATCCACCGTCTTGTCAAACATGTCATCCAGGTCTTTCTTTTGATCTTCCAGCCTCTTGAGACGGATCTTGGCTTCAGAAAGCTTCGTCGGAGTCGACGGGGAGTAAGGGATTTGGAGTTCCTTCTCTGTCTCGTCCATGGCTCCGTTGAGCTACAAGAAAGAACGAAAGAAGATCTTATAATAAGATCTATTTCCTCCAAACTCACAGTGTTTCCGCTGTCCTCTGCTTAATGAAAGTAAGGAGGCTATCAATGCATGACTGTCAGTGGAAGTTGGGGTTATATTAAGTTCAAAATGAAAATATCTGGCCTTCAACAAAGTACAGTTGCTAACACTGAAAGTTTAGAACTCAGCGCTGCAAAAGTAAGAGAAAAGGTTGTGGGTTCAAGTCCCACCTACTTCTCCTGTGATTTTTTCTTCTAACAGCTTTAGTAAAGAAGGGGTGTGCATTTACGGGTAGTACGGGAACCAGGCACCCGATCGAAAAAAAAAAGAAGTATGGGCACCCCAGTACCCGTTAATGAAACCAGTTATGGGTACCCGATTCCATAATCTGGAACCAGTTCCTGACATCAACCGTCCGGTACTTGGGTTACCGGTTCCAATGCACAGCCATAATCCAAAGATTGACTGTTTGTCATTTTGGTAGTTACCTTGTTGACATTATCATAGAATCCGACGGTCATGTTGAGCAGTGTGCGGTACTTCCCAGTGCGATCCTGGAAGTGATGATACAGCTTAGTCAGATCATCAATCAGATTCTCCCGTCCTCCCTTGGTGTCTCCTTTCTTGCCCAGCGAGTCGGCGGTGTCAATGCGATCCTTCAACTCATCACTCACTCTCTGCCGGAGAAAATCCATGTATGCGTGTTTGAAAATGCATCAACACGAAACAAGTCATTTAGCAAGTCAAGATTCTGAAAGTGATCATGTGATTAATGGTTCGTCCTCAGCTTAATACAAATCAAGGTTCAAGTCCTGATTAATGGTTCATCCTCAGCTTAATAAAAATTAAGGTTCAAATCCTGAGAAATGTTAACAATGAGTCAGAATTCCCAAGAGAATTCCTCAATCACTGCACGCCACATTTTCTATGATGACGATCCGGTCTTAAAATCTATGGTATGATTCCTTAGCCTTTCATGAGTCACAAGTAATTCACAAGTCATTTCACAAGTACCAGAGGATAAACAATAAGCCAGTTTGGTATCTCGATAAAGTAGTCCAGGTCAAAGGTCATTCGGGATAAAATTGCTGACGCGATGTTACGCGAACACCCACTCCGCTTGTAATTAATGCACGTGCAACGTGCGATCGTTTCCTTACGCGTTCATGCGTCTTCGATGAGCGTTCGATTATCCCGAATGACCTGTGACCCATATAATTGTGCGCATACGCAGTTGAAATAGCGAACTGGCTTATAACAAAGGAATGCCTTATCCCAGTTTATTTGAAAAGCCTGTGACTTGAACTGAGACAGGCTGACTTGAAAAGGGATTTGTGAACTTGTGACGTTTTTGTGATGGACTCTACTATAACAATATCTGCACTAAGGTTTAGCTGTCTACATACCTTTGCAATGTCCTCAAATTCAGCCACTCTGCCAGGCAATCCCTTGGTGTCGTCTGGATTCCTGCTCACATCAGAGGCCACCTGTGGGTAATACTCGGTCTCTGTCCGGTGTGCTTTGTCCATGCTCTGCAAGGATGCACAAGATGTGCAGTATTGGCATGAGTTGTGCAAGAATTCAACTTTTAAAAAAAATTATTAGAGATTTCTTAAAATTTGGTTCACATCATTTTGTACCTTTCCCCCAAATAGCTTTAACCCAATACAACATTCTCCTGTCAATAGGCACAAGCCTTTGATCATTAGTCATTTGATAAACATTCATTAAGCAGAGGTTTCCAAAACAATTTCACAAACATATTTGAAAAATATACAAGAATGAAAAAGCAAGAACAACCACAGTGAAATATGACTGATGCAAAACATTTCAAGACCTAAACAATGATACAACAAATTACGGATGTTAATGTTATGGAATTAAAATGTCACATCAGTGAAGGGCAATATTTTTGGCTGCTTCAACCAAAGCAATGTGTGTTTCTCAACTTCCGTTTAACCTTCAAATCGGACTTGATCTGATTCTAACATCTGTATTTACCTGTCTTGCATCTTGGACAAACTTCTGCCACTTGGTCAGAAACAGCTGGCCAGAGTTCAGTCGCTTGGTCAGCATGTCGTAAAGACCACTTAGATACTGATTCCGCTCACCAAAGCTCTTCATGACATGGCTGACGTACAGTTTGGAAGATTGGACGTCTAAATCCGGGTCATTTTTTATCTATAATGTGGTAAAAATGTAGTCATCAGATAAACGCAAAGCGAATGAGGTTGCTATTTAGTGAAGCTTCAATTTTGTTTCAGACCAACATTCCAGAGTCATGCCAAACTTAAATATTCTTAGTAAAAGTTCAATGTTTGAAATAACAAGAACAACAAGGAGAAACTTCACACAAAAGATTAACTCTGGAGGTCTTATAAAGTTTGTCTTTTTTTATCACTACATTGTATTACATTGTATTTATTCACTGAAGAAACCATAAAACCATTCGAGTGCTCCGTCAGTTTCGGGCGCTATCGAGAGTAACAGGGAGGGCGGTGTCAGATGCTAGAGGGACTTATTTTATGGACACAATACAGAATCTGAGTGAATGGACACACACTACAAGATTTCTGTCTGAGCATTTATAGACAACATGACTTTGAATAATCCAACTCTCGCAATGAATACTCACAGCAGATGCCTCAGAGAGGAAGTTGCGTCCAGTGTTCTCAAACTGCACATAGATCTCAACCGAATTGTTCCATTTCTCCTGCAGATTCTGCACTGTCTTGGCTGGTATGTCAGGCGCATCCATGCTGATGTAACAGTTCAACTGCTCTTCGATGTTCTCCATTGCATTTGTCAACTGCAAAGAGAGGACAATATTCAGTAGATAATTCGTTTTCTACAGTTAATACAAATGGATCTCAAAACCAAAAATGTTGCATGTGACTAACAAAATAAAGTTAGTACGAATGAAAAGAGGCATTAGCGAGACAATGGTGGGAAATGGTTACTTTAAGTGCAATCTATAGGGCTCGCTCAGTTACGGCCATCTCTGTAGGAGAACTGCAACTGCGTATTTTACGCAATCAAGCACGCACTGCGCAGTGTTGAAAATGTTCCAAACACGCGCGCTTGTTGCTCGAAATGTGATCGAAATACGACGCAGCCGATGTTATGCAAGTCACGCTAAAAATGCTGATGCACGTGGATGGTCTGTAGGAAACGACGTCATTTGAACAAGTTTATTGCATGCTTGCCATACATAATTGGCATGCATGCTGAATGCACACTAATATAACTGTTTCATTATAAAAGATAGTCCATTTGAATGTCTCAAGCTACATGACCTAAAATGACCATCACCCAATGACATGGGAGACCTTTTAGAAGAGAGGTGGTTAACCGTGGTTCCAACACAGACCACAATAGTGTTAACTTGACATTTCAATAAGTATACTTTTTGCTTTATCAGGAGAATGTTGCACTTATCACCCAATATTGGAATCATGTTTATTACCAACAAACTGTAGTACGTATACAGTTGAATATAAAGCAGCTGTAACATAAATCTTATCTTCCTCAATACTCCAAAGTCCTCCGGGCGGTTTTGGAGGATTTTGGAGGATTGAGGCTGAATGCAACATACAATTTTTGAGGATTGTGGCAGATTGAGGGCATATGGACATTCAGTATCGGTTGATTTTGGAGGATTGAGGCTAAATGGTGTTTGATGGACATTCTATATCGGTTGATTTTGGAGAATTGAGGCTGAATGGCGTTTGAAGAAGAGGAGGATTTTGGAGGATTGAGGCTGAATGTATTTTGAGAGGCAGGGCTGTTGGAAGATTTTTAAGGATTAAGGCAGTGGGTATCCTTCATTTGAACACAAGTGCAAAATTTTGGAGGATTTTGGAGAATTTTGGATGGTGCCTAGCAAAAAGGGCCTAGGGGATTAGGGTTAAGAGTTGCAATTTGGGCAATTATAGCAATTTTTTAAGTCAGTAATATTCATCTTTCAATAAACACTTCGGCTGTATTTTTTCAAACCCAGTTCCCACCTACGTTTGACAATCAGTATATATTCCTACCTGTTTGGTTAGCTTGTGGAATTTGATCAGTATGAGCACAGCATGCAGCCTTTTGTCCACACAGACGGTCACACGGGACCAGTGCTGCTGTAGTTTGTCACATCGGTTCTGCAAGGCGTTGACCTGCTCTCTATCTACTAGAGCTGGTATCAACTCAGCTGATGTCTTGAAGACTTTGTCAACTTGCTTGGTCCTCTCCTGTAAGACAGAAGAAATCTCAACTATTACAGTTTTCAGTTCTCAGCTAAAGTGTTCAATATAGCAAAAGCATTTCCTTTAATCGTTATCTCCAATGACTGGTATTTTCAACATCAGTCTGTGTTCAATTCAAACATATCTGAAAAAAAAAATATTGCCCTAGCAAATAAATCGTTCTTTTTATAAACTGGAATGGTGTTTGAAGAGACAGACATGACTTTACCCTTGCTTAAACTATAACATGTGTGAAAGAGGCTGTGTTGGGATTGGGTATAAAATTGTTACTGCGGCTTCAAATTTTTACTATCGGCTTGCAACATTAAATGGCTGTAGCTGTTCACAGTTTCTGTTCTGGCCATACCCTCAGACTTAGCCGCAATTGCAAGTCTGGTTCCAGACTCAACCTACCAATATATCATTCATCAGTCTCTGGTGGCCGTCCTGGAAATCCATACTGGTCTGCAGCTGGTCTCCCATGTCAGTGCTGGCTGCCAGGAACGTATCGGCCACGTTGACCAGCCACTTGACAATGACGGAGTAGCTCTCATCAAAGCTGACTTGTAGGGAGGATTTGTGCTGGGTCTCTGGACTGCATTCTGACTGCAGACGTTCGGACTGGCTCTGAGGCAACGGATCAGAAATAATACCACCTTTAGGGTTGTATTTTTCAAGTCAACTTTGAAGAATTAAAGTATTTTGTCTGAGCGATGGATGTAATTATCAAAAGTCACACCAATGTGCCTCAACCCATTAGCACTTATTTTAATAAACTGTATTTATTGTGAATCCATAAACTAAACAGTGCTTTTGGCTGTTTTTGATTGGTACATGTATAAGGAGTAACAGGCTCGGTAGTTTAGAGCAATACAGGAACTAGTGGATTTAATTTGAGCCACATTAAAAAGTAAAAATTTGAAGTCTGTCGGAAAGTGAAACTGTTGCAATTTTTATCATTCAACTTAGAGAAATCGGCTTTCAATAATTAACACCTGTCACATTGTAACACCTCCTGCGAAACTATATAGATCAAACTTCAATTTCTTAATGATCCATATTGCAAGGCTACGAAAGAAAAGTAAATGTTATTCTCAATAGCTGAATAAGGCAACAGAGACTTCCACGGAACTCAATTTATAAAAATAGTGGTAACATTTGAAATCTGAATGGTCATCTGAATCCTCCAGCTTACCTCCAGCAGGTCCAGTTTGTCCTTGATCCCGGGTGCTCCTGGCGTCCCCCTGCCAACCCTCTCCAGTAAGGTGTGACCCTCTTGAATGACGGGCTCGGATATCTCGGCCACGGCATTGCCCAGCTGGGCCAGGCGGGCTGCCTTGCTGTGTGGCTCACTGGGCAGCTTCTTGGGACCGAGTTGAATCTCGACCTGGGACAGGTACGTCTGGGCCTGAGGAAAAAAAAAATCAATTTTATCTCATTAATTCCAAGTTACTAATCTTTGTGAATACTCCAAGTTCTTCCATTGTGAACGAACAGTGACTTCTTCTTTGTTCTTTTAATGGGCATCAATCACTTTTGTGGATGAGCTCTACATGTATGTTCCAAAGTCTGCAAAAATTAACAAACCTGCTGATTCTAGGAGAGTTGGGGTTCAAAGGTCTGGCTCACGCCATGACAGATTTGAGGCATTCTATGTCAAATAATACATTTGGCGAACACAGATTTAAACACAGATTGAAATGTTACAATGTAGAAATTTGGAAATTTGCCCTTGCAAATTGTTTTCAAATATTGTTATCACTTTGGGATTTTCAACTCTGGTCCCCGCTCTTTGCTCTTACCAAGGATGGCAATAGATAATCTAAGCTGAGGTCAGCCTTAATGTTAATCAAAATGTGAAAAGCAAACATTCCAGGGTCTGCAACAGGTCATATTTCTAAGATTTTTTGTTTACAGCAGTGATGTTTTGAGAGTCAGTTTTAGACTTACAAGTTCAGCATTTTTGTAGAAGTCCAACACAGCCTGTAGCAGTCTTCCCCTATTGGCCAAGCGTCGAATGTAATCATCGCTGAGTGTCTCAATGGCTCTGGTCTGGCTGCGCAGATGATCGGTGTGTTCTGGATTGGAGTGTGAGATCTGCTCAGCTGTCTGCCGTAAGCGGTGCACGTTGCCTTGCATGTCCTGTCAAATATAAGGTTAGGATACCCTCAATCACTAGTGGTATAACAGTTGCTATATAAAACATACAAATGACAGAGACAGAAAGTGCAGAGACTTTTTATAGAATTTTTTATCATGGAAAATATGGATTCCTATCATTTTGTGTGTGTTTTGACAATAACAGAGACTTACTTGAGCCGAAGACTGGAAGTCAAGATGTTCCTTGAGGAGGCGTTCAGTGGCAGCTGCGTCTTCACCAACGTCCTTTCTCTTCAGATAGTCTTCACCTCTGGTCTTAAACCAGTCAGAGATCTGAAACAATGGAGTGAAGGTATGACACTATCTCAAACTTGAAATGCTGTAATGTTCTACCCCGATTGTTCTGAACAGTTCTACTCAATGTCTTCGTACCTGCTGATGCTACATTACATTCAAACCGTCAGTTCACCCCCTGCCAGGAAGGTGGATGAGTGATAAAGCATCTGCATTACTATAAACCAGGTAAGCGTGTGAAATTTTCTCACAAGATCTCAGAGAGCACCGATTATAGTGCTCATAAGAAATTACATGGGTTAAAGGCAAAGCCCAATGTTCAAATTAATTTCTATTGCTACTTTTATTTGCTAATGCATGACCAAAGTCTTTTCAAAATAATGTTTATTTTAAACACTCAGATTCATTCATGTATCTTCTGATTGTGTGTCATTTCAGGGTCCCAACTTTCGGAATTCTTTCAATAATATTTCTAAATTAGTTAATAGCCTTCCCTGTTTTCAAGAAAAAGCAATACATTTTGGCTTCTAGAAAAATACTGTCAACGTTGATTTCTGCATTTTTAAAATTTGTTTTAAACTTTGTTAACTGAAGTTTATGGGGGTCTCCGTTTTACAAGCTATACTTTTTGGAGACCTCCAACACTTATTAAAATTTGAGATATTGACAATTCTTGTCGTAAATTTTGAATTGACTAAGTGAAAAAATAGATGAACTGAACTGAACTTCAGCAAAATCTTCTGTGGACGTACCGGCAGCAATATCAATGACAAGGAAACCCATTTAACTTTGAGTAAACTATGAGGTATTACTGTACCTGATTAATTTCCTGATCCAGATCGCTCAGCGCAATATACTGCTCCAATCGTCTCCGTTGTTTGTTCCACAGCTCCTCCAGGCCGCGCCTCCTGTCCTGCAAGTCATCCAGGACCTTCTCCACACCCAAGGAGGATTTCTTGGAGGCGTCCTTGTCGTCTTGGGAGGAGTCCTTGCTGAGGGCGTGGAGTTGCTCCACTAGTTCCTTGCCGAGATTCATCGTGTCCATGGACGTGGTTAGGATATCTTTGTTCAAGAAAATTAAGAAGCAAGTACATATTGAGGAATTTTTTTTACAGACAGGAAATGCATTATGTGAATCAACTCTCTTTACGTAAGAAAAGCTAATATATGACATGGGTTCTCTATACCACTACCCCCCTCAATGGTAAGAAAGTGAGAGTTGGGAGAGACATTTCAATGCATTGTCAACGACACCTGATGCTCGTGCGAAGATGCTATGGCTTTTTGCACATTCAAATTAATACAAGTCGTACATACGTCATGGGATTCTCGAAAGTGGTAAAAAAGCACCCTGTCTTGTTGGCACACGGAGCCCATATTGTCTGATACCTAATAAATCTGTCCAAGTTCTTTAAACGAATATTCCCTACAAACACTAATTTATAGGTTGGCACCAAGTTTAACTACATAAAAGGCTTAAAATAATGTGTGAAATTCTGGCTTGTATATGAAAAAGAAAATGAAAATCTTATTAAATTTCTGGTAACGGGGGTTTCATATGTAAATGGTTAAACCATTTTTAATTTGGTTTGTGGAAAAGACTGTCCATAGCATTAGTAATCCTAATAACAAGGACGGATGTACCGGTATTTTACGTTGTGTTCTTAAATACATCAAACTAATAACATTCGAGCAACTTGCTTGTAACTGAAGAATCAGTTTGTGAATTACCTTCTCTGATCTTGTGGTGGTCCTCCATCAGCTTGTCAGTGCCTGGTATATCAGGAGGAAGATCAGGAGATCTGAACTGCGCATTGGCCTTGTCAAGTTTATCAGAGAACTGAAACAAAGAAACGAGTATCAGTATTGTTATGTGATATATCTTTATCAGCAGAAAGTGGGTAGGTTTCAAAGATACAGCACTTGTCATTTCATCAACAACATGTTGGGGCAAGTGGCATTTTTCTTGCCTTCCATCACATTGAATCTGGTTTAAGCCCAAATGTGAATTGGGGTTTTCAGTAGATACTGCAATACTGCAAAACTGGAAATGTTTTCATTGTCTCTCCTCTAGGTTTCACTAGGCTTTTGTTACAACTGATCATGTAGTAACCAACTGACAACGTATCACCAACCGATGCTGTCACAGAAATTGACCGATACTGTATCACTAACCGATAATGTAACAAACACTGACTGACAGTGTAGTAAAATGTAATACACTGTCAGTCAATTGTTGTTACATTATCGGCCCTAATGTTGCAAAAACTGACCGATAGTTTAATAATATTTACTACACTATCGGTCATTTTCTGTTAAATTACCGGTAAGTGATACAGTATTGGTCAATTTGTGTGACATTATCGGTTGGTGATACGTCATCCGTTGGCTACTACATGATCAGTTGTAAAAGGCTTTACAGCCTCGGTTTCATGTCAGAAAGATATTATTTAATAGGACAACTTTTTGTTTCTTTCCATTGTTTAATTACACCTGGCCTGCTGAATATGAGTAGTCCTTCCCAAATTTGTCAAGGGATAAGATTGAGCCTTAGCATAACTCATATCTTAGGAGTTTCCAATTTCTTTTCAAAGTTCTGAAGAAGTGAGATAATCTAGAGAGCTTTTTTTCATACTCTGTAGACTTCTGTATACTAAGAGTTTTGTCCTGTCCTAAGAAACAAATTTATTCAACGTGGTTGCTACTACTCTTACTCCATCAGACATTTGCTTTTTAAAACATGGATTTGATAATAATAATAATAATAATAATTTGGGAGGCTAATCATCCTTACTCGCAGCTGGTATGCTGAATTGTGAAGGACGCGGCTACAACGTGGTCGGGCTGCTGGCACGTAAAGGCACCTATGGCTGCCGGCCACATCGACCCACAATGACCACGGAGCACAGCCCGAGATCGAAAGTGTTTGATTTTTCCGGAGGGAGGGAAACCGAAGGGCCCGGAGAAAACCCTCGTGGCACAGGAGAGAACCAACGCACAACTCTACTCACATGCGATCCGTGGCCAGGATTCGAACCGTGGTCACCTTGGTGAGAGGCGAGCGCTTTACGCACAAGCCACCCATGCCACCCATGCCCCATTTTACCATTTGGTGAGCTCTTTGATCTTAAGATGACCTCACCTCAACAGCACTTTGATGGAAGGCCACCGACTGATCCAGCAGCTTCCTTCTCTCTTCCAGCTGCAGGTTGAGATCCTTCCAAGCCTCACCCAGAGACTGGGCCATGGCTTCGTAAACGTCATCGTAGAATTGTTGGGTTGACACTAGGAAGTCAGCCTGGGTCAAGAGGCTGTTGATGTGTTGCTGTTTGGCCTGGTAAAATACAAAAAGGACTTGGACTGAAACTTAATGATTTGAAACTTCACTGAAGAAGTGGAACTATTCACCATAATTGTCCAAACAAGAACAGAAGAGCTCGTTTGTATTGTAAATGTGTTCTAATTTAGTGACAGAATTTGTACACCTGTACAATCTATTCTACAATGTATATGTGACAGCGCAAAATTGATTGTGCTTCTGCATGTTCTGTAGTTCATTTTACAGAACCCATTTTGTGTCTTACTTTTATCATCTAACGAAGGATGATCCAATATGTTCTGATAACCTATTTTTGAATCGGCTGTGAAATTGTTTATCCGTTTGTTTTCTGTGTGTGTGCTGCATCTTCTCAAGTCGACCACAATAACACATTGCTGATACACTGTTTTCGTAAATTTCTCTGTTTATCCAGTAAGTAATTACGATTTTGTTGTGTGAATTATTTTTCAAGAAATAAAGTGGCTCAATAATTTCTGAATTACCGGTAGCGCCTCGATAAAGCATTATTAGCACTACAACAATTTGGTTGTTGATGCAAGTATTGCATTGTAAAGATTTCAAAATAGTTGGTGTTCATATCAGGCTGGCTTTATGATATTCTGAAGTGAACCGGGTACTTTGTAAAGCAAACTTGATTTATTGAAGAACGTTTCCCTTTCTCAACTTTCAGAGTGAGGTAAGTGAATACATTGTAACAAGATGTAGAACTCTGCTTAATGTCACATCACATCTCTTGTTTACTTCCAAATGCCAGCACAAACTTACAAAAGTTACAGTTGTTCAACTTTGGTTCACACAGTTATCACCCCTTCAATACAAGTTCAAGTGTCACAGGTTTTGATGTTCTCAACACGTAGTTGGTAATAACTGTTTGACTCGATGGGTTCACATGGTCTGATTAGTGTACTCTGACCTCAACTGCACGACCTTTTGATCTAGGATCTTGAAAGGGGTAATGTGTCTAATGCATTACATGTAGTTACTGGTATTGTAAGCTTCCACAAATGTACGACAGCTGGTTCATGCTATCCAACAAAGTGAAGCAAATTCAAAGTTGTGGTTAAGATCTTCTCATTTGGCTGAGACTGTAAAAATTGTCAAGGAGACAATTGTCTCCCCAAAAGTTGATTTAGATTTTTTTTTTTAAATCCAATACTCAGGCTGTTTTAAAATACATTACTTTTGATAACATCTTATGGTTACAGTGGGTTCAAACCCGGACATGGAACATGGTGCTTGTGTTCTTGGGCAAGACACTTTACTACAATTGCCTCTCTCCACCCAGGAGTATAAATGGATTGCGCTGATCTTGAGCTGCTGCAGAAACTGGTCTCATGGCCTGATGAACAGGGGTAATAATTGTGAAGCACTTTGAGACCTTTGGTACAAAGCGCTATATAAGCACTATATTATTATTATTATTATCTGGAGAATGACAATCTTAGTTTTACTAAGACAAGATAGGTTTGCAGTAGCACCATGTGAATAAATCTCTTTTGTGAGTATGTGTGGTTCTGAATAAATCTCTTTTGTGAGTATACATGGTTCTGAAAAGAACCGGAGGGACTCAACGTTTCGAACAGTATGCTCTGCCTGTCGTCAGGAGAACCACACATACTCACAAAAGAGATTTATTCACATGGTGCCACTGCAAACCTATCTTGTCTTAGTATCTTTCCTCCATGCAAACATTCAAATCTCAATCTTAGTTTTGATTTTGGCTCACAATGCTGGAAAACCAGTCAGCCAAAAGTACAGAATTGTACTGAATTTCTTTTATTGCTTTCCATACATGTACATGAACATGTACACAGCAAATGATGTATCAGAGATTCACAGGTGCTGCCTATAACCCCTTGCTCTATGCTATAACAAGCAGAACCTCCAGTCAAAAAGTCTGGATCTACTTTGGAGCAAGGTCAATCCCCGATGGGCTCAATTTTTGATGAGAATCCACCAGACAGACTAACGAGTACATCAGTGCTGACATTGGACAACTCCAGACTTTCAGTTTCTATGCCTCATGTGCACCAAACCCTTAATCTGATGTCTGTGAACTAAGGTTGTTAAATTATCAGCAGATTTGAGTTTGTCATTCCAGTTGCATTTGGTGGCTCCTATCAAATGTCACAGTCAAAACTGAAAAACATAAAGAAGGCAGTACCGTACCTCTTGATTTATTTGTCCGGAAGGGAAGAGGCAAAAGGTCTCTGATGATCTCATAAATTCAATAACGTAGAAAAAATGAAATTCTCTACAGTGTGCAACTTGACTGATGAGGTATTTTTTTAATGAAAATATGGTGTTCGGACTTTTGGGTATAAACAGACAAAATACTGAAATACATGTATCTGAACTGTTTATTAACCAAATTAATTGACTGTTTCAATTATCATCCGACATTATAACTTAACTCTTTATTAAATTGAAACCAAAAATTCTTATAAATTTGAATAAAATTGTTTCCCCCCCATTTTTTTTTCAATTTCTAAACAAAAGGTTTAAGTAGTAATGATTTTTGCAATAATGAAGTTGTATTGGTTTAAGAAAAAAAAAATCAGTGCTGATGGACATGAACATTTTTAAAGGACTTTCCTTAAAAAAACCCCATATTTTCTGCGACTTTTTATCATTTTTATGGGTAATGCAGGTAAATCACTGCTTTATGAGTCTCACACTGAAGAATGCAATGGTGAAATCGTTTCCAGCATGCATTTCATCATCTTGAATGACAACTCCAGTCCCTAATTAAATTTCAGGAATCAATAAGAACGTCGGAGCCTTCTCCACTATCGCATCTCACATCCAGTCATCAACGATTAGACACATTAGACAAACAATCTTCAAGACATAAGGTACTCATGTGTAGAGTCCAGTGCCATCTCATTTTTTTTTTTTTGGTTGGCTCCTCTGGATATATTTACATCTCAGGAATATTCTGGAGGCGACTTATTCAATCCAATTCTCGGGTGAGCTTTGAAAACAAACCCAGGGCATTCCTCGTCAACGGTAGATGCCTGGCATTCCAGCAGAGCTCTGCATCTGAACTTCAAGAGTCTTGACCGGGACCCTCCAGAAAGTCACTGATCATGCTGATGTGATATACATGTACTGCAGCATAGTTGTCTATAAATACCACTCCGAGAGAAACTGGACAAAACTTTTCATCTATCATTTCGGTTTCCTTGCCAAGGAATTCAGCCAAGATTGCTTGGTACATTTTTGTCAAAATTTATTTCAAATTTTGAAGATGTTGTTAGCAGCAAAAGACTTGTACATTTCTAACTTGTATTTTTTACAATAAAATTCTCTATCCATGGACATTTTAATTGGCAAGCAAGAAGCACAAGCCGTACTTTATATTGATGCTTGGTACATTTTTGTCAAAATGTATTTCAAAAATTGAAGATTTTGTTGGCAGCAAAAGACTAGTTGGACATTTTAAACTTGTATTTTTTATAAAATTCTCTATCCATGGACATTTTAATTGGCAAGCAAGAAGCAAAAGCCGTACTTTGTATTTATGTAATTTGAGTAGATATCATTTGAAAGTTGATTCAATTTTGCATCACGTTGATGTAAATTTCATTAAAACAAAATACTTTGAAACATCTGTTTCGGTCATTCTGGCTTCAGACGACTTTCAGCAAGATAACAAATAAAATATCTGACTTAAACCTGGACTGGCCAGTCCCCAACAAATACTGTAAGAACAAAATTGCTGACTAAATGTGCACAGCTGTTCTTAATAAAAAAGGACTTCAACAATCTCACCACAGAACACTAGACGAAAAACCATCATCATAAAACCTTACCAGATCATAAGACGTCAAATGAAAAATGAAATTTCTTATCATCAATTTTTTTCTCTGTGCAAGATTTAAGCTGGTTTTCTTAGGAACAACTTGAACTTTTTGAAGGCAAATGATTTTGCCAGAGCCCCATCAGACACCAAGCCAGACGGAATAATTTCACAGGGTGTTTGGTAACATAACAAACTTTAATCCAAGTAAGCTTTTTGTTAATAATTTGGTAGGTTAATTTTTCGGATAAATGCAAATGATCTTAAGGGCCTTTAAACGCAACAGCCTCACTTGGTTCACTGTGAGATGGCAAAATAGCACCATGGTTCTTGCACGTTCCCATCCACTACAGACAATCGTGCATAGCTATACATTGTATTATACGTAAAAGTACAAGTCACTGGTACGTAAAATAAGCTATGGTATCATATTATGTGGGGCGCTGTGGTCCAATGGTTACGGTGTTCGACTTGTGAGCCGTGGTGCATGGGTTCGAATCCTGACCGTGGGAACATGGTGCTTGTGCTCTTGAGCAAGGCACTTTACCATTATTGCTTCGTCCTTCGGATGGGACGTAAAGCCGTGGGTCCCGTGTGTTGTGTAATGCACGTTAAAGAACCCAGTAACACTTATCGCTAAGAGAAGGGGTTTGCCCCTGGTGTTTCTGGCAGTGGCTGCAATGTGCGCAGCAGCACCTTGTAAACCATTATAAGGTGCTACATGTACATAATGGGTCTCATATTTCCCATAAATTTTATTTACCTTTCTTTAATAATTGACATAATTTCCAGCGCCTTGAGTACCTAATTGTTGGTAGATACGTGCGCTATATAAGACTCCATTATCATATTAACAGGAATAAGAGAGTATGGGATACATACTGCAAGTTGTTTGAGCATGTCGTTGTGTTGCTGCCTCAGTTGAAGGGCTTCTTCCAGTGTGGTGCCAACATCGGTCATCTTGGGTGTCATCTCCTCCACTTTGACACGAATCCATTCTGTGGACTGAATGAAACCAAACGCAAACATGCAATTCTATTAATTTCTTTGTTAATCCTAAAATGTTCAATATAAAAATGACCACTATAGGATGTTATTCTTGATGTCTTGGTTTGTCTTACCATGACACACCAGTTAACCTAAACAAAAGGTGAAGCCTAGAACATCACTTTCGCGCAGGATCACTCACTACCGGTACCTACTTGTGAAGGCTAAGAAAAGATGGCAGGTTTATGTCAAGACGACAAACTAAAACAGAAAACAAGATTTTTCACATTTTTTGATGCGAACAATTTTTATTTTCGATGCAGAAAATGACAAAAACTGAATACAATACCTTATTTGGTAATTTAATAGCAACAATGTCCAAAGCATTGCCTAAGTGACTGAGGATTGTGTTCATAAAAGTGGTAAGTTGGAAAATGCAGAATAAATTAACATTTTGTTCAAAATCTGGCACATGATGACACTACTTTCCACAAATATACCGGTATATAAAGTTTTGAGACCTGCAGAAACTTTACAAAAATCCCTGGCATTCTTTTTCCACCTACGCTTTCTTTCAACTCGTGTTTATGTGTTCCCTTACTCTTAGCCCATGCTGGTTTAATCCTGGCTTATCTTACAATAACAAAAACAGACTCCAGAAATCCCCCGGCATAACATTCATGCAATACGATGATCCATAAGAATGTCAAGTTGAATACTCTGAAGCCAAAGCATAACATTCTATATCAAATGCATGGCACGCGCAGCCTCATGATATCCCGCTGTTATCACAACGGTGGGAGAAGGCAAGGACCAATTTTAACCCCGATCTCCCACTGGCAAAACAAGGGCACGTCATGACCACAGCCCGAAGGGAGTTAATAGGCTAACGAGCCGCATCCTATAAAAAGGAACTTAGAAATAAAACAGGTTTTGGGTTTCCAGTGACTACAGATCATTAAACTACTCCTACAGCCTGAGATAAATTGAGAGTCAGCTTGACTGTTTCGTCAAGTTGTACTCTGTACTTCCACCAATAATGGCTATTGTTGACTACCGTTTGCTTTACTTTCAGGGAAGTTGAAAGTATTAGCATGTCTTTTTACACTAATAATCCCCATAAACTCTTTCACTACAGAATTAATTTCCCTAATTTGACGGAATTAAACCAAATGTGGAATTAAACCTTTGTGTAGATGTCAGACCATCGTCCCCACTAGGCACCCTTGCAACTTGCAAGCCAATACATGTACCGGGTATCTCGGCCTCAGCATATGCTAAGAGTTAAATCAGATTTACATGTATTTCTCAAAAACATGCTCTAGGGTTTAGGGCTATTCAGCCAATAGCTTTTCATATTGTCATTATTCAGGATAAACTGAGGTGAAACTGGTAATGTTCCCAGACCCGACCGAGCATTTCAATCAGTGGACATTATCCATCAATGTAGCCTCATGGGGCTACTCGACAGCCAACTTCAACCAAGTAGCAAACGCATGACAATGGTTTGTTTTGGCTTGTGGGACCCAACTTAAATTGGTTTCGGTATTTTCCCGAGAGTTTGTCTCTGTCAGTTAAGAAACTTGAAGAATGTTTAAATCTTAAATTGGGTTAACAAGCCATCGAAACACAGTGTGAGGGATACTTTTGGTTAGCAATTTCAATACAAGTTCACGTTTTGATGACAGAGCAGTTATTTACAGGGTAATGAGTTGCACTGCTGTAAACATGTTAAATGCACGTTCAATTTTTTCCAGCATCATGGAACTTTGGCAGAGTTTGCATTTGACACAGTGTACTGCATTATTACTTATTCTGATGGCCTACCCTTTGTTTTGTGATGCAATGCTAATGCAGGAAGGCTTTGGTATAGTGCAAACATGATGTACATGATTCCTCTATGGTTTAACATTTCACACAAATTATTGTTTAGTTGGTTTTCAATTAACTTGTCTTGCAATGTCCTGACAGAAACAAAATACCACTGATGCCATCACATTTTCAACTCCTATTATGTTGTGATTCAATCAAATTTTAAATACTGCCAAAAGAGATTTAAAACAAGTTTCACTGTCGATTCTGAAAAGGTAATACAATTCCTTTTGGGGCAAATATACCTGCAGGACCGCATGTGATCAGTGTAAAATATTCACAAATAACTGCTTCACGCACAGCATGGCCTTAGAAGGAAAAGAATTTGCTTGCGAGTGAGAACCCTGTTGAGCTGGAAGGCTGAAACTAGATCAGTCTCCGTAAAGAACTTTATTGCCAGAAGACAAAACAGAAAATGAAGAAACTTGAGATGAAGATGCTGGTATGGGTACAAGGAGGGACCCTGAAGGAGACAGCCAGGGGGGAATCTTAGGATGCGAGGAGAAAGATTGAAGGTCCATTTGTTGAGACAAGGTCGGTGAACCAGATAAAGATATGTTACCCTGGGCTTTTTAGATTGATGGGTGATATCCAATGTATAGGATTGCAAAATTTTGAATACAAAAAAAACAGATTTGTTTTTAGAAAAACAGAAGTACATATAAACTTCTTGTAAATTTTCTTGTGTCATAGACTATATTTTCTTTTCAGATTTTCTCTGTCTGAAATTAATCTGTTTGAAATCACTGCCTGAGCTGTTTTACTTATTTGCTTTGTTTTATTTTGTTTAATTTGAAGATATAATAAATCAAACTCTTTTCAATTTGCTTGTTTTAAAAGTTTCAATACCTCTGACAGAATCTTTTAACTCGGCCACTATGTTTCTTGTAACCGATGCGCAATACTTTCCGAATGATAAGCTTTGACCCAAACACTCAGTGCAAAGCAAGGGAGGGGTTACAAGTGCTGAGCACTGGACTGATATAAACATACAGAGAAGGCAAGCAGGCACACATAATAACATAAACACATTTGATAACCTCAATGTGCATGTACTTTGTGCATGAACTTTGAAATTCTTGTAAATGCATCAAGATTATCTTCTTAAAGGCATATCTATTCATAGGATCATTTGCTTTTCCATTATGTTCATTTCCAATAATAACAACACTCAAAATCCAAAGAAGAATGTTCAAAACCTAACCTGAAAAATCTATATCAGAAATTACAAATAAATTTTTTGTGTGGCCTCCAGAACACTCAAAAACTCAGTAGCATGTAGATTTCCCACGGATAACATACAGAGCAGCACATCATCAGGAAAACTTGTTATCCTCCAGACAAATGAGGAATTTAATGATGGATAATTTTAAGTTTGATCCCCTCACCCACTGCTTTGCAAAACATCCAACCCCCTGAGTGCAATGCCTTCCAGATGGCAAGGTTATTGCTTTGACAGCAAAATGTACAAGTGTAGGCACTGGAGTTTTGATCACTAGCAAGAACGGTTTTGAGACAGGGCAGACAAGAACAGAATTGTGTCATCCAATAAACAGAAATAGGAAATATGAACTATGCTACATAAATAGAATACTTACATGTACAATGTTTTGTATATTTTTCTCTATTGATACGACATAAAACATGTTTTATTTTATTTAGGCCTAAATGTTTTTATTATTGTTATTATTATTAACATTAATATTTTTTTGGCCTTTGAGAAAGGTCCTGCCAGGATCCAAAGTAAGGCCCTCTTCTTCTTCTTTTTATTCAGCTTTATGAATATTTTTGTTAAAAGTTTAATTTGGATTTTTAGCTCATAAGCTGAAATTATGGAAGACTTGACGATGAGAATCAAAGAAGGTTGTTCCCAGAAATGAATAACAATCTGGAGCTGACATTTACCCATGACTGGCAGTTTCAGTCATCTGGCATCTACATCTAGTTGTGTATACTTGGGTCAGACTTTTCTGACCCAGTCACAATTGAATAAACATGTTACATACATTGTACAGTATGTATGTATGTGTAATATGTGTATACACTGTAATATGTGTATACATTGTAATAGCCTTATGTTGAATTTCATTCAAGTACGAATACTATTTAGTGTGTGTGTGATTTAACATTCAGTATGCACACATACACTGTACTTAAATGGCACTAAACTGAGAATGTTTCTCAGCCCCAGATTCATGTCTTTTCAACATTTTTGCAACAACTGACCTTCAATGAGATAATATACATTGAAGGATGAAAACAATGGCATCAGGATGCAACATTCTTTCAAAGAATTTGGAGTAACTTTTACTTTTAGCTCTGGAGCAATGTTGGACATCAGCCCAGATGAAGGCACAGTGCACGAAGCTTCAACTTGTCACGTTTGTTATCATTCGGAGTAAGTCTCCTATCACATTCCATAGATACCGCTTTATGGGAATTTTATTGCAGATCTGGAGCCTATGATTGATGTGTGAAGTCTGGCAATGTTCCGGCTCCAGTGTAAAAATAAACACAGCAGAGCTCATTTTGAAAGTTTAAAAATGAGACATAAATATGGAATCATGAACTTCAATAAATAATGAGAAGTAATTATATTTTGCACATAGGACCAAAATGTATGTTCCATTTTTTCGGTCAGTTGTAGATAATACCAATTAAATTCATTGGTAAAGTGCATGATAACGGTAGGCCTAATATTTTTATTACATAATACTGACAATAACAAGCGATGCAAACTTTATAATGTGCACATTCATTTGTAAATTAAAAGTACATTTGAAAATATCATACGGTAACTAAAATGTGTAATAAAAACTTACTCTTAAAACTGCGAGAACTATGCGATTATCTCCAGATTGCACGGCAACCGTGCTAACAGCTGTCACGGGTAACTTCGTTGCCATGTTTATAATGTAATTTCCTTCATCCACGGATTAAAAAAAAAAAAAAAATCAATCAAATCCTCTCTCTCCGCATCCGGGCAAATATACAGTATTAGAGCATCAAGACGCCATATCTACGACTGATGGAATTAGGGCGCAGGGGGACGTAATCAAAGGGAAGTGAGGTTTACGATGATCGGGGACGACCCACTGGGATCGGGCTTCAAGCACACTCTGAAGAAAAAAGTCCCGCTTGCTGGGAAACTTGCTGTGATGAGCTTAAGCAACGGCACACGCCGGACAACCGGTCCAAGCTAGCAGGGAGGCCACACCATATTTAGCTAGACTGGTGCTGTACTAGTTGTGATTGGTTGGCCGAGTGGAGGGGGCTGATGTACACTAGAAGTACTGATGTGATGTTACCAACACAGAACCGTGCATCACTACAGCATAGCTGGAGCTCTTGTACATGTACATGTAGACTTACACCAGTTGACAGTGTACCACGATCACAAACAGAACACACTATCCCATGATTGGCATAGTCCCCCACAAACTCACGACAACTTCTTAAGTCGGTTCATTCGCCAATTAAATAGAAGTTGGTTGGCCGGTGTGTTTGCCGAGTGACTCTGGTGTCAATGGCGGGACCCAACCATTTCTCGTCAAGGGTGGATAGGCATGAAAGGAGCCAGAGACTTGGGTTTCTCTGGAATGTTTATTAATAAGACGGCCTGGGCTGAGGTCAAACATTTGGACTTCGGGTAATAATTCTAAGGCTTTGGTATTTATAAGTGGCGTCTAATCACAATAAAATAAGAACATCAAAGACACGGAATTCAAGGAAGTGACATGTTATCCCAATAAAAATGGCACACAAATAAGAAGACATTTACTAACTAGGTCCAGTCAGAAAAAATAGAAAATGACACTAAAAATTAGGAAGGGAATAAATAATCAGTTGCTGTTGGTCAAGTTAAAAAAATTACTCACCGTTTAAACTGTTCACAAAATTTGTTAACTTTTTTTTTCAGCTCACAGATATTATTCACACAGTGTACCCCAACTACAAAACAAGAAACTTTTTCAAGGGGGAAATAGATTGCCTTCATTAAAGTTCAAGGATCTTACAAGGCTGCTAATACTACACGTAACTGATTTCAAATGTTTTTCTTTCCATTTGCAAGATATAGTCCAAATAATCCATTTACTCTGCAAATGTTTTGTACATAGTACATTTAAACTGTTCAAATTATATTAGTTCTGACATCAACTACCGGTACACTGCACAAAAACTGAAGTTGACTGGTTCTCAAAATAGTTGAGGGACAGATTAATCGGACAGCGCCACCGCTTTTCAATAATTGACCAACTGTTATCATTGTGTGGAAATGATAAAAGACTTCAGATATAAATATGAGATCAGTAATTGGCATACCGGTGTAGCATGAATTTAGGTTTTATGAAATACGGACTCATTGGTGGTATTGCGCATGCTCATGCATAGACAATTAGGAGAGGGAAATGTCACGTGAGAGGGTTTAACCAATAAAAGGGAAAGAGTACGATTTTCATACGAGTACGATTTTCATATGACACCGGTGTGCTCCGCGCTTTCAATGCTGTCTTTCAAGATCAAACTGTGTGAGTACAGGTCCCGTGATAATGAGCAACTCAAACTTATCACTACAGTGAAAGCGAATGGATATTGACAGAAAAGATTTGTGATGGGCTTTTTGTAGTACTGATGCTATTACATGGTCTAGTAACATGTACAAATATACATGGGCATTCCAAATGTACACTGAATGTTTAACTTGAGCAGTTAATTTAAACAGTGGACAATAAGTGAAGGTTTCCTTTGTGTCCACCAAAAAAAAAGATTTGATTACAAATGGTTCTTGATTGCATTTACAGTTAATTTAAACAGTGGATAATGAGTGAATGTTTTTTCTTTCTGTTCACCAAAAAAAAAAATGATTAAATGGTTCTTGACTGCATTTACCATGTATACACATCGCCATAAAACAAAACAAAAAATGAAGGAGATTCAATTCCAAATATGTAATCAAATGGATGGGTTTCAGACCTCTTCGCCATTAACACATTGTACGGCTAAATGCCATAGTGCAAAACAAAATGGAGTACACAAATTACCCACACCCGGTTGAATGACTAGGCGAAATTTTAATCACCTATAAACCTTAACCTTTCTCACTCCTCTAATGTCCTCCGGGCGGTTTTGGAGGAATTTGGAGGATTGAGGCTGAGTGCAACATACAATTTTGGAGGATTGCAGAGGATTGAGGGCACTTGGACATTTGGTTGATTTAGGAGGATTGAGGCTGAATGGTGTTCGAAGAAGAGGATTTTGGAGGATTTTGACTGAATGCATTTTGAGAGGCAGGGCTGTTGGAGGATTATGATGGATTGAGGCAGTGGGTATCCTTCTTTTAAACATACATGTAATAGCAAAATGTTGGAGGAATTCTGGAGAACTGAAGATGGTTCCTAGCAAAAAGGACCTAGTGGGTTACGGTAAACACGTTTCAGACTGGCGTTCCAAAGTTACACCAAACCAAATTATTTTAAAGATTTGAGTTATGTTTAACATTTAAAACAGAGCTTTTACGCAAAAATTGATGAAGGATTAACTTTCAGTCACTTATATTTTATCAATGGAGAATTCATGCATAAGGTTTGCCAGTCTAAAACCAACATATATTTGGGTAAACCTAAGTCCCTCCTGTTGTTTGGTGTCAGAGGACAGTTGTTGATTTCATCAAGACTGTAAGCAGTAAGCAACTTGGCAGCGGCATCTTCTTTGGAAAATTGAATAAATATCTCAGTGCACACACGGTCACACATTGTTAAGTTAAAAAAAAAATTAAGTATACTCTCAAGTATATAAATTTGTACAAAGCCAATATCCTTCAGTACGACAAGCCGTCAGGAACATGACGGATGCAGATTGAGAAGATTCTCAAACATACAACATGACCAGAATAACAGGAGAAAACTTTGCAAATGTACCGGTAGGCTTGTGTGAAAGTGACCTACATCTCCCCCACAATTAAAGAAAAATTAACTTAGAAGACTCACCTCATGCACCAAGGCTTCAAACTCCTCAAGCTTTTTGGCTGCTTCATTTTCAGGTGTTTCCTCCCTCTGTTGTTGTGGCAGAGATGGCTCACCATTGACTCTCCCTGATGGGGGTGGAGACATCCTACCGTTTGGGGGCGGTGTCCGGTACACAGGAGCAGCTGATTGGACCTGGTTGACAACCACGGGGCGGATGGGTTCATCCACTGCACCGGGGTGAGCCGTTGCTCTTGGGGCCACTCTTGAACCAGGCGAAGCCAAACGGGCACGAGGAGAGGTCATTCGGTCGTGGGGGGAAGACACTTGATCACGAGGGGAAGACATTTGATCACGAGGGGAAGACATTCGATCACGAGGGGAAGACATACGGTCATGAGGCGAGGTCATCCTTTTCGGAGATCTACCCATAGCACCAGGATGTTGGTCATAGGGTCTACTTGGTGATGTGTCCATCCTTTCAGGTCCAGGACTCATCCTGTCTTGACGGGGGCCGAATCTTTCATATCCAGGACCCATCCGTCCATTACTCGGGACTCTACCATTCGAAGAAGCTACTCGTCTTGGATCCAATCTCTCTGAGGATGGTACTCTCCTGCCCGAGAAAAACTGACTGCCTTCCTCGCGTGACACAGCCATGGGTTCGATCATGTCTTCTCTCCTGCCTGAGAACACCTGACCACCTTCCTTGCGTGTCACGGACTCCGGTTCAATCATGTCTTCCCTATGAGCGACATCTTGCCAGTCTGGGATGGACCGGAATGAACTGGATCGTTGCCACCCGGAAGAACTGACGGGAATACCCCAGATTTTGTCCATCTCTCGTTTCTTGGCCTCCAGCTCGGAGAGCTTTTGACTGATGTTGTTGACCTGTGGTTGGAGCTCATCGGGAACACTCGAAGCGGGAGACTTCACAGTTCTGAAATTATAACAAACAAACAAAAATCAGACAATTTCGGAAAATTTTTATCAAGTACTACTGACTGCTCTTACATTTTTTAAATAAATTAATATGGATTTTAAAACAAAGTCTATGAAATTGATTCCTCTGGTCTCCATCATACTTCCAGCGCCTTGAGTACCTAATTGTTGGTAGATAAGTGTGCTATATAAGACTCCAGTATTATTATTATTATTATCATCATCATGTACAACCCTCAAATAAAAATATAGCAGAATTGTTTCTTTTCAGTACAGCACAAATATCTTTGTCTTGACCTGTAAGGGCAGAGATGGTTATTGTGACTGAATGAGCTTCCTTGCGCCTAACAGGCAGCATCGAGCTGTATACTCCCCAGTGAGCTGAGATGGTATTTGGAATGTTTCATAGGCCCACTGAGCAGGGGTAATAATGATGTAGCACCTTGGGCACCAGTCCTGGTGGATACGTGTGCTAAATACCCACTATTACTTTTACTGACAGAGCACTGTGGTCATAAACACAAAATTCCTACTATTCCATATTTCAAGGCATGCTTAGCCCTAACCCCCTCAATTGATGAACTAGGAACCTTCCTCACTCCTGCAAATTCCAACACCATATGGGAAACTCTACACCCAAACTGTTGGGTTCTGATTATGGTGGTATTGTTATTTCTACTTTAAACTTCCTGTTGTCTGAACAGTCACAGACAGGCAAAAGAAATCAATCCTCTTCTCTCCCATGCCTTTTACACAGGCTAGCCACCAACAGTCAGATCGCATTTCAAGCAAGCACTGTGACTAGTCAAATTCAGTCAACAGACAAAAGCAGGCAAGTGGTAGGCACAGCTTGCTTATCAATCACTTATAGTCAAAGCATAGCTGCATCAAGTTACATAAGGAGTCACAGTCGGTCAATCCTACTTTACGTAGGCGGGAAACACTTATCTGTTAAAAGTCGCTTGATTGATTTTGTGTGAAAGGACAACTTTGCTCAGAATGTACTTTTGCATAGCAGGGTTAAATAAAAACGAAAACCTACACAATAAAAGCTCCATATAATCAATTCGGGTGATTCACAATGCAGTGCCACCAACAAGAATTTGCCACGGACAGTCCATTTTTCAAGTATACGGTCGACAAAACCATTAGAATGAGTGTCAGTAGACAACTTCAGCTAATTTGTTACAGATTGGGGCATATCGTTCTGCCGCCTTACAAAGAACACCATATTGATAAAAAGAAAAGAATAGGGCAAACAGATACCTGAATCATACGCTTACGAAAGTACCAACTGGAAAAACTAACAATTTCAAAAGTCCTGTGCTGCGAATTTGTCGACCACCTCCCATAATACACTGGGAAAAATTAACTCTACGTGGCAAACTCTTGGTTTCGCACTGCATTGTGAATTGCCCGAATTCAAGGTTGAATACTCTCGCCACAGACAAATTACTTGGCTGTGGCTGGAAAACACATATGTCCATGTGTCATTCTAAAACAAGTAATTCAGACACCCTCCCATACCTGTCAGGTGAGAGTATGGGCAGCACCATCCGATCCAGCAGGGCCTTGCCCATAGCCATGGTATCTCCATATTCCCTCAGCAGTGAGTTACGGCGTGGGTTGTAAGCGTTTAGCAGCCTGTGGCTGGTGTGGGGGTCCGAGGAGGTGATCTGTGGCGCTAGCTCCAGGCACACTCTGTCCATCTGATCTATCAACTGGATTGGGGAAAAAAGGAATTTGTTGAAGATTGCTAGACAATTCTTCAGCCCAGTAAGGGATACTTTCAGCCGTTTAAAGATTCGTTTTCTGATAATGTTGTAGTTTATTTTTTTAAAATGTGAACAGTTGATGCTGTTGATGATATTGTTTAAACTGAATGGTCAATAAACCCATCTGCCAGGTTTAAATTGGATAAGCCCAATTACAACATAATCACTCCCTATTTTGACTAATATTCACAACTTGTGTCAGCTTTAACATATTAAGCTGGAACAGACATTAAGTTTTTGAATTTCTCACATTTTTTATAAGAAATGTGTACATATGTAACAAATAATTTAAAATGTACTAAAATCAATGAATATGAGCAAGTATATCTGCTTCAAAATCAGAATTTTTTTTTTCCCGAGACAACACAATCATCAAAGATCAGAGATAAAATAATAAGGGTGAACAAAGAAAATGATTTCAGCAGGGTTTGAACTTGCGACCAACTCCACCAACTGAGCTATTCAGCCCTTTGTTAGTGGTCGCCTACTTTGTCCACGTCTTTGTTCAAGGGGTACTAGTCAGAATCCTAAAAGCCACGTGCCAATTGGCCATGGATCACGCCCTTAGTTGCAAAGCTGGCAACATTGGCAATACAGCAAAAACCTGGTAAATGGCACTGCAAGTTCACTCATAAATACATATGGCGAGGGGAAATACACGGGGGGGAGGTGGCTTTGCCACCCATCGCCCACTTCGGGTGGAAGTCCTCCCATATGTTTTGTACACGAATCCAAATTGGGGACCCTTCGGGAATTGGGGACCCCATTGTCCTCTATTGTTCAAAATCCCTTATTGAATGAAGAAACAAACTCACATACACCCTTTCTTCTTTAAAGTATGGAGTACCGAAGTGAATACGTCATGTGCACAAAATGTGTGAGAAAGACATTAGCCTGTGATTCAGCCCGTGAACCAACACGCGCGCGTATTCCATTTGTTTGTACTACACTTTCTGGTTTTAACTGATGTCACACTTTGGTACTCCATAGCAGTGAAGCTTAGATCATACCTTTTCAGCATTTCGTTGGAACATGTGTGACACGGACAGCCTGGATGCCCTCTCCCCAAGACCCTGTGTGAACCTCCTCCAGGCTCGCTCTAGTATCTGGGCTTTCTCGTGGTTGGGTTCTGGATCGTAACGGAGGGATCGTCTCAGCACAAGGGCGGCACTCAGGAGTTCTTTGCCGTAGTTGTATGTTCCCTAAATGGGAGACAAGAAAATGCAATACAAATTTATTGAATCTGAAGAATATCGCCAGAGAAATCAAACGGTGCAGGAAGGAAATTGCTTTTAAGGTTTCAAAAGCTGAACCAATCACTCAAAATTAAGTAAAAGCAGAAAAACATATACATGTTCCCATGTCTACAAGTTTCCTTTAATGCAACCATTCACTTGAAATTAGCTTGTTCTTTTGAACATAAATTGGAAAACAGAACACTAAATTGGGCAATGTTTACATTTTGTAACACTTTCCGACTCAGCAACTGCGGGTTACCCAATCCAAATAAGTTTTCATGCACACATAATCTCTAGAAGTTGTACAGACGGAACGACTAATACACTGCTGTAGTTTAAGTCAATTTGATTTCATCGGCTTTCTTAAACTTTTTACTCACATTTTCGTGTGGCATCATTTCTAAAATCTGATTCAAAACTTACAATACACGGATGTCTGTTCAATTGATGGAAATGAATGAAAAAGAACGTGCATGTAGTATCAGTGTCAACAATTATTTGAACTAAATGGAAAGACATAATCTTACCCTAGCTGTTTCTTCAAACTTGTTGTGGTCTCTGCGTAAGTTTTCAGCCTCTGCTGCTGAGCGGCCGATATCGATGTGCTGTGAAAGCATCACTTGCAGTAATTCCTGCAGCCATGCTATCGCCTACAAGAAGGTTTAAAAAAAATCATCAATCACTAGGTTAAGATTCACCTGATTGATCCAGGGCAAATTTCACAGAGCTAATAAGCACACAACTGAGCATGGAAACAATTGCTGAAGCAAAAACAGATCCTTAAAGTAGAAAGATTGCGGGTAACACCAAGTGGAAAGTAATCTCTTCTTGGAAGAAGTGTGGTTCTGTGGTTCTTAAAAGAACCGGTTGGTTGAGTGTAGAACTTTTCGGACAGTGTGCTCTGTCCGTCCTCAGGAGGGTGAGTGAACTTTTTCAGAACAACACTTCTTCCAAGAAGAGATTACTTTCCACTTTATCTCATCTGCCATGCAAAGCTTCAAGCCATATAAAGGGATCCTTAACACAAAGGTTAAGTCACTAGTTTTTTATGACTACTGCACACAACTGAATCCTCCAATTTTTTATACGATTTTCACAATTCCGAGGGATTTAAGGCTACACTATGTTCTGATTAAAGTTAAAGCAGATTGAGTGTAAACTGAAATGTTACGAGGGAATTTACTCTCAAAATATAAGAAAAAGGGCCACATGTAAAATGCATACTGCCCTCTATGGGTGTAAATGAGAGTGACTGTTAAGAACAAACACGACATAAGCTCTTGTACCTGAGGATTAACAGCGGCAATATTATTATCTGTGATCAACAGGCAAATGCATTCCTTAACCTAACCTTCCCAATTCCATCAAAATCCATCACCCCGTTTGGGGGGATTTTGGCAGATAAGCCATGTGTGCCAAGTCCATCAGAATCCACCAGAACAGTGGTGGATTTCAAGATGTGAATCAGAGTCAATGATTGATTTCGACAGATATGCTACTGTTCTTAGTTAAACTCAGTAGGGAGCTTGGGTTAACACAATATCATACCCTGAAGTGTTTACTCAGTCACAAACACAATTTCTGTTGGTTTTTTTTTTTCTTACACAATTGTCACACTTTTTCAACCCAACGTTGGTCAATGACAAGGGATACTCTAACTACTAATTCTGAGACTAGAGATTGCTAACAGCTAAAAGATATCCAATATAAAATGTTCACTCAGACTAACCTGGTCAGCATCTCTCTCACACGTCCTAAGCTGCAAGATCTGCTGCAGTTTCAATTTCCTCAAATTAGCCATCTCATCGCACCTGTCCTTCCGCCCTTCCAACTCGGCTAAGAGATCCTCGACATGGTCCTTCTGTTTGGTGTAGTCTGGCGTGATGTCTTTACCGAAGGCGTTCTTGACCGGGAGGGAGAGCATGTCCAGCAAGGAGTGTCCTTCTTCTTTGCTGTCCTCGGCTGCAAATGCTTTGTATGATCAAAATGAACACTGACTCTGAGTTTTCTTTTTGTTTTAAGGAAAGCACGAAGTTTACCGAGAACTTCTGTTCACAAATGTTATATGAATTTATGGCATTAGTGAAATTTATGGCATTTTACAAGTTACAAACTGGTGTTAATTTATTGAAGCTGCCATGCGAAGAAGAAAGTTGCCTTGTAAAAATTGTGTACCAACTAAAATATCATTTGTTACTGGCCGTGTGGCTAAGAAAAGAACCCCAAAAAGCGTTGATATTCCGAATCTCTTTTCTAACTGGTCCAAAAAGTGCAACGAAAAACTGTGGAACTGTAAAGACTGCTTTTCAATGAAATTTGGGGCTTAAATGCAAAAGTAAATTAAACTTCATTCTCAAAATATACTCACAGATTTGCTAAGGTATCAATTTACTTTCATATTAAACGAATCCTTTCTGTTTGTATATTACCAATGGTAATAATATAGTGCTTCTCAAAAAGTTAAAAAATATAACTTCCTCTGAGTCAGAGCAACTTACCCACAGCCTCACATTGTTCCGTCAGTTCTCTGAGTGCATTCTCGACCGTCTCTACCGTCTCTACGTTTATTTCAGTTACACATATCTCAAGAAGAATGTCCATCTTGCCAAAACACTGGTGAAAAAAAATAGAAACCATTACACGTATAGCTAATCCATACCTGATATATTTGTTGGCTTTTCTGATAAACCGTTACTCTCACTAGTGTCAGACTTCAACCTAGAAAACCTGGAATTCTTATGAAATAACTATTTAATCTTCGTCGGCAAACTTGACAAATTCCAACACTGGTTTTGTCACATCTTGAAAGAGCTATTATGAAGCAGCCCTTTGTACAGAATCAGCATATTGTAACAGAAGTAAAGGTGCTCTTCAGATAATTTCCAATCATTACTATCTAGATCGCTCGATATTCAGATATTCAGGTGGTTAAAGTTTGTTAGCGAAGTCTCTCTTTCAGCATAACCATGCAAATAGACCACTGCACGGTTGCTTTCTGTTGGCGCTTCTTGACTTTGTTGTTCTTATTTTATTTCAGCACCTTGGATTCCTGTTAGATTTGAGTAGATTCAGAAAGGTTCCTTGAGAAAATAAGGGTGGGGAAAAAAAAAACCATGACACTGTTAAAAGGAATACCTGTTCAGCTAGTCGATGGAAGCGCACGGAGCAGATCAACAGGTTCCTTCGCTTCTCCAATCTGGAAGCATAACTCCTACAGACGGTGTCCATGAATTCCTTCTGAGCGCTGATATCATCAGCTCTGGGATGACCCTGCTTGATCATGCTGTCTGCTACGTGTCTCAACTCGGCAAAGTTACCATAGGTGTCCTGAAGAACAAAAAAAAGTTGTTATAATTCTTATGATTTACAAGCGCTACAAACTCCAAGATCCAGTTCATATTTCAAAAAAATTTTGCCAACTAATGCCACTTCAGTGGTTGTTTCAAAAGCAGAAAGCTGTCATGATTTTAAGGATCAAACAATCATCACATCATAAAGCACAAACAATGAAGTAAGTCACACTAATCTTTACAATCAGTAATTGCTACACCAAAAAGTTTTATCTTCCTCTTCCTATGATCCAGTGCGACACAGCTTCACCATATTTTGTCTACTTACAGTACATTTCAGTTCCAGCTTTTCATGTTCTCTCCTAAGTTGATCGGCAGCACTCAGCGTGTTCCCAATGTCAGCCTGTGATGCTAGAAGCTTCTCACCGGGCCCAACAATCCAATCAACCACCTGCAAAAGACAGACAGTACCAGCAATTAGCTCTCTTATATTTCTGAAGTCAGATATTAGAAGAAGGTTTGCATGAAGTTCAAACTAATGAATATGTGGCGTTCTTGTAAGTTAATGAGTTATCTCAGCAAAAGATAGATCAGCTTTGAATTGGGGGAAGAGTTTGTTTGGATTAAAACATCTGTCTAATTTTGCTAATTTTTTTTTAATAATCAATCTTGTTGGATTCAATGAATTCTTGCTTCCAAAGTTTAATATGTTTGAAGTTTGTTTATTAAATTCTGCACAGGTGCATGGAATAGTAACTTTCATTTCGCATCATCAAAAAATCAGTCAGTTAAATGGTTATCTATTATCTGTGTAAATGCTACATCTTCATTCCCAAGACAAGATAAGTTTGCGGTAGCACCATGTGAATAAATCTCTTTTGTGAGTATGTGTGGTTCTAAAAAGCAGAACGTTTCGAACAGTACGCTCTGCCCGTAGACACCGATATTGACTTGCTCAACTCCTGCAACATCTCCTTTACCTTCTTAATTCCTCCTTCCAGATCACCCAGGTCCATGTTGACCCCCAGCTCTCTGTCCCTATCAGTCAGGTAGATCTTGAGTTTACTCTGTCTCTCTTGTAACTCCTCCAAGACTTGCTCCAGCTGTCCCTGGAGCCTGACCTGGTCCTCTGTCAGATCGTTGGCATCACGTCGGAAGCCAGAGTCAGCGTCTTCCTTGAGACGTCTTAGTAAGGCGTGACCTGAGGAGGCATCATTCGATGAATTCACAAAAAAGATGAGTACGCACGTCTGTAACTTGAGTATGGGAAATAGGAAATGCTCCCAACTGCTAAATGACTGAATTGGCCTGAAATATAAAAATTGTAAAAGCTAGACGACCTGCTGTTTCAATTTAAGCAGGATCCATCTAAAAAAAAAACGCTTCTGCTACGATGGAAACATTAATAATAATAATAATAATAACACGATTTATAACGCGCATTTTCGCAAGTAACAATGCGCGACTAAGGACAACTCCAGAAGACAAGTTACAGATTATGAGAAAACAGATCAGTTTTCAGTCTGCCCTTAAAGTTGTCAAGAGAACTGATGTTGCGGATGTTGTGTGACAAGACATGTGGGGACCAGACATTTGGCCCTCTGATAAGCAAACGTAAAGCCTTTTAACTTTAGACTTTTTAAATTTTAATTGTAATTTAATTTTTATCTGTAATGTCTGTGATATCTCAGATGTGGGATAACTGGGATAACTTTATATAACTCCGATATAGCAATACAATGTAAGTGGTAACCCTGACAGTGTCAGGGCTGATCATTCAATGCAACTGCGAATTAAAGAGTGCCAATGGGCCCTCAAATGACCAAGAGGAAATAAAATCATGTGATTCTGCATGGCTACTGGTTAAAGTCATTCACTGAGAACACACCATTAAAAAGATTATTAAAAAAACTTGGTTGTGCAATCACGCTGCGTGACATTACAACCATTTGCCAAGAGGGTGTGCACAATTTAACCCATTAGCACTTATACTACATGGTATAGTGTTTATTCACTGAAAAATCAATAAAACCATAGAGTGCTCGGGCGGTTTCGGGCGCTACAGTGAGTAATAGGCAGGACGGTTTGGGGCACTACAGTGAGTAATGGGCAGGGCGGTTTCGGGCCCTACAGTGAGTAATAGGTGGGGCGGTTTGGGGCAGTACAGAAATAGGCAGGGCGGTTTGGGGCCCTACAGTGAGTAATAGGCAGGGCGGTTTCGGGCCCTACAGCGAGTAATAGGCAGGGCTGTTTCAGGCGCTACAGTGAGTAATAGGCAGGGCGGTTTCGGGCAGTACAGAAATAGGCAGGGCGGTGTCGGGCAGTACAGAAATAGGCAGGGCCGTTTGGGGCACTACAGTGAGTAATAGGCAGGGCGGTTTGGGGCAGTACAGAAATAGGCAGGGCGGTTTGGGGCACTGCAGTGAGTAATAGGCGGGGCGGTTTGGGGCAGTACAGAAATAGGCAGGGCGGTTTGGGGCACTACAGTGAGTAATAGGCAGGGTGGTTTTCAGGCCCTACAGTGAGTAATAGGCAGGGCGGTTTCAGGCGCTACAGTGAGTAAAAGGCAGGGCGGTTTCGGGCCCTACAGTGAGTTATAGGCTGGGCGGTTTCGGGCCCTACAGTGAGTAATAGGCTGGGCGGTTTTGGGCGCTACAGTGACTAAAGGGTTAACAGTGACAGACTTAGAATAAAAAAGCCATAAGTCCTAAAAAATATAAGTCCTCACAGTCAACTCACAGTCAACCCACACCAATCGGTCTCAAGTCGAGTGACAAGCTACTCAAACGAGCAGTCACAAGGCATTCCCTTCTCACTGTTCGTCCTGCGTCACTCGTAACTTTACTTGTGATGGACTTGTGACAGAATTGCATAAACACTGCTAGGGTTAAGGAATGACTCGAGTTTCAATGGCATACTATTATTACCCTTTTTTTTTTTAATGAAACCTACCAAGTTGTAAGACACTGCTTGGTTGGTTGATGACCACCTCACGTAGTCTTCTCTGTCTTCTCAGGAGATCTTCCGGTGTTAGCTGCTCATCACGTCTTCTGTAGAGAACCTCCTCGTTAGCTTGTTCAAAGCGACGCTGGATCACCTCAGAATCCTTCATGAATTTCTCAAAGTCCTGCAGGGAAGAAACGATAGTGATGTGAAGTTCCAAGAACACGAATTGTAAGGGCTTCATAGAACCGAGTTATCAAGTTTTCAATACAAGTGCATTTCAAGGTATTAGAATGCATCTAGTGATATCTTTCGGAGAAATTTCAAAGAAAAACAGACTTCCTCAATCAGTGCAGTGCACTCAAAGTTCATTGTAAATATAAACGAGTACTTACTATTCTGTTCTGGACCCATTCATTATGGTTGTAGGGCAGCGTTCCACCAAAATCGTCCGTGAGCTCGCGAGGGTCAATGAACTTTGTAAGCTTGGAGACATTGGACAACATCAGGGTCTGTAAAGAGTACAATTTTTGTTAAAATACACAAGAAAGGGGGACTGGAAAAGTTACTTTACTTGTGTAGGCATATTTACCGACAGATTTTTAACAAGGTGGGGTCCTCTCACCTGGGTAAAATATTTTTTCACTCTCTAATAACGGGTATGTCTGAACATATCAATCATCTGAATACAGAACTGAAATCAGCTGGGCCCAATTTCACAACGCTGCTAAGCACAAAAATTTGCTTAGCACAAAAAAGTCTGGCTTGTAAACAGCAGGTTATCAGCCAAAACTCCAAGTGATTTTCATGCTAAGCAAACAACAGCTGAATACTAATCACTAGTTATATACATCACGTGGAGTTTTGGCTGGTAACCTGCTTTTATAAGCCAGACTTTTTTTGTTTGTGCTTAGCAGCACCGTGAAATTGCCCCCAGGTTACATTAACTTTGTCTCAAATTTGTGTCTGCTTACCTCAAATCCATACTGTGGTTTATCCTTCTTGAGGCTAAGACTAGCTCGCTTACTCTCCCAGAAGGCATCTGGCTTGATCACATACACAGAGTGTATACCGCTGGGTATGGATTCCTAAAGAATAAGCAATGAACGTACAGACAGTACAATTACTAACTGTAAGAAACTTCCAATTCAATAAGGATTAATATAAGCGATTTGGACATTTTATTTTGAGTATTACATACAGAGCAATATGTGATTCCTTTAATGCAGAGCTTGGATTCTGTGCCCAAGTACCCCTTCAATGGATAGGACAAAGGAAGGATATACAAAGGAAGCGTTGGGGGGAGACCACTGGAACGGACATCCAAAGGCATAACCGTCGCCCCCTGATGCTCATGACGGTATGGGTTTGTTCACATTCAGGATAAGAATTAGCCATGTGTACTTTGAACCATACGTGCTCGAACCAGTACGCACATGCAGTGTCTCCCCACTGGAGCTTTGAAAGGGCTCAAAATTAGCCATCTACTGTTTGTGAACAGGGTCCATGCCTCGTTCAAGTTTACTTTACTAATAACCAACTACACACATCATGCAGGTTCTCATACAACTCAAACTTGAGTGATTCTCATCAATTCCACCAATTTGGCATGATAGTAACAGTACAATTTGGACTAGGCCTGGACGAGAATTAGATTTTTCTGCTCGGGTACTCGCAAAGAAATTACTCACGAGTAGTCGAGTAGTTACCCAAATTTTATCCTTACTGTGCAAAGTTTTGAGTCATTTACTTAAAAATTTTTTTTTTGGACAAATGAAATTCTAGGGAGAGAGAGGCGGATGGAGTGATTCCCTGTTTGCAGGGGACATATTAAGCAGTGAACTCTAAACTTGAAATTGCTACTCGTGAGTAACTACTTCTACTCGTGCCAGGACGAGTACTCGAGTAGATGAAAAACCAAGAGCAGAACAACGAGTAGCATAAACTACTCGTGAGTACTTGAGTAATCGAGTAACTTGCCCAGCGGTAATTTGGACCCATACCAAGACATCTCTTACATTACGGCAAAACAGAATATGAAGATGATTATGCACATCAACGCCATTCCCATTAGACAAAATCTATCTGATACCGAATGGCCTCCAGACTGAGTAGGCAACAAAGGAAAGGAACGTGGCCATGACTACTGATCTGACCCATCACACAAGCAAATTGCCTCAGTTCAAACACATTCATGCAACCAAGTAAGTTTGCCCATCTCCACACAAGCATAGACTCACTGGCAGAGACGCAAGAAGTTTATATTTAACCGTAGCCAGTTAATAGTGCCAGTCATTTACCTGGAGTACTTTGAAGAACGCCTTGAGAGACTGCCAGGTGGACGTGCGCATGTCAGTCAGGATGCTATACCCATGCTCCCTGGCCTCCTCACTGAAATATGAACACGTCGTCATGGTAATCAATTAGTGATGAGGCAAACCACTAGGTCTTTGATTGAGGTGAGATTAGTTGCAAATGCAATGCAAGGGATGATAAGCATCTCTGCTATGAGCAAAATAATGGAATTAGAGATTTTAGGGGTTTCTTGTGACATAAAAGAGTGTCACTGTGTTTAACATAAAATCCATGAAACTGTGTTTGATTTCAATAAAGAAATTAATCTTATGAGTTCTATTTAATAAATTCGATGGTGTTTTTCAATTTCTTATGTGTCTTTTTTCCCCCCATATTCCAGTGTGGACAAAATTACTTTGAGGACTACAATGGACTGAGTTCTTAGAACATTTTATACTATCATTATTTTTTTCCTCTTCTATTTATAACAATGTATACACTTTATCAAAGAAAAAGTCTAAGCTATTATCCTTAAACTTATTGTATAAAGATTTCACAAATAGTTTCTTCACTGATAACATTTTTCCCAATGACTAACTGTAATCTCTTTCAATGAAGACCTTCAAATTGCTTACAATTGCTGAACTCATAGAACCCATAGGGTTTGTTTCGGAACACTCTTATTCAGAAATGCTGATTCAGTAATACTCCACTCAAATGCCACCTTGATGCAAACAGCGTGTGTCCATTGGCATAAAGCACACTGACAAACAGAGTAGTAAATGTTGGGCTAGGTTTTATTGCTGTTGGTATTATACAACTATAAAAGTGCCAGTTCCAAGTCTCTGGTGTGCATAAAGTGGGCATGGGTGTGGGAAAAGTACTCAGTGTTGCTGGATGTTACATGTCTTTGTTGGGTTGAAGTTTGGTTCCAATATAACAGTAGGGTGCCCGTCAGTTTCCAGTTTGTTATATGATGGAAATTGACAAGGACAGTCTGTTGGAGGTTTGAGCTTTTTAGGACAATGTGATCACCAGGACAATTAAAATAACCAGGGAAAAATTGAACAGTGGAAATGATGCAAAAACAACCACTCAATCAACAACTTTGAATGACTTTTTTTTATAAATATTCTTGGGTCTTGTAACATTAGTTAAGATTATGAAGACAAAAAGAAACTGAGGTTTTAAAAATTTTTTTTTTTTATAAATAAAATCACGGGGCTCCGAATATCTAGAGAGTAGGTAAATTAGGTTACACCTTTGGTATTATCAGGGGTGTGAGTGACCACTGATAAAAGAAAACAGCTGAAAAAGGTGTAAAAAAGCTGAACTTTGGAAATCTCCAATACTTTTGTACACAGCAAGTGAGGGAAAAAAGCTGAAATCCAAAACAAAAAAGCTGAAATCAGCTTTAAAGCTGAGATTTCGCACCCCTGATTATAACTAATTAACTAATGTACGGTACAATACATTTTTCTTTGTACTGATCCAGATCAAGTCACTTATAAAAAAAAATACAAGCCAACAGTCAGCTATGCTTCATTAACTGCATACCAGGGAGACTAGATCAGTTATAAATGCCACAGCTCATGACATATTTTACACTCCCCTGACATGCAAACAATGTTTGGATTAGGAACATTACTGCAACCTGAATGTCGCTGATGCAGAATTGACTGTATAGTCTCCTGCATTCTGTATATACTTCAATGATTGATTTTAAACAAACTCAAGTGGATCAACACAGCAACACACATGTAAACCCACTCCAACTGGAGAAGATAGTGACAGTGGCAAGTAATAAGTTTTTTCCTATTTAATACTTTTTTTAACATAAATTATCTGACTTCATAGCAAGTAAATAATGTATATTCTTCTGATCTATTTAGATTTTTCTGGCAAATCAACTTTTTTTCAGATAAAATCTGTTTAAATGACTTTCCATTAATCTGCATATTCAGATTTTGAAAACCATGTTTAAATTTTTAAACAATGTTTTTATTTGACCCTTTCATTCAGATACATGTATTTAGGAACCAAAGAATTGGCCTGCTTGATTCCCTTAAATATTACCTGGGTATTGTGGCAAGATAAGACAAACAAGTGGCAATGTCTTCTAAGGAGACCTCTGCAGGTTGGGCAGGGAAGGAGATGATGGGACCTCCTCTTCTATCTTTGCCTCCTGTAAATCATTGACAGATAATCAACAGTATTAAACATCGACTTGGTGGAGCTATGCACACAAACTATCCTTTATGTACATAAAGTGGATGGAAACAAAAGTATGTCAACATGAAACACAGAATCTACATTGTACATGTACATGTGAGCACTAGTTGTTACATACCTCATAATGTATGTATACTTGTACATAATTTGCTAATATTCTCTATAGTACCTGAGAGCAAGGCCGGATTCAGAACACAATTGGTTTTTTGGGGGGCCAAACAATTTTTTTCCCCCCCGAAAAAGTGGGCCCAAAATTTTCCGCCCCAAATTTAATATGAAAAGCAAGGGGGGAGGGATTGTATTGATTTTGTTGAGTTTTGTGTGTGGTAAACGAAGTGGCCGCCTTTTTTTTGCGACATCACTAAAAACAATATAAATAAATAAATAATAGAGTTCGTCTTTTTGGCCCATTGCCCCTCCACTTTCCTGGGACTCACCATTGCCTTTGAGCACATGAACTTAAAAAAAAACCTGTTTGGTGTTTATATAATTCTTTGGATTGCTATACTGAGAAGATAACAAATTGAAAGGTGATTTGCCAAACTCACATAAAACCTGTTTCATTCTGTGGCATTCTGTGATATTACTTGTCATTGTCTTTGAAAGGACATGTTAAGAATTTTTCTCTTGTCTGAAATTGTAACAAACACCACAGAATGATATGCATCCATTCTTGGTTATATAAATATTAATCAAAATAAAGAATGATCAACCAAAGTTGGAGGCAGGTCATATTGAAGCGTATATATTGAGGTTTGTTATATTTTGAAATGAGATGGACCCTAACACCATGGCATTCGTAATGGTCATAAAATTTATAATTATTACTGACGTCCCCAAGTCATAAAACTGAATGCCAAACACAGCAGACTCAAGCAGCAGCAGTATGTACACGTACAAGTACCTGTATGTCCATGAATAACAATTTATTTGGAAAGGGAATTGTAAATATACATGTATACAGTAACCACTGTACATGTACATGTATACAATGTAATTAACCCATTTAAATGTACATGAAGGTCCTCAGGCCCGAATAACATGTGTTTACAGTAACCCTTCCTACCAATTTTTTTTTGCAGCCAAATAGCCGTCTTCAAACTTCTTATTGTCTTATTTGGCCCAAGATTTAAAATAAAGTTTGTGTAAAAACATGTCAAAGTAAAAAAGTCTTCCCTATGCGAGTTTTTTTGTTGTTATTGGTTAATTAAACAATCCAACGGGTTAATTAAACAGAATAACATTAAAGATGTCCTGAAGTAAACAAAGTAGGTTTAAAGACTGACAAACACTTTTTAAAAACATTACGCAATAAAATTATTTTCTTACCTACCTGAACCTGAACAATATTTAGGGCGTTACCATTGAAACACAATTTGTTCGGCCTTATACAGGAATATTTACATGTATAGGCTCTAGTTTGAAATCTACATGTACATGTACAGACTGTCAACTTTGTAATCTATCAACTGGGTATATTTTTTTCTCAATAGTATGTGTATTGTTTAGGCATCCTTTATGAAGAACCTGCCCTAGTTCAATCTATCATAAAAAGGTTTAATAGCCCATTTAATCTGTAAATCCGATTAAGGATATGGGCTCAACTACTTCCTCAATAAACTTCCTGTACACATTCCAACATTTCCTATTGGCAAGGAACTTTACAAACAATAATAAATAGCAAGTACAATCACTGACAAATTGCAAGCAACATTCAGAGTTTACCTGAGACTACAGCAATCTTTCGCTTGAGGAGGTCCGTTATCTGGGAAGCCTGCATGACTGGATCTGTTACAAAAAAAAAAATGAAAAAATGGATTGCAAGCTGATATTATTACAACTTTAGGTAAATTTCAAGTTGGAGCTCAGCCACAGCAACTGCAAACTAAATTATTCATTAAAGATAATAATAATCAAAGGTTCTTATATAGCGCTTTTAAATAAGATCAAAGCGCTTTACATTATTATTACCCCTGATCATTGGGCCAATTAAACATTCCAAATACCATCTCAGCTCCCTGGAGAGTATACAGCTGGATGCTGCCTGTTAGGCATTAGGAAGCTACATGTTGAATCAATCACAATTTAACCATCTCTGCCCTCACAGGTACCCATTTACTCCTGGGTGGGGTGGGGTGAAGCAATGAATGACAAAGTGCCTTGCCCAAGGACACACGCACCAATAGCCGCAGGCTGGACTCGAACCCACAACCTGCAGAATTACATGTACCCGCAGACCACAAATTCAATGCCCCAGACCACGAGGTCATGGCACTCCACTACACATGTACTCAACAGATTAAATTGTCAATCATGCTTATTATTGACACTGTACAGCTCTACAACTGCATCACTTTCAAAGTGCACAGAGAAACAAAAGAGGAAAATCAAATTCTGGAAAGAAATTCTATGCCAGGTGTCTGTACCATTGACAAGAACAATACTAATATTTTGCTGATGTCGGCTAAAAAAAATTCCACTGGATGATACGCACAAATACAAATGAACATAGTGAACATTCAATTTTCGGAGGCCTGTAATTCATAAAGTGCATGATACCAATACTGTGTGCCACGCCCCTTTACATGTACAATGTACACGTGTACACCCACTGCCAACTAATGCAAAACCAATTGTATCTTTACACACCGATACAATACATAATGTACACATTTGTAAAGACCCATTTCATACACTACCGAGGTATTTGCTCTGTACATATGTGTTGAACTACCGGTATTTCAAATACGTTCAAGACAAACAATAACAAAATAGTCTTTTGCTGTTGATTTCAAATAAATCAGCACACGCTGGTTGGTCCCGGGGATTTCCGGTTGGCACTCAGCTGGAGTTTGGAGGAAATAATTCGTGGCATTCAAGGCTGGTCAAATTGTAGAACTCTAAACAAAATATGTAACACACGCAACAAATTGCACATGTACATGTACATGTACATAAGGCCAGAGAACACAGAAAAATGTACTGGTACATATATGTACAAAATATACATACAGTACATTGAAAATGTAAATCCCTAATACATGTACATGCATCTCTGTTGTCAAGTATACAAATATTAAGTGGCTCAGCGTGGAATGGGAGGTATATTATCGCAAGGTAAAATCTGGACTTTTCCATTTCACAAGGCAAAGCCGAGTGAACTGGAAAAGTCCAGATTTTACCGAGCAATAATATTCCTCCCATTTCACAATTTACAGCCACTCAATATTTGTTTTAACTGACAAATCCTTGTCATTTGATATATTTGAACTTTTATTTCAATACAAAATTGGTGGAAAATGTATAATTTCTCTCTTCCAAACCACCCCTTCACAAAAATGTTTGAACCCAAATTTGAACTGTTAATTCAATTAAAAATTGGTGGAAAATGTATAATTTCTCTCTTCCAAACCACCCCTTCACAAAAATGTTTGAACCCAATTCTATAGCGCTGGCTCTTTGGAAACAATACGCGCTACGCACAACGCTGAACACGCACACCAGCATGCATTTGTAAACAAATACCGCGTCACGGAACAAGAATGATCCTAACTGTTCAATAGTATTTCCCATTCCCCATGGGCGAATGGGACATTTTGAGCCCTGGCGTGAATGGGAACAATAACGAATTCATGTCACGTGATGTGAGTTCCACCAATCAAATGACAAGGATCTGTATGTCGGTTATACATTGTATAACACCTTTTATTTAACTCTTCAATGACATAATTTTAAGTACATGGGTGACCACTGACAATATGACAATGTATACAACAGGGTGTATTTTTCAACTTTCCGAAAATGCGAAAGTTTTCAGGATTTGTCATATTTTAGTTGTAAATTGATGCATAGTACGAACATTTACCTGTTCACATACTACATGTACATGTACACACTGTACTTTGATTTTGTCTAAATTTGCTACACAACCAATTTGGTTGAACCAAACTTAATAAGTTGTTCAAGAAAATCGATCCATGCAAAAAAACATAGTTCTTTTCAAAAAATGTAAATCACTGTCTCGCATTCAAGTCCAAGCCTTTGGAATTTTTATCGACTATCAGATTCTAGTCCATCCTACAATCGAGACTGTTGTTCTGGAGTATGTTTGTGCAGATAAGATGTTTAACATCGAGACAACTGCCACAATATTATCATGATGACTATCTACCGTACGCTTGCAGACAGCAGCCGCTTAAAGGCATGCATATCAACCGAAGCTTCCATGACCTTTACAACACTCGTTGGTTGTTAGGAAATGTACTATAAAACTGGAGCTTGTGTAAACGTTCACTATTTAAAACCAGAACCCGGGGTTTAAAGGTCGAAATGGAAAAGAAATGGTTATTGAACCAGCCAATTAAGGAAAATGCATGCACGCTGACTTAATTTATGTTATTAATAATTATTTTTAATAAACAATTGCCAGATGACTAATAGCATTTTCGACTGCCATTCAACATCCACGGTGTTCTTTTTCATTGTGTATTATGAGTTCGTTATTGTGATAAGTGAAGCGTAACATATCAGAAACAAATGAATAATGGGGGTCATGTACAGGCCACTGGTTATTAAATTAATAACATGTTTGCATTGCTTTGAATTATTTCATTCCCAAATTTAAACTTTAAATTGATACATAAAATTTTACAAAGACATGTTCGGAAACAGAACTTTTATATTTGTTTATTTTATTATTTTCATTTTAATTTTTTTTTGAGGATTCTGGAAATATTTACAGAACAATTCAGGAAGGTACTGGTACAAGAATTTTATTAATAATTTTGCATTACAGGTACGGGGTACAACAGCTGTTGAGTAAAAAGTGCAATGGACACGCATTCACCTGGTGTCTCCTTGATCTCAATCTCTTTTGGGATAAAAATACAAGTCCTTTCAGAAAAAAAATTACCACATGTACAAAGCCATCTGAGTGATAGATGAGATGCCTTGAACAGTTAAGCTGGAGTTCCCAAGCTCAGAGAATGGAGTTATTCAGTTGTCACAGTTCACGAAGGGAACAAGCAAAGCTTTCAAGGTACCGTAGTAGGCCTGGTGCTAAATTGAATTGCCACGGGGAAAGCAACAAATTCAGGCATAGAAATCACTGGGGTCATTCAGTCAAACTTTTTAGTCCAAGGGGCAGACTGGCTATTAAACAAAAAGTTACTGCATAAAAACTGAAAATTGAATTGGTAAAAGGGCCATAAACTTCCTTTTCTCTAGTGTACTTTTTTATTATAATTGACTCAAACTAAAATTTTACAACTTGGAAGAGTTCAAAGGGTGAAGGTTATCTATATCAGACAAAATGCTGTATGATACAGTATTATGTACAATTATGTAAACTGTAAAAGAAAAACGGCACAACTATAGCAAGGTACAATGTACCAGTAGGCCTATGTAAAAAATAACTCTCTCAAAAATCTATTTAAACTGAAAATTAGACATTTGAAAACCACAACCATTAGATTTTGGGGTAATGATAATGCCTCGCTGAAATGAACCGACTTCAACTTCTGTGTACACATGTATGGATACATCAACTGTAGGCACTCACATGATATTCTTTTGTAGGATAACCATTTTGTTTCAATCAAAAAAAGTACCCAACACCCACACAGATCAAAGGGCATGTTTGAGATGCGTGCGGTTTAACTTGCACTTCAACTACAATTACATTTTTAAACACTTCATGTACATGTACATGTAGGCTTCCTTCAAATACAGACCTGTACATATTTTTGGATACATCAAAAATGTACATTGTACATGTACTGTACACGTACATGATATTCATAAAAAAACTTTGACCTCAATGTCAATGTTCAAATATTTGAATATTTGATCAAATTCAAGTTCCAATAATCAAATACTAAATTATTTTTTAAATAATGCACAACATGCATTTTATGGACTTTTGAAAGGGCTATGCTGGATAATGTAAATACTCTGCATTCATAAATCAACACATGATGAAGGCCAGTATCTTGACACACAAACCCAAGGGCCATGGCTTTCCCTAGAGAACAATAACCAAGTGTTATTGTAATGACCAATACCTCAGGAATTAGCCATAATACAAAGCCACTGGCATTTCTTGTAATGGATACAGGCGGCGCTAAGGTCAAAGGTACTGGCCAAAAAATGTGGAGTCTAAAAAGGGCTGGCGCAGTAAGGCCACAAAAAAAAAGTCTCCGGTTTCTGGTATGCGCGCGCGTCGCCGTAGCCATGCGCGTAGGCAAAATGAAAAAGTTTTTTTTTCAATAAAAGATGATGTCTCAAAACCGCCAAACTCACTGGTTTGACTGGAATTCTGCTGCTGCACAATTTTAACGTGTTTTTAGATGGGGTTATGATCGAGAATAAGCTTTATGTGGCCTCTCTGGACTCCCATATATTTGCACTAAGTTTAGTCGGGCACCATTTGCAGTCATCAGCCGACATTTGAAGCCAAAAAAAAAAAAAAAAAAACAGGTAAAAAAAAAAAAAAAAGCCGCGTCGCCGCACCACTTTTGGGGCAAGCTCCATACCAGAAACCGGAGACTTATTTTTTTTGGCCTAATGGTGTCCTTGGGAGAAAGCGAAACTACAAACATGTGGGGCTATATAAACCTGGTAGTTTGTTTGTGTGACTTAAGCCTAATAGAAAAAAAATCCCCTTGTAACGTGTGAATAGTTAGCTGCGAATGATTTGGATTGAAAGCAACGATTTATGGCAAAAGGCTAGATGCTTTCTCTTTTTTAAGACTTAGAGGGTGGAACAAACAAATGACGGGATCTGATCT